TAGCCAACTTCCGGCAAATTTAGATTTGCTCTGAAAGTTAGTCTGGCAAAGAGCTCATTCAAGCCCATTTCCAATCCGTGGAAATCGAGGCACCAATCAGAAACGTTGGGGCGGGCTTTACACGATGACGACAGCGCTGGGATTTTGAAGCAGATTTTGTAGCCTACATTACAAAGATGGATGCCGCCGTCGAACATCACTCGTTCGAATCAGCTATCGAGTCTGTTTTAAACAATTTAAACGTTTCCTTTTTGTTAAAAACCAAGCAAAGAACAACACTCGGAGATGTTTCTCCGCCGCTCTGCATACGTCATCTCCTTCATCGCTCTGATTGGTTTTAGGTCTATCCGCGACGTCCGTTGGTGACGCCCCTCTGGAAATGATTTGTCTATGAAACTTTGCCAGACCATAACTCAGTTACAACTGAGAATGGTCTGGTTTTAACCAGGCTAGGTTTTTGGTTAAATGCTTGAAATAAGGTCTGGGGTGAACACAATCTAAAGATATTTTCATGTTTTATTCTACGATATAAAATACATCAGTATTACCCGCTTGTTATTTTACTGTGCTTGCTGTACTTGTCTTGAAAAAGGTGGTTGCTATTTGGGACAGAGGTTGTGCAAACTATTATAACTGGGAATTTCACAGAGACTGTTTCTAAACAAAGACTGAAATAGTTGTCGGAAGCTTAGTGACCTTGAAGTCATGCGACTGTGGTGTAGTTCGTTCATAGCCTACGTTTAGCTTTTGACTTCTGCCAATTGGATTTACGCTTCAAAATTCATAAATGTTGTGTTCATTAGTGAAGATTATCATCATGATCAAAACATGTACAAATCATACGATTTTGTTAGTCACAGCCCTTACTTTCTGCAATAACCCAAAAGACAGTGGAAAAATTCTATCGGGTTTTTGGCGAGGGAACCAGGGTGATAACTTCAGGGTTGGCCTATAAACACGTCATATCTGCCCAACTCTATTTCTAATTGACTGTAACCCAGTAATCAGGTTGATTCAGTATCGTCAAATTATATTTTGGACTTCAGTCAGACCAGTTCATTTGCATATGAGTGTATTTATCAAGACAAACATCTGAGGTGACTTAAAGGCTCTTGAAATAAAGGTTCTTTACTGGAAGCCATGGTTCTATAAAGAACCTTTAACATCAATGGAACCTTCCCATCACACCAAAAGTTCTTTGTAGTAGAGAAAAAGGTTCTTTAGATTATTAAAATGGTTCTTTAAAGAACTTTTCACTGAAAGGGAACCAAAAATGGTTCTTCTATTGCATTGCTAAAACAAAACACAAAAAAATTGTTTTATGTGTGTGTTCTGTGTTCTGTATTGTTTTGTGTGTGTGTTCCTTTGACTTTCATTGTATGGACAAAAACACCGTGACATGTCACACAATCTTTTGGTTTAGAACGACATGAGGGTGAGTAAAGGATGACAGAATTTTTATTTAAACGATCCCTTTAAGCAATAGTCTCCAATTGATCTCCATTTAATCTGATTGCTGCATCTTAAAAATAAAGGTTCTTTATTGACACCTATGGTTCCACAATGAACATTTAAAATTTATGGAACCTTTCCACTCCACCAATGGTTCTCTGAGGGGGATAAAGGTTCTTTAGATTCTAAAAAGAAATGTTTTTCTTCACACTAAGAAAAAATGGTTATTTTAAGAACTGAAAGGTTCTAGAGGGAACCAAAAATGGTTCTTCTATTGCATCGCTGCAAAAGCCCACTTTTTGAATCTTTATTTTTAAGAGAAGAAACATGGGATATCTTGTATGTGATTTTTCCTATATGTTTGAAATCGGCAGTATTATTTTCCATGCAGAATCAAAATACTGCACAACGGCTTTGATGCCAATCAGGCCAGCACATATTCAGATGTCCCACCACTCTTTATATTTCTTCACTGACAGACAGTCAGTATTTTAGACCAAAGTCAGTCAGCGTAGATGGATGGTGAAGAGAGCATGCTTCAGTGCGTGATACAGTATTGACAGGTCAGCCACCGCAGTCCTGCCAGATCCCTCTGCACCCTGGGGAACTCCGCTGTCTGTTTTGGGCCCCCCTCCCCCTCTGCCGACAATCCCAACCCCCTTCGTGTGCTCTGGGGGTAGAAGAGCAGTGCGCCATGGTACTTTCTGATGAGCCCGCACTCCTACCAGCGATGCGCATTACAATGACATAGTCATAGACATCTTGATAATTGATAGAAGACTAGATTAAAGTGCAACCAGAAAATTAACCGAGACTATATTTTATCTGACCAATCATGTAATAATTGGAAAATAATGGAAGTTGAAGCTCGCAGCACTGGGAGAAAATTACATGGATGCATTCTGGCTGCATGCATAAAGCTTTGCAGCTCTGAAGAGTAAATTGGAAATTAATTTCTGACGTTATCGCATTTCTTTCTTAAGGCTTGTTATGTGGAAAATCTTGATTATCATTAAGTAAAGCAACATTGCTCTTGTAAAGAAGGCATATTTAACTTCTTCGAAAATGTATTTTCTGTCAAATTGCATGCAGTTTTTGATATCAGCTCATTAGGATACCAGAACTTAATGAGCTCCCACTGAGCTGAGATAGAATGCCTGTAGGCCCCTCTTAACATTTTCTAATACCCTTCCAGCCCTCGACCAATCCTCTTCCATGACCCTTTATAGCGGGATAAATGCGACGCTTGGTTGGGCAATAGAGACTACACTTATAGTCTGGCACACACTGTGCTCTCTCTCTCTCTTTCAATCCCTTTCTTTCTGTAGTGCTTTGGTGCCTGGCACTCGATGAGTGGAACCCCTATTTTGGTGTTCTGTGAATGAGTTTCCATACATGGAAAAGCTCTGCAACAATCACAGTTTAAGATCTCTTTGAGAGGTTTCCATCCAGTCAACTGTCTTTTGCTGCCAACCAGAGAGCTCTTGAAATGGTTAAGGTCATTGTCATTATCATGAGCTGTGTATGAATTCCTGTGCATGTACTGAATTTGATAAACTGACTTCTCGACTAATGTATATGCAGGTGTGTAAATATATTCCTGGAAATACTGCATCCGCCATGTTATATTGTTCTTCAGCCTTATGGTGCTTTGACCTGTGACGAATTAAAATAATTTACTCAGGCTTTGTTAAACAAGAGAACAAAAGTGTCCATTTGAGTTGAAAATACAAGTTAATATAATCTCAGTACATCGTCTCGATATTGTTACTGTTTCATACAAATCCAGATAATTTGACATACTGCTTTTTGAATAAGGTATTTACTGCTCTTGAATAATACCTAGGTAAGTCAGATATAGGCACGCATTATAACTTTAATTGATAACACAAAGAATTCTGGTCCAACTTACATGAATTTGAACAGATGTATCTGAGAGAATGAGAATTGAGTCTGACCAAAAAAATTAACAAATAGTGTTTAACAACACTGAATTTGTTGGGTAAAAGTGTGCAGCTACGAATATGTGTTTTAGATTCTTCTGCAGTAGTACTGTAAATGGAAGATTATTATGGCATGCTGTTGATTAAATTGAAAGTGACGAGGAAGTTGTGGCTACTGATTTATTTTCTAATGCTGTGCATGCTGCTAAGATTGCAGGCTTGCTGTGATTTTATAGGGTTCAGTTATGACCTCAAGTTATTAGAAATTATACTTAATTTACCCGTCGTCAACATTCACATTACAGCAGGTGTAGAGCAACCAGTCTCTGTCAGTAATATATTCAATAATTTTCCACTCTCTGTTTCTACGGCAGCAGGGTGTGTTTCTCTGAAGAGAAATGCAGCGCGACGATCAATTTCTCTTCGTCAAAACACACTTTTTTTTGCTTAAATATTGTGCAACATGGTGTGTTTTTGTGTTATTATTTCAATTTGTGTGTAAAAAATGTAATAAACCCGCAAGAACACGATATATTTGCCCTTTCTTTTTCATGGCCATATATGGAGCTTAGATTGGCTGTTGACGCTTCAACCTCATTTTAACCCTTTAGTTGCTGAATTTTATTCGCTGGTAAAAAAAAGAATAATAATACAGATAAAGATGTGTTAATTGATGTTCTTTACATATGACGTTTCAAGGAATGTAATTTAAGAACCACAGCTGCTAACTGTTGCCTCATATTTCCGCTTTATATACAGTTTTAGGCTAAAAAACATTAGGTGTTAATGCGTTCAGCTATAGTGCTGGTCTTGAACGAGTGGTTAATTTACCTACTGGTGTTAAACTGAGGTGCCTTTAATAGAATATAGCTCGTTTACAGGACTGATTTAGAGGTGTATATTTGTGTTTTGTCGCTAGGCCTATATTTGGCTCTTGTGTGCGTTTTGCATGGTAAATAAAGAAGCAAAAGTAAAGTGTATTTTGGCGTGGCTTGGCATCGCTTGAGGGGGGTGCACCCCGTCTAAAAATGAATGTAAAACCCTTATTGCTTCAAGTGCATTGCAGATGATCAGTAGCCTAGGCTACAATATGTTTCTAAAATAGGCTTTTAAAGATCGAAAATAGCCTACACAACTTTTTGGTTATGAAATGCATGACAACTAAATGTGATTGTGGGACTTTAGCGTTGATAGATAGATAGATAGATAGATAGATAGATAGATAGATAGATAGATAGATAGATAGATAGATAGATAGATAGATAGATAGATAGATAGATAGATAGATAGATAGATAGATAGATAGATAGATAGATAGATTGATTGATTGAAAAGTTGCTAGTGAGATATTTAAACCATGCAAGCTTGTCTGTATTACAAGTTCTTAATTACAGCAAGCATACAACGTTTAAACACTACAGCTTTATATTCGGCACAGTTCTTGTCAACCCCCTCCTCGCGTGACGTCACGTGCTTGCCTTGGCTTATTATTGCATGAACTATTTTCTGTAGTAGCAGCAGCAGTACTGAGCTTTTCCAGTGCCCGCCGCTTAACGTGGAGACAAATACGAACGAGAGAGAGAGAGAGAGAGAGAGAGAGAGAGAGAGGGAACGAGGAGGGGTGAGAGACAAATTAATCTTGGGCCACAGCGGTGGCAGAACGCGAGACAGTAAAGCGTTGCAGTGAAGATTTTATTTTGCTCGTTCGCCTCAAACGGGCGGCAGAGAGACGGAATGGATCTACCTGCCGTCGGGGAGCATGTCTTCGCGGTGGAGGGCATCGAAAAGAAGCGCCTACGGAAGGTAAAACTGCCGCGAACTGGAACTACCGTAAATGGTGCAGAGGATATATTTGTTGTTCCTGTACAGTACCCAACACATTTTCATCGTTTTTCAGGGCAGAATCGAGTATCTGGTGAAGTGGCGAGGATGGTCAGCCAAGTAAGTGTTTAATTGGTTTACAGGCGTTATTTTTTAGACACATTAACAGTAAATGCCGCGCGATGTTGGTCTTGTTGGTCCGGTACCCCACATTGGTCGCGCGCTGGGCTGTTTAGTATGGATTCCATCACAAAATTTACGCGAGCGAATATCGTTCTGCCATCGTAGCTACTGACATTTTACTTTGTTTATGTCATAAAATCGTAAATTTATTGCTCGTATGTTTACATTTTCAGTAGGCTGCTACACAAGTATTTTTTTCGCGCAGTGATCTGCTTAACATGTTTACGATAGCTACATTTCATTGCAACATGCGTTGAATTTAACATGTGATTTATTACAATATCATATTTTCCCGTCAATGTTGCAGATATAACACATGGGAACCCGAAGAAAACATTCTGGATCCGCGCCTTCTTGTCGCTTTCCAAAACAGGTGAGATGGAGGACGAATAACTGAACTTGTAGTGATGCCCATATATGGTCACGGGAGGCGGGGCCAACTCCCTGCACTGTGTAGCTGAAGATTAATGGTAGCCCCATGGGTCAGGTCTGCCCTGCTACAAAGGCTCTCTTGATGCTTGCCTTTTATCCAGTTTTGGAAACACTCCATTGTTATTACCAGTGCAAGTCGTACAAAATGAACGTGCCATTGTATATTGACCAGTCAAGATTTAATTTTCTTCCTGTCAGTTCCAGGGCAGTGGTTCTCAACCAGGGGGCCATAACCCTGTGGGAGCCTTATTAAACTTGTCACTGGACGATGACTTATATTTATTTTGTATTATTAATTTAAATAACTGTATAAATATGAATGCAAATAAAAAACTGTTGTTTTTTATTCAAGAACATACAGTTATTGTAACTTTTGTGATCACTAAATTAATTGCAAATATTAATTTTAATAATTAGACATTCCTAATTTATGAGAACAGAGGACTTTTTATATTGTCTTAAGTCAAAAAGTTTGAAAAGCACTGTTCTTTGGAACAAGTTTGAAAAGCACTGTTCTTTGGAACAAGTTTGAAAAGCACTGTTCTTTGGAACAAGTTTGAAAAGCACTGTTCTTTGGAACAAGTTTGAGAAACACTGTTCTTTGGAACAGCGCACTTTTGCTTTGGAAAAGCTTATATCAAATTATTTCATACATGCATGCATATATGAAAAATACATCAGTAGCTGTGTTCTCACAAGTGGACACTCATGTCTATGATCTAATCTGCTGTGTCAAAGGTCTTGTGATGTTCACACACCCTTCTGAGCCCACTCTTCTGTTCTTAAGATAAAAGTAGAATGAGTATCAAAGCATTCCAGACACTAAAGGAAAAGAATTGTTAGGTTTAGATAGCAGTTTTCGCAAGATATTTGATAAATTTCACTCTGGTTTAGCTGCGCTAGAAGTGTGAGAGTGTCGTGTTACCCGTTGTGCGTTTGTTTTGTGTTGTAACCTGGTGGTCAAAGAGATTGTCTGTGGCTTAAGATCTCAATCTTGCGCTACTGTTGAGAAGAACACTCTTAAAAATAAAGGTTCCAAAAGTGGGTTTTAACAACAGAAGAATCATTTTTGGTTCCCCAAAGAACCTTTCATTGAACACTTCTTAAAAGCACTCCTTTTTTCTTAGTGTGATGAACATATTAATAATCTCAAGAACCTTTACCACTATAAAGAACCTTTTGTGCAATGGGAAGCTTCTATTGATGTTAAAGGAAACATCAATGCCAATAAAGAACCTTTATTTTTAAGAGTGAACAAAAATAATTGTTCTGTTACACATGAATGGATTAATGAATGTTCCTTTAAGCATTTCAACATTGTAGTAGTTGTTCTTATAAACCAACAGTTTTGAGAATGTCAATTTACACATCATGGATTTATTTATATTTTATGTGCTGTTTTCAGAGAAAGGCAGGAGCAAATGGTGGGATATCGAAAAAGAGGGCCTAAACCCAAACACCCCCTGGTCCAGGTACATCAGCTTTTACATGGTCACTGGACAGCATGTGTTATTCCAAATGCAGTTTCTATCTTCCAGCGGTATTTTTGCAAAAGGTTATTCCTGCGCACAGTCTGAATAAAAATTCCTTTTCATTATGAATCAATAAAAGGCTCCTTTCTGTCTGCATGTATCTTAATGTACTGAGGTCCTAAATGACTTCAATTAGCTTCAGTAGTAGATTTTACCTATAAAATATTCATGAAAATGGCGTTTGTAAGCTCAAAACATAAATTCACATTATAAGACTGCCTACACTATTAAAATAAAGGTTCCAAAAGGGAATTTTTCGTTGCAATGCCATAGAGGAACCGTTTTTGGTTCTCGAAAAGAAGGACCTTCCGGTGAACAGTTCTTAAAATAACCTTTTTTTCTTAGCTTTTATAGAACATTTTAAAACTTTTTTCCCACTATTAAGAACCTTTTGTGGAATGGAAAGATGATATGGTTCCAAAGGTGGTTCATGGAACCATCAATGCCAATCAAGAACCTTTATGAAATCCCCTAGAGTAAAGCTAAATGTGTTGTAATATAAATAACAAACGATGAACTTCCAGTTAATTTCCATTTATTGTGTCAATAAATATTCTCTCTTTGTCCCCAGCTTCCTGCGTTTGCTCGTAGATCAAGCATCCTGGGTGGTCTGCAGGACACATCACTGGATGAGGAGAACCAGCCCAAAGTGGATTCCCTCCAGATCCGCTCACGGCCGCAGCACTACCAGCTGAACAGTAAAAAACACCATCAGTACCAGCCCAGCTGCAAGGAGATATCCTTAGAACAGCATTTGAGTGGGAAAAAGAAACACTTCTACCAGCTAAACAGCAAGAAACATCATCACTACCAGCCGGACCCCAAGATGTATGACACGCCACTCACGGGACCCAAAGAGGTCAAGGGTCAAGACCCTTCCAACAAAGGCTGGAACCTCCCTCCAGCCTTGCAACAGAAGTGGATTCGGAACAAAGACACTGGCTGCCTGAGTAAAGTGAAAGATCTGTCTATCGAGCTCAAGGGTCTGCCGGATGATGCTAGCAGAGCGGAGCGGGCACTCAAAACCAGTCCCAAAGAGTTTGCACTTCCTAATGGCATCAGCAGCAAGATGAAAATAATCAAGAACAAAAACAAAAACGGCCGAATCGTCATTGTAATGAGCAAATACATGGACAAAGGTGTGCATTCCTCCAAAGTAAAAAACAGGGATGTTTCTGACGTGGAAGCGCCACATAATGAGGAATCTACACTGATTAATACGGACCATCTGTCTGATGGGGAAACGGCAGATCAAGGAGGAGGCAATGAGAATGGTTCTATAGAGAAAAATAGGAATCTTTCTTCAGCTAGTGAATGTATTCCCGAAAAGTCCCTCGAAAACATTGAACTTCCAAAAGACACGCCTACAGAGACTGAACCAAAAGTGATGGATATATGCGACCAGCCAAACTCCTCACCCATGGCAGCAGAGAAAGCTGCCCCGTCGAACACTGACACCAGAACGAATCCCCTTAAGAGGAACCTGTCCGAACCCAGTGAGGACGTGAGAAACCGTAAGCAGTTCTTCTGCTACAGGAGCATCAGTGCACCAAACACCATGCTTTCTTCCCCTCAGAGAGAACCCATAAACCTGCATTGCAGAGGCAGCCACGTCGCCAGAACGTATAGTTATGACTTCAGCGACACCGTTCCTGAAGAGCCTATTGATTTAAGCTGTGGTCCAACCAAAACGCTAAAACAGTTTCCTACCGGGGAGAAGGTTTCAGAAAGCTCAGTGCAAGTGGAGAAAACAGATAGCCATTTGAAACCGTTTGTGGGTAACGTTATAATCACAGACATCACTACGAACTGCGTAACTGTGACCTTTAAGGAGTACGTGCAAGGAGAATGACGACAGTGCGTTGGACTGTCATTTGTTCATTTGAACCAGCTCAAAGATGATTCGTTTCAGATGCACTGATCATAGCCATTCCTGAAGATCTATTTACACATTTATTTAAACACATAATCCATATATAGAAACACCATAGGGTTTGTTTGTTTAGATACCGGTTGTATGTTTTTTAACACATTAAATTGAGATGGTTGGCATTTCCCAGCTGTTGAAATAGAATTTAAAATCCCATACCTGTATAGTGTGTACAATTGTTTATAAAGCTTTGGATAATGGATTTTGCTACCTGAGAAAAATATCTGCCAATTGGAGTAAGCACACTGGTGGATTTGGAAGAATTCATTGAAGATTGATGTTTAAATGCACTTACTTACACCTTTCAATGTTCATGTCCATCGTGGACCATGTTTTTTTTTTTTTCTTCCTTCCAATGTTGGGGATTTAAGAATTTTTTTCCAGATAATTGAGATCTATACATTTTGAGTTGCTTGGAAAGGTGTCATCATAATGTACATGAATGTACCTTAAAAAAAGTATTTTTGGACATTAGCGTAACTGATTTTGTTTCGCTCAAACATTTTACTTGACTGGATTTCCAGATGCTGTTGACCTGTGAGGTGCAATGCTATAAAAAACAACTGGATTGTTTGTTGTTTCCTATCCGTAAGACGTTTAAGCTGCACTTTATCATCTCCTGGATCTCTTTTGGTAATTAATTCAATAATAATAATAAATCCTTAATGCAGATCAATTCTGTAACAGCAGTATAACTATGGCCAGAGATCATCAGAACATGCAAACTGTTACATATGACCAGAAAGTAAATGTAAGATTTATGCTTACATTGGACAGTGTAGTGCTATAGATTTTGTATGTATTGGAATCAATTTACAGTCAATGCAATGTACGCAATGAGACGTACAGTATGTAATGTACAAATCACACAATAATGCCATCAAGGTTCAGGCCATTTATATGCATAAAGGCATGTTTTATGCACACATTGAAGAGTCAGTTTGAAAATGCTTCTCAAATCAATATTAACTCTGTTAAATAATAAAAACGAATGATTTGTTTTACAATGTGTCATTCTGTGTTCAATTATTTTTTTTATAATGATTTGTATTAGGTCATATTGTCTGATTGACTGCATACACAGACTTCAAGAAAAAATAATCGGCAAATTTACATTTTTGCTAATATGTTATGCACTGCGTCCGAAATCGAATACTTCCCTATCCCTACAATAGTATGGGCTAAACTACACCAACAGAGTAGTATGTCCGAATACATATTAGGAAAACAGTAGGCAAAAGAGAGTTTGGAGTGGGCGTTCGATGGACACTTTATTATCTCATGAGGCCACGGGAGAGGATTTATGAATGACAGTGAAGTGACGCAACTGACGCAGGTAGGTCACGTGACAGTAACAACGTGGGATGTAGTACGTCCAGATTACATTCATACTACCCCCATACCATATTCATACTATATAGAACGTACCAAAAGGGACGCGTTGTAACGTACCGTTTTAATGGTAGCGAAGTAAGCTCAAATTCAAATGTATATGGCTTCCTCAGTGTGCGATTTCGGGCGCAGAAAGAGGCTCTAATAAATTAGCATTTTTCTTCCTTTGCCCCAACCTTGACCACAATGCTTTTATGTTCACACTGTTTGGTTGAATATTACAGGGTTTAATAAGATTTCCAGAGCTGTGAAAAATTAATGAAATTTTGCAATGCTGCCTCCTAGGTGCAGTGCCATGCTCATATAGCACTTCCATGTCTATATGACCTGACCTGGTGGTATGACCTTATTCACAATCATTCACAGCAGCGCCAGCTTTGATTTTTTAACGGGAATGAATCAAGCGAGGCTGTGAGTGATATGCATAGGCTACATCTCTTCAGTGGGTTGTACTGATATTTAATGTGGATTGTTCTGCTGACGAAACACTGCAAAAATAGGCTCCAAGAAAATTCAGTAGACAAAAAACTCCAGCCAACACAAGCTGTGGAAAATTATAAGTGGGTAGCCTACCATTGAAAACACTGTAAGTTTATCCCTCACAGGCTCGCTTTCATATCTGCCATGGCGCTGCAATGAATAATGTCTATAGACCAGAAAACCACCGCATATCACTCACCGTTTAGGCCTAAATAATTAATGGAAAGTTAATTGATTACTAGAAATTGAGCGATCTAAAATACATGCATGCCATACTAAAATAAATCCTACAGCATTAAAAAAAAATCAAGAATAGATAATCTTTAAATGTGATATTAACAGGAAAAGTGGAACCATGGGGCCCACAGTGATGGCTACGGTAATGTCCTCTTTTGAGTTGTATAAGCTAGATGTTGGGATCATAATTCTGCCCCAAAATTCTGTTCCAGTAGTAATAATGCATTGAGAGAATTCTGCTTTACTTGACATGACGTATTCTATTCTATTCTATTCTATTCTATTCTATTACTAGACCTTGTCAAATGTTTCCGACAAACATCGAATGTGTGGCAAAATAAAATCTATGTTAAAAGCAACAAAATATACAAATTAAATGACGAATTAAAATAATTTTCCTCTTTGTTTACGATTTAATTTATTAGGCTATAAAATAAAATTTGTATTATAAAATGTATAATTAGATAAAAAAAAAAAATTCGGGGCTAATAAGAACTGTTTAAGATCTGTGGAATTAACCACAACGCAAGCAATAACGCTTTAATTTAGCTATTCAGTTTCGTTGTTTATTTTTTAGTTGTGTTATAGGCCTATTAGATGAAATCCAGTTATTTGCCGTTTATTGATTAATCTGAATGTTTGTAGCCTATCACTGTTTAAAGACGGTAAAAATAAGCTAATTTACCATTAAATTTCATTTGACACATTGTATCTCTTTTAGCCTGAATTTAGAACAATTCTAGTCATTATTGTCATTATAACGAATAATAGAATATTTTTGTTTTTTCGATAAAAAGTTTTTAAAAAGTCGTATTAAAAAATCTAATTGATGGTGTGATTTTAGGCCTATTTATTTGCGTAGCCTAATAGCTAAATAATAATAATAATAATATGTGAGGATGAATTTAATTTGAATTCATCGATTCGAAAAAAAATAAAACAAAAACATGAAGAAAACGGATAAACAATAAAAGTTTATTATCCGTTGCATCGAAAGAATCGGATAAAAATCGAATGAATCTTTAAAATCAATAAAATATTAGTTGCCGTTTATCCGATCGCAGATCATTTCCACTTTAACACTGAAGAATTAGGCGTAAAATGTCACGTGTGTAAAATATAATTTCATATTTTTATAGCCTAAAGAGAAACATATTGAAAGATTTTTTTTAATGGCTTGATAGTCAAACGAATGGCTTAAAATAAAACCACTAGGCCTATTGTTTGTCCGAAACAGTCAAGTTTATTGTTTTAAAATAATTATAATTATTTATAGGTAATAATTGTTTTATTAGAGAGAAAGAAAGAAAGAAAGAAAGAAAGAAAGAAAGAAAGAAAGAAAGAAAGAAAGAAAGAAAGAAAGAAAGAAAGAAAGCTACGTTTGTAATTTTCAATTTCGACTGAAGCCAAGCTTTAGGCTATAGCCTATGGTTTTTAAAATCATCTTTAACATCTTAAAATCGTTAAATAAGGCCGAGAGCCCTGTGGTTTATTGTTTAGTTTTTTTTTTTTTTTACAATATTGCAAAATTAGGCTACCTGCTGGAGGCTGCCAGCAACCCGAATATTTGGACAAAATGATAGGCTATAGCCTATTATTTTCTTGCCTGCAGATACGGAGCGCCCGGATAAAATATCGATACGCCGCAGCACGCTATGGATAGGCTACAACTGTTATGCATTTACTTGGGTTATGATCATGGATTTTTATTCAAATTTTTTATTTCGTTATTTGAATTGTTTTTAAACGTTTTTTTTTCCTACTGTTATTTGACAGGGGATGGCATGACATGGCGGGGAATATGGAGCACAGATTCGATGAGGCTTTTTGAGTTTCATCCGTGTGCATTTAAAATGAAGAATGAGCCTGCGCATGTGCAGATTTCAGTCCTATTAAATAAATAAAAAATAGCCTAAATAAAACTCAACAATTTAGACTCGCAACACCTGTTGTTTTGACATCGCAAACAAGAAACCTGCCGTGTAACGTTGTCTAAAGACGCCCTTTCTGTTAAATAAATAAGCGTAAATATGCGACCAATGGGGGACTTATCAAAAAAGCCCTGACTGCGGTTAGTCTAGACTAGTATACGAAATAAACACGACGTATTTGCGTTCAAAACAACACTCATAAAATGACATTTTACCCGTGCTCGCCTCGTCCTCCACGAACACATGACTCCTCCTCCCCGAGCGGCAGCTCCACTCACACAGCAGAGCCGTCCTGCAGTGCCATGGTAACAGTTTAGAACGTGATGACGTATCCTCGGATAGAGTATTATGGGCTATCGAGGATTATTCAGGCTGAGGCGAGAAAAATAGCTGCAAGGTTGAAGTAAACATGGAGCTCTCAGCCGTCGGGGAGCGGGTCTTCGCCGCCGAATCCATCATTAAACGGCGCATAAGGAGAGTAAGTGTCATACCAGCCTGCTCGTCGGGGCTTCGGCTCTGTTATAGAGGCGCCTGGTTATTTGCTTATGTCCGCCGAAGTGACATTTTATACGCGATAGGTTAGCTTAGCAGCGTTAGCTTGCTAATTGGAATCTCCCTGTGCTTTTACCCGCAGGGCCGGATGGAGTATCTGGTCAAATGGAAAGGCTGGTCTCAAAAGTGAGTGGTAATGACACGTTAACGGCAGTTGCTGTAACGGGGGGAGCGGTTTCAGGCTCCCCGAGCTCGCTGAGTGTTAGCACGGCAGCAGCACGGACTGTGTAACGGGGCTCATGAGAACGTTAGCTGACAAGGCCAGTGATGGGAGACAGTCACGATTCAAGCTTTATTGGCTGGTTAAAACGGTTCATATTGGGGAAATCACGAATAACATATATATGTGTGTGTATATATATACGTTTATATATGAATCAAGAAATATTATGCATGCACAGTAAAAAAAAAATCTCCTGAAGTGATAAAAAAAAGCAGATTAGTAATAAATGTTTTAAAAAATGCACTTTGAATTGTGTTTTGGACGTTAAGATTTGCGAATAATTAAACATTCAATTATTGGTGCAGATACAGCACCTGGGAACCAGAGGAGAATATTTTGGATGAGCGTCTTTTCGCTGCTTTTGAAGAAAGGTAATTTCCCCTCGTTAATTCTGTACTTCCAGTAGACAAGACAAATTAAATGTTTTGGATGTTTTAAAATAGCATTTCTTATTTCAGAGAGCGTGAAAGGGAGATGTATGGTCCAAAAAAAAGGGGACCCAAACCAGAAACATTTTTAATGAAGGTGACTTTTTTTTTTTACATCACCCTAAATTTTCTTTGACTTTCTTTTTGTTTTTTCTTGGCTTTCTGTTGAATGAAGTGTATATCTTTTTAATGTTATTGAAATTTTTTTAATGTTGTGCATACATTTTGTTATTATATTTGACATTTTTTTATAGGCAAAAGCTAAAGAAAAAGGAAAAAACTATGAGTTCAGACGAGAGATGTCTCGAGGAATACAGGTGTCTTTCCCGGTAGCAGAACCGGTTGTGACTCCCAGAGCCCGTGAGGGACTGCGGACTGTTGTGCCAACTATTTTCCCACCGAGCACCGTCAACAGAGGCGAAAGTGTTCGTGTGCATTCACCAGACCCTGAGAGAGACCCACTGACGCACGGGACGCCATTTCACCGCCCGCTGGATTTTGCCAGCTCACCAAAAAAGCGAGGACCAAAGCCAAAGTTGCGTCCAACTGGAGGTTCATCCAATGAAGGCGTTAAAAGAAAGGCAGATGAACCGTTATCTTATCGGCCTTCAAAAACCGAGAGATCAGGAGAGACCTCTAATTGTGATGTCATCCGTTTAACCCAGAAGTTCCCAGCAGAATCCAGCCTCGTTCAGAAGCAGATGGGAAGCAGGTCGAGTGATGTAAAATTTACACATGGTGGCACCATCTTAAAAGCTGGGCTTGGTGTTTTGGGACATCGACGGAAGGAAACCTCAAGTGGTGCCATAAACCAACAACCCAATATGACGCATCCTCCCAAAAACAATGTATTTCGATCCACCGATCAAACCAGAGAGCAACTGTCTCTGAGTTTTGTAGATGAAACAGACCAGTCCTGGTTGCCTTGTTTGAAGAATATGGAGAAAATTGTTGTTACTGACGTAACAAGTAACTCCTTGACTGTAACCATAAAAGAGAGTTCAACGGACAAAGGTTTCTTCAAAGAAAAAAGATGATGAGATTTTAGTGTATGTGTGTATGTATGAAATATTGTAATCAACCTAGAAACGACCCACATTTCTATATCATTTGTAGTCTTTAATGTAAAGTCTTGAAATCATGTACATAATGCAAAAAAAAAAAACTATATATATATAGAGAGTCTATCTTTAGCCTACATTTCCATTGACATTTTCTATGAAAATTAAGCTTATTTTTCTATTTCCTAGATTTGATGTAACGGACGCAGTTGATTTCTTTTTTGGTTGCCTTCAGCTTTATTATGAATGTAGGCATAGATGCTTTTAACATTAACGTTTCAACTTAAGGCACCTTTTTAAGGGACACATGGTTTAGTCCCTCTTTTATGAACTTGGTATTATTTTCTGGTTAGATTTTGTATATATTTTAAGGTCCAAAAAGTAAAGCACACCATTTAAAAAGAGAGAAGGGAAATAAGCTATACATATAATTAAGCCAATTTTAGGCCTAAATAATTAAGGCACAATAATTCAGACTTTAGAATCGTGTTTCGTTGTTTTTCGTTTTTCTGTTGAATATATAATTGATGTGGCTGTTCTGTGTCTTAATATTTCATTATAATGCTGTTTTTAGGCCCCGTCAGAAACGAAAGATAGTTTGATACAAATCATTTCTAAATTGCTGAAGTACTCCAGTAAGCTTGCAGCCTGGTTTAAGTGGTGAAATTAAAAATAAATATATATTACAATTATATGATGTAAACTTGTTTAACGGTTTAGTTCAGCCTTTTTGCAGAGAGGACAACGTGTATCAGAGCTCAAAATCGAAAATAAAAATGTAATTTAGTTGTGTCTAGGAGCCTTTTCCATTATTGATTTTAAACATTTTAAACAGTTTTCGCGCACAGTAATCCGTGTAGACCGTTTTTATCTTGCCTTATATTAATTTAATTAACTAACGCATATTGTTATAAAAACGGGGGTTTTCATTACAGTATGTGTCTGTAAAGACCTTATAAATAGTGAGCTGAAAAACGATAGCATAAACAGCAGCCTATTTCGACATGATTAGATCATATATTTACCGAGAGCCTCGTGCGCTTTTAATAACTTTCAAAAGCATTAAACGTTGTTTGTTTAAGTTAGGGAGTGAAAAAAACACACTGGCGGCTGGTCAAAACTTATCATGTTCATTCGTCGTAAGCTCACATGACCTATTCTGAAACTCCGTGTCAGCCTTATTTCTATTATATTATAATTGATGTTATCATAAACAATACTAGTTTATCTGTTTTATTTGAGGCATTTTATTATTAAGAATAAAATGCCACCGCACTGCCACACGAGTGTCGCGTTAACAAAAGAAAAGAAAAACATTTAAGGCGATAACCACAATTTGTAACTTTTGGATTTATTTGTAAAGATCTGAAGAAAGAAAGGCCTATAGCCTAATGGATTGGTGCTTAATGTCATTATCAGACATTATGAGTAGGCCTATATTTCCAATAATGTCACACCAAAAAAATTACAAACGCTAAAACGGATTTAATTAGCGCGATCATTTTAAATCGAAACGATAATAAGCGCTTTAGAAAATTCAGTCCACCAAAAGCCACAAGATGTCGCCATGAATGAACTTGAAACAGCTGATATTCCAATCCTCTCAATAACACGTGTATCGCCGATATTGTGATTTTTGCGTCAGAATTAAATGTTTAAGAATACACTGATATATAACAGTCACAGATGTTCAATAAATGTGTCAAATGTCGCCGTGTTTGTAGGCCTATACTGTGTATTTTCATTGGTTTAATTTTGGACTGTCAGTGTTTTGTGTTTTATGGTTCAAATGTAAAAAAAAATAAACGCTTCTGAGGCATGAGGATTCAACACTCAATATAACACGGGAATAAATGTTAAAGTAGCCTATAGGCCTAATTCGAATGTTTTGAGTAAATGAACATTTGTATGGCTAGGCCATCTTGTTTTGTGTTTGTTTAAGAAAAAAATGTTGTTTTTTTCACTGCAATGAATAACTTTTAAATTTGACAATATCTTTGCACTTTACGCTGCAGCATGATTTTTCTTCTATATCTTATGCAGTAACAATCAGACAATTAAGTCGCCTCTATTGTCGAGAATTCAATAATAAAATCACCGCTATATTCTGCCAAACCAGAATTTCAGAAGGGTAATAATATTAAGATTAGCTATATGTCGGCATTTAGTTTTTTCGACCACGTTTATAATTTCAAGGTCTTGCGACCGCAGAGCGCAATTAATGTGCGCGCACTCGTCTGATACTCGTTTTCTTACACTTAAATAGCTTTCAATATATATATTATTATTAAAATGTTATAAATGTAAGCTGACCTTATAGATTATAAATCTATATTTATATTTGAATATATAGGCTAGGCTATATCATTTTGTATACGTTAATACTAGTTAATAATATTTTGAAACGGATCATTTTTTAATGTGCACAGGCTATGTCTTATGCATTATTTTATTTTGTAGGAAACTTAAAGTGTTACTCATACTCCACATGTCCAACTCATTTACTCAGCTGATGACTAACCTAACTAACTAACAGACATAAATGGCGGGGTCATCACCTTTGACATGGTGCTTTGAAAGGTTCCCAAAATGTGTTCATGTATAATCTGTGTTAAATCCAGGCTCAAACACGTACCACCACTTTTGGTAAATAGAACCCTTTGAGCTCTCCAAATATGTGAAATCTGTGAGAGACATTTGTGTTGAAGAGTTTTATTTAATTAGCTATACTGATTAATTCCAACACATGGAAAAGCATAAAAATAATGTGCTTGAATATAAAAGTTATAGAGTGTGTAAATTAAAGTGTGAATATAATTTATTTGATTATGTTAGTAACACTTCACATACATTTTCAATTAAAAAAATTCCCAATTTAAAATGTAAAATTCTCAATATTAATACCTGAGCATCCTTTCCATATTTCTATCTTTGCAGAGCAGGATTTACAAATTACTATTAGGCCTATATCTGGTAAAGAAATGTGAATTACAAATTAGTTACATTCTTGTGTACCTAAAAGAGGAGAATTAACAAAATAAAAATTGAAGGTCTGTTTGAAAGATGTACTGAATGTTACTTCATCAGTAGGCGGGTATTGTTGTCTCCAAGCATCAGCCTGAAAGAAATACAAGTGGCTTAATAAAATCCCTTAATTCAGTCAAAATGGAACAATATAGGAAATGTCTGATGTTAATGAGGATTTCAGTTCTTTCTAAGGAAATGCTTATTAATCTCACCTGACTAATGCAGCAGCAATAAGGCCTCCAGTAATGGGTCCCACCCAGTAGATCCAGTGGTGAGTCCAATAGTTGGTCAGCACGGCAGGACCAAACACTCTTGCAGGATTCAAACACGCACCAGAAACATCACCCCTGAAGCCCACAGAAGATGTTAATCTCCAGACCACACACAGGAAATGATGTATAACATAAACAGTGAACTCACCCCGCGAGCACGTTAATAATGACTGTGCAGCCCACCAAAAATGGAACCAAAGGACTCTTGCTCTTGGCATTAACTGCACCCAGTAAGACCACCAAGGCCACTAGACACGTCATGGCAATCTCTCCAAACAATGCCTTCACAATATAGTCATCAGCCTTGAGAACCGTGAACGCCGCACCTTGAGCTTTTGCATATTTCTCATTTGAGGTCATTCCCTAAAAAGAAATCCAAATCCATTGAAGTGTGACTGGTGAATTTAATGGTGCATGCAAAAATGGCTCAATGACACATGTATCTCACCTTGGCCATGACTGCACCAAGTAAACCTCCGCTAAGCTGAGAGATCAGGTACGGTGCCACCATTTTCAGCTCCATTCCACCACAGAGGTAGACGGCTATGGTGAATGACGGATTGAAATGAGAACCACTGTGTCAAGGGAAAAGATCATTGCATTATTCATCAATAAGCAGATGCTTTTTATCCAAAGCAACTCCCAGGACATGTTTAGTACTGGCAGAAACCCCCTGGAGCAAACTGACCGGACTACATCAATCAAACATAATGAGCTTTGTTTGAATATAAATCCACATCTATCCAACACATATCCATGAGTACAAAAATAAATTTCTTCTCACCTGATCTCTGCCATACATGCAATCAGTACAGCCACTGCGAGACCATGAGCCAGCGCAGGCTGGAGTCTGCCGGCATCCTCCACGTTTTCAATTACAGACACACATCCGATGAACACAAAGAAGGTGGTCCCCACCAGCTCAGCTACACACGGCTGAAAGACCCGCTCAAACAGGTTCTGCTCTCTCGCGGTGTGTTGTCCCACCTTATCCATCAGAGCTTTCTCCATGTTGTGAAGTTCCATTTAGTCTTCAGGCGTTCTTTCCGAGGCACGTATGTCTCTCTGATAGTTGTGTCCTATTATCTTAGTGGCCGTACTCATCATTTAAATGTGAGTGTCAGAAAGCTGTAGCATTAAATTGCTCAATGACCTTTGAGGGCAATTGATGATTGAAAAGACTAATAATAAATGTAAAATGCTGACCAGTGGTAAAGAAAATAATACTGAAGGAGATTAAAATGTAACATGCTTCTGTACTCAGCTAATTTAGACGTGCCTGGAACTATTTAAACGCCAGAAAGTTTAACCTGTGCTGCAGCATGTCCTGGTTACATAGATTACAAGGGAAACTAACTCATGTTCAGAAAATTACCTAAAACAGTAACTTAATAATGGACATTTATTTTCCCACCAAAAATAAAAATGAAAAGGTTAAAGGTTAACCAAATAGTGGAGACTAAAAGTCCTAGAAATATGTGATCACATTTACGTTTGTAACTACTATTTAGGGTAAATAAATCCAAAGCTTAACAAAGTGTAAAAACATAAACTAATATCATATTTCATTGTGGCAAGAATATATACTTTTTTTTTTACATGAAAACCCCTGAAAAGGCTAAAGCCCACTCAGAAGCACAAACGTCTAATAAGTGGTTCCACTAATTCCAGTGCAATGACACATTTGTGTCATTATGTGACAAAAGAAGTATGTCTGAATTCACAGTACTCATAAAAGAGTAGGCAAAAAGTATGCGGATGACTTACTACTTCCGGTGAGATTCTGAAGTGGGCTTACGTGTGCGAATGTAGTACATCCATATAATATGAAGACTATCTAGAACGTAATTTTTTTAGCCATTAAGTAATTACTTATCAAAATAAGTACCTACTCAAGAGAGTATGCGATTTCGGACACAGCCATAGTGTTTGATTCCGGCCCAGATGGCATACTTCATATGCACTTACGGTCTTGTGGACTCACAATGGCCATTGTATGTGCGTGATCAAGAAGCTTTTGGCTGTGTCCGAAATCGTATGAAAAGTATGTCCTATATGAATGTGTCTAGTATGAATGTAATCTGGATTTACTACATTCGCCATGTTGTCATTATCATGTGATCTACCAGCGTCAGTTGCGTCACTTCACTGCCATTCATAAATCCTCTCCTGTGGCCTCATGGGATAGTAAAGTACATCGTATGCACACCTCAGAATCTCACCGGAAGTAGTAGGTCATCCGGGTTATTTTTGCCTACTCTTTTATGAGTACAGTGATTTCAGACATACTTCTCTTGTCACATACTGTTTTTCGCCTACTATATAATTACGGAAGTATGCGATTTTGGATGCAACCATTGCTCCCTGTTTTTTTTCCTACAGCCCTTAAAATGTCAGACTCCCTACCTACTGAACTAGTCAGCTGATTGAGAGTTTTGCACACCTACCGTGTCTCATTTGTCATTTTAAGGTTTCAGAAGGGTGCTCATAAGCTTTGCGGTCGATATGCGCCCTCGATGCACACTTTTGCCAAGCCCGCACCGCAGCAGACTTCTACCCAACAGTCAAAGCGGCATTACATCACGTAGGAAGATCCGGGCTGCATCCAAAATCGCATACTTCCCTTCTATAAAGTAGGCTAAAAACAGTATGTGACAAAAGAAATATGCCTGAATTCACACTAAAAGAGTGAAAAAAGTACCCGGATGACCTACTTCTTCCGGCGAGATGAAGTGAGCATCTGATGGACACTTTACTATCCCATGAGGCCACAGGAGAGGATTTGTGAATGGCAGTGAAGCAACGCAACTGAAGCTGGTGGGTCACATGATAATGACAACATGGCGAATGTATGATCCTACTACACACATTCATACTATAGAACATACTTTTTTTGGTGGTAAGTAGTCGGTTAGTAATTAGCCTACTTATTAAGAATAAGTAGCCTACCTACTCAAGAGAGTATATGCGATTTCGGACCCATTCGGATTTTCAGAGCCTGTGAGTGTTTAGGGTGTCATTTGGGACAGTAAAGTAAATCCATATCATATATTTTAGGCAACTTTAAAACATTTTCTCAAGAATCAACACAGACATTAGAAGTTGGGGTATTGACAAGAGAGAGTGCCTTTAGTTCGAATGGAATTTATTATGGCAGATATTTTCCTTACATAAGCCTCAGAATCATCAGATGTGCAACCCAAATTTATTATTTTATTATTATGATAGGCCTACTTTGTTTCTGTGGCAGAATACAGAACGAACTTTAAATAGTTGAAAGTGAATGTGGACCCCAAACAACAGAAAATTAAATGGCATGCATATGAGATCCCCATTTATTTCCACATACAAACTTTTTCTAAACCAGTCCTAGATTTTATGCTCAATCTGCACCATTGGTGTTAATGATATTATTTTTTAAAAATGGTTCAACTTTTAAAGATTTAATATTGGGTTTTTAGTACGTTTAACTTAAAATTTAATTTGACCATGTGCTACGTAGATTTATGAGAACAACTGCAAATTTATTATCTTTATCAGCTATTCCGCTTTGGACTGAGGATGGCGCTATTACAGAGGACAATAAATAATGTGACTTCATTACAATGCATGTCTTTAAAGGGCGTGAATTTTATTTGCATTTTACAATTACACTTTTTTTGTGCAATAAACAAACTCAAGTTATCATTAATCTTAGCCTATAACATGATTACCATTTGGTTATATGAACCAGAGTTTAAACCATCCAGTTTAATCAGACTCCTTCAGTCAAGAAGGTGTCATGTGTCACTGTGCTCCACAATAGGGAAGTGAACTGCACTTCCTATTTCCCCAGTGTTACTGCAGTCCACTGACTAAACCAGAAATTGAGAGGATGAGAAACGAAAGGAACACGCTTGACGCACGGTTTATAAATGAATACGAGCAGTAAATGACACAAATTCTCAACTTCGGATCCAGTTGAGCGCGCGCAATGGGAGCGTCGCGCGTGCGGGCGTCAGTTTGATAAAACAACGACTTCTCAAAGTTTTATATGTTGGTGGATGAAGAAGAATCAAGATGAAGAAGCAGTTCAACCGCATGAAACAGCTCGCCAACCAGACTGTTGGGAGGTTAGTGTGTTATAAACGGATTATTTTGAATATTTCTACTCTGATTCGTGTAAAAATGCACACTAATGTTGGGAGTGTCACTGTATGCGCGACGCGTTCACAGAGCAAAAGCAAGGTCTGATGTGGTCAAAGTTATAAACTACACATGCTGTTTGGTTATACATTTTATTTTCCATTGATTAAACAGTTTGACATTATGTGTAGAAGTTTGGATTGTCTCCCATGTACAGTACATTGCAGAACTGAGATTGAGACATTTTGGGCTTCTGTATTTTAGGGGCATATCTCTGTTGGGATCATCAAACATCTATTTGACTGAAATAATACATGCAAATATATGAACTGTATAAATATAAATAAATAAACTACATATCGGCGGTTGGATAATTTTGTATACCTCTGTAGCAGTTATTAAGGGACATTTTATTAGGCTAATAATGTAGCTAAATTAGTAACGTTACTGTGATTTTGCTCATTCAGCAATTAGGGATGCACCATTATATTGAAAAACTAACAGTACTTATTTTCATTTTATGGACAATATAAAATACTAGGCTATTTGTTGCTTACTTTATTCCTTTGTCAATTTCAAAATAATGTTATGCTTAAGTGAATTAAGGCATCACAACATAATGTACAGTATAAAATATGGATTTAAAATGAGTAGATAATAAGAAAGTTAAGATGATAAGGTTCCTGTGGTACAGGTTGGGACCATTATTATAGGCATTCGCTCTTAAAGTCACCATGAAATCAAAATTGACAGTTGTTTATTTATGGAATATAGCAGTATGTTATAAATGATTTATCTGTGCATGCCATTATTTATTTATTTTAATTCATGTGCCCTCATAACCTTTAGTCAAAATAACGTCCCCTCCCTCCATCTCTCCTCCTCTCCTCTGATGATGTGTTTACTGGCGCGAGGGCGGGATCAACCTGTCACTCACACAAGATCAACCAATAGTAAACCACAAACCTCCAATCAATTCCCCATGGACAAAATCAAGCCCCGTTCTACATCTGTTCTTGTTTGAGAAGCAGTTTGACGATAAACCTCACAACAGGGAACTTCCATTTCATGCCGACTTTACATTAACATTTACATTTTTTATCTAATATCAAAAAGTAGTTGGAAATGAGTGCTCTTAATCAAATTAAATATAGTTAAATATTATATTTGATTATATACGGTTGATAATCCTGCACCAAGCTCAAGTGGAAACATAACTGGAACTGTTCAGCCTGACGGTGGAAAAGCAGCTATTGATAACCAATGTTTTATATATGTTGTGCATCCCTAGCAATAATAAATAGCAAATAGAGTTTTACATTTTTGTGTTGAAAGTAGTTGCCAGGGCATTTTGACGTGGTTCCTAAGGGTTTCTGCTATGTGTTGCTACATGGTTACTTACTGTTGTTTGCCTTTTTACTGCATGCAGAAGCGTTCAGTTGATCTCTGCAGATCTCAAGAAACAAACTCACTCAGAAACTTTGAGTTGTCTTGACTGCATGGTTTCCCTTGCTGAGATTTTTCAAGGGCCTGTCGGAATTGACCGAAGTTGCATTCCCTTGCATATTTACTTGTACAGGGGTTAAAGGGTTATGTTAGGTCAAAATATCTTAGAGGCTTTTCATTATGTTCACATTGAGCTTTTTTGCATAAACATTGACATTTGCATATTGTTTTTGCCAAGACATTGTTTTTACAATATCTTTATTTAGATTCACTCTTCATCTCGGAGTTAAACATCCCAGGCAGCTGGTAGATTCATCACTCGCTTGTCACAATCTATCAGAGCGTTTGATGCAGAATGCAGATCCGGGGTAATCCAGAGTCGGAGGTATAATTGTCGGGCCAGCTTTCATGGCGGCTTTCCAGGCCAGAGAGACGCCACGTTTCGATACAGTCGGTTAGGTTACGGCTCCAGTTAGTTTGGCCTCTGCTGCAAAAGATACACTGTCAGAGATTTTACAATGATTGAAATGCATTGGAATTGCTCTGTTTTCTGTGATTTATATAAAGTTTCTGATATTTATTTGAACTCTGATAACTTTTAGTCATTGTTATAGTAGGAGATTTCCTGCGTCTTTAGTGAGACTTGAGCACAAAGTGATTTGTACTGAAGTTTTAAACTGTGGTGCGTAACTTCCAAAATGCAAAAATCTAGATTTTGTATCAGATGCAAATCAGAAATGGCATAAAAAAAACGGCATCCAAAACAGTGTACTCTGATGACCATCCGTGGCTAATTTCTAAAATTGGGTAATTTCTTGCTAATTTTGTATTTCTGATTGTATAATTGTTAAAAAATAAAAAAATGTTGGTGCAGACAGCAAGGCTCTACTTATCAAAACTGTCCATTTAGATACAGGATACTTGTGCTTTTAAACATGCTCATGAACATTGAATTTCCTTCTTTTCCTGAAACCAAAAACAGATGTTCAACGAGCTGGTCGAATGAAAATCATAGCAAGAGTCACTCTGTCTAAAGCTTTATTATATGTCATTGAACAGTCGTTCAAAGTTTTCTGGTCTTTAATAATGTTCTCAAAGCGTTAGCAAAAAAACATTATTTATACCATATTCATGGGAAAAACAAACTGAAGCCTTTTATTTGTCCGGCCATCTAACGGTTTTTACATGTTACCACTCGTTTCAGAATGTTCAGAGAACTTTCAAAAGTAACATTCCCATTCAAAAAATATTGTTTTCATAACTTAAAGGGATAGTTCACTTTGAAATAAATTTTCTGTCAGTCATATAATGCAGGTCTATGGTCACCACCTCAAAGAGCATGCACAGAGAAGTCCAAATTAAACATGATTTAATGACTCGTAAATGTAAGTACACATTGATGGCCTAAGACACGAAACGAGCGGTTTGTGTGAGAAAACGAACAGTATTTATATCGGTTTTACCTCTTGTAACCACAGCCACGTCCAAGTGATCTGAGGGTGCGGGCGCTTCGGTCTGCGCAAGCACCGGAAGTGATCTCTTCCAAAAAAACTAAAAAAATTCAACGTTGTCTGTTGATATATCGAAATCGTCGAGTGACGTACACGCGCGAGAGATCACTTCCGGTGCTTGCGCAGAGCGAAGCGCCCGCGCTCTCAGATCACTTGGACGTAGCTGTGGTTACAAGAGGTAAAAACGATATAAATACTGTTCATTTTCTCACACAAACCACTCGTTTCGTGTCTTAGGCCATCAATGTGTACTTACATTTACGAGTCATTAAATCATGTTTAATTTGGACTTCTCTGTGCATGCTCTTTGAGGAAGTGACCATAGGCCTGCATTATATGACTGACAGACAAGAACGGTTTGACCTAAAAATATCAAAATTGAAACTACTGCGGAAACAAAGACACCTACATCTTGGATGCCCTTGAGGTAAGCTAAAACATACCAAAAATTAATTTCAAAGTGAACTATCCCTTTAACGGGAACACAAAACATTCTTAGGGTACGTTTACACAACAACGATGTACTAAAAACAGGAACGTTTTTCCTTAGCGCTTTTCGCTTAAAAACGCTGTATTGCTCATGCCAGGCCAGTAGTTGGTGATGTCACTTTGTAAAGAAACACTAGACTGAACATGTAATACGCATGCGCATGACGTCACCGTTTTCACGGTATCGTTTTCAAAAACTTGCACTTTGAAACCAGTTTTCAGGCCCCCAAAACGGCGTCGTTGTGTAAATGAGCGGCCAGAACACATAAAAAGTTATCAGTTTTTAGTTGAAAACGGTGTCGTGTAAATGACCCCTGAGAATATATTTTGAGTGTCTCCTCTGAGAACTGAATTCTGGAGATTCTAGGGCAAGCGTTTTTTTGTTTTTTTGGGTGACCAAATACCTACTAACAGAGACTTTAATCTTTTCAATTAAGCGTATTGCTTATTAAACCTCTTGTTTTGTTGGGTCAAAAGCTGCAACGGTCTGTTAGGGATAATGTAAGATTTCAGCTCCAGTGCAGTTGCTATATTTACATTTAGGGTTTCAGATTCTGCTTAAATATGAGCACAGAATAGAATACATTACTTATTATGATTCAGTTCGCCTTGTACGAATCCGATTACTTAGAGAGATATTTACAGACTTCCAAGATCAGTCCTGTTCCTTAAAGGGCATTTTGATGGGCTAAACTAGATCTTTATAATAGTGTCTAAACATGTTAGTTGGGTGCCGGTCTGCTGTATTGTGAACTTTGAATGTGTGTAAAATGTTAGCCGTGGTATTTCTGGAGGTTTACACCCAACCCGATATGGATTGGCTGAACACAGGATCAATGCTAGTTCAGTATTGATGGAAATCTAAAAATTCTCTCCCGCATAATGAGAGGTCATTCTCAGCCTGTGTAATGGGATCTTAGGGATATTTGCTTTTGTTACATGACCAGTTTTTGTGGCTTTTATCTAAGTTTCCTGTGCTGAATGTGGGTTGCTCTCTTTTAGAAATAAAATGATGTCTGTGACATTTAATATTGATCTATTGAACCAAAAAAATCACCATGCATGGTGCCCTTGAGAAAGGTCCTTATACCCTGATGGATCTTTTGTGTCAGTTGGTGCCATCACATGAAAGTTGTAGACATAAATAACAGTTGCGCTGGTTGTGTGGTGTTACATATTCTATGCTATAAAAAAGATTAATGATTGTGTTTTTTTTACTCTAGTCTGACTGATCTTCACTGCTGGCTCAGCAGTTTTAGCACATGGGAAAAAACACTCAGCCTTCAGCCAGTTTCTCAAGCAATAATATCTGATCCTAGTTTTTGAAGGGTTATTAGTATAACTGAAACTAAAACATAACAAGTTTGTTGTTTAAATCAAAACAACTTTAACTGAAATAAAATAAAATATTTAAAAAATATATTTTATTTCAGCTGTTCCCATTTTCATTTAGTTTAACTTGATGTACTAAAAAACTAAACTGAAATAAAAATTAATACAAACTAAAAAAAATATATATAAAAATGACAAAAACACACAACAAAATTGCTTAAACTTTAAGTTAAAATGGAAAATATAATTCAAAATATTAACAAAAACTATTATCTCAGTGATAGTCAAATAAACTGATAATAATAAAAAAGGCTTATTATTATTATTATTAAAATTAACTTGTGAGAAGCCAAAAATGCAAAAAATAAATAATATTAGGACTTTTTTTTTAATATCTTGAATAAGACATTATATTTGTAAGTTTTTTTTTTCTTGTTTGAAGCATAAACCTCCAAAAATGTTGTTTGAGCAAAAAAACAAAATCAATGGAACAAGTAAGTTTTTTATTTTATTTTATGTTTAGATATTTTTACTGGAAAGATTAAAGGCCTGTTCACCCCAAGAACGATATAACGTTAACTATAACTTAGCGTCCACATCAGCAGACCCTATCGTTCTGTTTATTATAAGCACGTACTGCGGTTTTGTCGTCTGCTGCTTTAAATGCGCGAGGACGGATTCTGATTGGCTGTCAGTGTTTTTACCGTTCCTCAGCTGGAGACAATCGTTCTGAAAGGGATTCCAACGTTATAGTTTCTCTGTAGTTACGATTATAGTTGTGATCTTTGCTATTCTTTTAAATTTAGAATGATGTTTAGATCTATCTCTATCGTTATCATCCTTAGTGTAAGACTTTTTTTCAGTGTAAAAGACATTTTCTTGTTCAAAATAACACGAATAACTGTTACACTTAACTTTATATAAATAAATGGAAATGCTGAAACTATCACAGATCATGCCATGTGAACGTTCAGATTGTACAATGTCAAACGTGGCATAATGTGTAATAGTTTTATGGTCTCTGGTCAAAGGGAGTCCCTACTCATTATTTATGAAGCTCCACCCTCTTGTGTGTAAAGCCACAGAAGCCCCGCCCCCTTTACTGCTGTTGCCATAACAAACAATGTGGAATGCAGAAAGCAGGAAGTGGATTTTTTTTTTCTCGTGAAGTGTGCCAAAATCAACCGTTTGTTGACACAGTTGAAAAAATAAATGATTTTCCGTTTAGAATATTGAACTGCAATGGGTGTTTTGAATAATTTGTTTTTTTTTTACATTTGGAGTGAAGGCTTCAAGACTTATTCTTGTTTTGTTTTTTGTTTTGGCATCTTTTTATAGTGATACTGGCCTAACCTGCTTTCACAGTCAAGCCGAAGAACTTAAAAAAGCATTGCTCGTTATGTAGTCTGTCCTTATAACCAAACACTGTTTCCTTTTTTTTTTGTCCACAGAGCAGAGAAGACAGAAGTACTGAGTGACGACCTTCTTATGGTGACTATTTTTTTTTTTTCCTCCATGACTTTATCACAACCATGAAAGACTGCACAAATCATCTAGCATTCCAGTGTGATTTTACTATTATTTGTATTTCATTATTTCATTTTATTATTTTAAGCAATTTTAAATTAGCTCTTATTTTTTACATTTTCAGCTTCCATTTTCAAATACATATTTAGTCATTTTGTTATGTGCTTTTGTCACGTTTTAGTTCTTATTTTTTTAAATGTCACTTTTTAGGTTTTATTTTAATAAATTTTTTTGTTTTGTTTAAATGTCATTTAATGTTTCATCTAACGTTTACATTTTATTGTATTTCAGCTTTATTTCAATTAACAAAAAGTTTTCAATAGTTTTAGTTAACGATAATAATCCTGGAACCGACTACATTATTACTTTGGCCAAATGTAGGCACTAAGCATTACTTCAGAAAGTAATAATTTGAGTATCATGTTTTATTTTACGGCTCTCTTGAATACCTGATTCTGATTGGTCAATCGCCACATTGGCCGGTCAAATATTTTTGTATACTACTGTATATTATGGTATATATAATTAACCATTGTCTCTAGCACACGTCATTTGATGTCTCTCATGTTACTCCAGACTTTTTTTTTCTCACATATAATCTCAAATCAATATTTATGTATTGGTATTTTAATATTTATGTCCATTTGTTTATTCATTTATTCGGTGAGTAGTTGTGCTATAAGCAGGATAATGTACAGCCAACCAGTCATTAATGGCAAAACAAATGCTTTTGGAGTGAAACAAGACTATATTTTGTGATATAGACCAACTTGACTGTACATTATCCCTGACATATCTTCTGTATGTATTCATATGATATCAATATTGAATGAATATTAAGACAGATATTGTGCTCTAGCTAGCATGACATTAGCTCTTATTCAGTGTTAATGGGGGATTCCCAGCGTGTCTGTCTTTTGCTTTCAGTTATAGAAATAGTATCTGAGTTGAACTTTGATCCTTAACATTCATCATCTTCTTTCCCACAATCTCTCATCCTTCACACCCCTCCAACTCCTTTTTTTTCTGGCATCTTTCAGATAGCAGAAAAGCAACTGAGACTAATTGATCTTATTTAGGCATTTCTAACGTCACAAGGGCCATGTTTGCACGAGTATGCATGCAGCTACGGCTGTTATGAACAAAAAGTAGCCTGAAATAGCTCGAAAAGACCAAAGCGCTAGCAGCTTTGTGATAGCGTATGTATGTCGATGCAGGTAATTATGATTTTAATTTCAATACTGCATAGCAGCCATAATCTTCCAAAGCAAACACTCACTCTAAAAACAAAACTAATCAGTTTAATCTGTCACTACCTCATTGTTTAAAAAGCATCTCATGCTCAGACATGTCTAAACTAAAAGGGAAATCATTGAGACTCGACGGACTCTCGCCAGAGCTTTATATGCTGCTCCTTCACCTTCATTCATGCATTCCATGTCCAAGGGTCAAAGTTTAACTGCCTGATTGCTCTGCGTCTTGCAGGAGGGAAAAGGAACATGATAATGGGCCATAAACTCCCTCTCCAAATGACTCAGACGGAGTGGTTTGGAATGTGTTCTGGGTTTTGAAGGTCTGCCAGATTAAAAGTCAGTGGTGTTGGCAGACACTGTTAGAGCTGCTTTCCCTGGTCGTGGTTGGAGTTCTTGAGATCCAGCGTTGGGGAGTAACACTGCGAACTGCTCTATGTTTTTCAGTTGCTGGTTTCAAAACAAAAAAATTTCCGCACTAAGTTAGCAGTGTAGCTTCACTAAACGCTGTTTTTATGACGCATTGTATTGCAAATGGACCCAAAGGGCCGGATTCATATTTAAAAAAAAAAAATCATAATTTTTTTTCTTTTCTTTTTTGGTGTTTTGAGATAATTTCAAAAATAAAAATGATTTATAGTTAATATTAATGCAATAATTATGACCCATTTTTTCCCCATTGAATATAATAGAGTTGTTTTTTTTAGAGTCAAGCTTAGGCCTCATGAAAGCAATTTTTGAAATGAGATGGATGCCATCTGGTGGACAAACTGAGCATTTTAAAAATTCAAAACCCATATGTAATCTGAATTTATTAGTGTGTGTGTGTATAAAAGTGTGTGTGTGTGGATGTGTCTGTTTTGCACTCTTGATGTTTTATAGATTCACCCCTTCACTGTTGTGTGCTTTTTTTCTGAATCGTGGCTGATTTGTAGATTGTACGCACAAAAAAACTCTGTATTTTCACATTTTTGCCAATTTCCCATTCATTTCCTATGCGGGTCCATTTGGACCCGAAGGTCCTGAGTGTGACTGTTTTTTTTACAACCACTTAGACTATTCAAATCCTGTCCCCAATTTTTTTGGGTGTTCATATACCAAGTACCAACAAAGTCACCAAATTTCGGACCATTCCGATAAAGCTATGATTAAAAAAAATATATTTATTTAAATGCTTCGGGTCCATTTGGGCCGAAGAACCCCAGAGGGTTAAAAGGCCCCTTTACATGTTTATATTTTTGTTTACGGGGTCTATTACTAGAATAAGTTTACATTAATGTTCAAAAAACATAATTTTTCTTATAAATTACATTGTTGCAGCACCTGTTTGACTGAACGCTCTGTTTTAGTTTCGATTTCTTTAAAACCCGCCTTCCGACACGTGCATTGTGCTCTGATTGGTCAGCCAGCCCCAGTCTGTTGTGATTGGTCTACCGGCGCTTAGAGCGTGTCGGAGATGTAACATCCCTTACCATAACCTGCGAGTATCATCTTTGGAAGCTTCCTGAGGCGCTGTAGTGTAAACATTATAACTACGCTAAATATGGTGTCAGTTTTGCCGTATCAGTTCGAGCCCGAGTCCGATAATGACAGTCAGGAAGAACAAGCCGATAAATCTCAAACCACCTTCGCAAGCACAACTTTGTAATGTAAAAAATCTGTTTTACATGTATCTGTTAAATGTTAAGTCTAAAGTGTCATCTATTATTTGCAAAAAATAAGAGATAATTTATATCTGATTAAATATCATCTATTATGTATGTTAGGGATAGGCCTATACATTGTCCCCTTAAATAGCTTCAATGTGGTCATTAGTAGGTTGCAGTGTATCCGAATACTCATTTAGCTTGACTGTAGTTTAACTTATGAGCTGCTTGACAAACGGCCGTTTCAAAGTCTTTGAGGTCTTGAGTCACTCTCAGTAGGTGTGTATCGACCCCTGCTGGGTGAGTTGCGGCCACAGGTCGGCGTGGCCTCGTCATCATTTCCTGTTTGTCTCGTTTGCTTTGCTTGGAACTGTGGGTCTCTGATCAGAACATCTGTACCGCAGCTCTTTTCCTCTTCGTTCTTCCCTTTTCCTCATTCCATTTACAAACCTGTATCTGAACACTGATAACTGGTTGATGGGAAATGAGTGGAATGTTACATTTAATATGGAATTTTTAGCAGAAACCATTTTTAAAAGATGTATGTGTATGCCAAGACTGTGTTTATTTGATAAAAAAAAACAGAAAAAACGTTAATATTGTAAAATATTATTACAATTTAAAATAACGGTTTTCCATTGCAATATATTAAAATGTAATTTATTCCTGACTGTGATGGTAAAGCTGAATTTTCAGCATCATTACTCCAGTCTTTAGTGTCACATGATCCTTCAGAAATCATTTTAACATTTCTTATTATTACCGATCGAAGTATTAAGTATTACTGACCCCCAAAGTTTTTACTCTATGTGTGTGTGTTTATGTATGTATATATATATACACTCACCGGCCACTTTATTAGGTGCACCTGTCCAACTGCTCGTTAACACTTAATTTCTAAGCAGCCAATCACATGGCGGCAACTCAGTGCATTTAGGCATGTAGACATGGTCAAGACAATCTCCTGCAGTTCAAACCGAGCATCAGTATGGGGAAGAAAGTTGATTTGAGTGACTTTGAACGTGGCATGATTGTTGGTGCCAGAAGGGCTGGTCTGAGTATTTCAGAAACTGCTAATCTACTGGGATTTTCACGCACAACCGTCTCTAGGGTTTACAGAGAATGGTCCGAAAAAGAAAAAACATCCAGTGAGCGGCAGTTCTGTGGGCGGAAATGCCTTGTTGATGCCAGAGGTCAGAGGAGATTGGCCAGACTGGTTCGAGCTGATAGAAGGGCAACAGTGACTGAAATAACCACTCGTTACAACCGAGGTATGCAGCAAAGCATTTGTGAAGCCACAACACGCACAACCTTGAGGCGGATGGGCTACAACAGCAGAAGACTCCACCGGGTACCACTCATCTCCACTACAAATAGGAAAAAGAGGCTACAATTTGCAAGAGCTCACCAAAATTGAACAGTTGAAGACTGGAAAAATGTTGCCTGGTCTGATGAGTCTCGATTTCTGTTGAGACATTCAGATGTTAGAGTCAGAATTTGGCGTAAACAGAATGAGAACATGGAACCATCATGCCTTGTTACCACTGTGCAGGCTGGTGGTGGTGGTGTAATGGTGTGGGGGATGTTTTCCTGGCACACTTTAGGCCCCTTAGTGCCAATTGGGCATCGTTTAAATGCCACGGCCTACCTGAGCATTGTTTCTGACCATGTCCATCCCTTTATGGCCACCATGTACCCATCCTCTGATGGCTACTTCCACCATGTCACAAAGCTCTAATCATTTCAAATTGGTTTCTTGAACATGACAATGAGTTCACTGTACTAAAATGGCCTCCACAGTCACCAGATCTCAACCCAATCGAGCATCTTTGGGATGTGGTGGAACGGGAGATTCGCATCATGGATGTGCAGCCGACAAATCTGCGGCAACTGTGTGATGCCATCATGTCAATATGGACCAAACTCCCTGAGGAATGCTTCCAGCACCTTGTTGAATCTATGCCACGAAGAATTGAGGCAGTTCTGAAGGCAAAAGGGGGTCCAACCCGTTACTAGCATGGGGTACCTAATAAAGTGGCCGGTGAGTGTATATATATATATATATATATTACTAAATTGAGAGATTTTTTTTCCCCGAGCATATTAAGAATAGTTAATGCAATAGGTATCATATTTTTTTACAGCATTTATTGGTGGTTCTCATAAATATTCTATTGTTAATCGTTTTTTTTAATGAATGTTCATTCAGAATGCATTTAATTAAATACTCAGTTAAATGAAATGTTAGTTTATGTTAGCGTATAATAGTGTGTAATGAGGTAGAGATTAGCTAATGTTAACTTGTAGAACCTTATTGTAAAGTGTTACCAGATCATTGTTGTTTTCTTTGTCTGCATTACACACACTCTTCTGCACTGTTGCAAGCTGCCCTGCACAAACTGTGACTGGATTGTGAAATTCAGTGCCCATGTTTGCAGCATAATATGATTGGCATGATTCCTTTACTGAATGAGACGCTAAAACAACACTGACAGTGTGTGCAAAATAAACGGTGCGATTCTAGGTCTAAATGTAGGTTGCATATATCGGTTCTTTTCTATGCAGAGAGACTTCTGAATCGGGTGTCTTTGTGGTGAGCTTTTATTGAAATGAGTTTGCGTTGCAAACAGAAGCAGCGTGACTGAGATGCTGAAAGGAGCAGTTATCTCACACGAAGGGTTTCAGTTCCACCCCGACTGTCTGAAGTTATTTAAGGGACTGTCAGGCACATTTGAGGATTCGCCTCTTATACGTGCGAGAACGAGAGAAACGAGAAAGTCTCTGCAAGAAAACACTCAGCCAGTTTGGCAGCTTTCTGTTCCAGCTGTATGAAACCCGTATTAGTTCTGCCCGGTAACTGCTGAAGTTACAAACCTTGATTTCTTTCTAGATCCTGATAACTTGTAAAAATATGTCCATCCAACTAGTTGTGACAGTCTTTTCTTCCCTATTGTGACGTATATCCGTGTGAAACCGCTTCCAGAACAAGATAAAATGTTGGGCGAGGCTTGATTTGGTCCACTAGGAATTGGTTGTGGTTTGCTATTGGTGGATCTCATGTGAGTGACAGGTTGATCATCAGAGAAGAGAAGAGAAGTCTCTGCAAGAGGGAGGGGAAGTTATTTTAATTAAAGATTATGAGGACAACCACAAAAAAAGAAAGATAAATCACTTATACTGCTATTTCCATAAAAACAAATCTGTTTTGATTTCATGGTGACTTCAACCAAACGTCACTGGTTGGACAAACAGACTTATGCCATTGGTTGAGCTGACATTGCTGTATTAGGCTGATCGAGATGCTCAGATATTTGAATAGTGGCACTTTTTTTTTTTTTTTTTTCAGGACATTCAACCTACAATTGGCTGACTTATAGTTGTCTCTTATAGTTGAGATTTAAAAATACACATCACCCCTGCACACATAGCTCAGGGTTCAGATAGACCAGATCAGATAGGATGGAGAGTATGAGGTGTGAACTGAAAATACATTTGACAAGAGTTTTTCTCATATTACAAGATGTAGGTAAACAGCCTGCTAGTCTCTAAACTCCAGCCATTTGTATGTGCTAAAGTGCACACTTTGCATGCGCAGTGCAGACTTTTTTCTTTCCTGGTTCCTCATGTTCACTGTAGCTTTAATTCTTTAACCATATTGTCCACTTTAAAAGCTTTTCCAATCCAGGCTCCGCTGTAGCCTCTGTTTATGACTGCAGGTCAAAAACATAAACTGATGGCCAACTCAATGAAGAAACAACTAGAAAACACAATTTTTCTGGAAATGACCATACTTTTCATAATAGATGCACAAAAGATTTTTATTAAGTGCCCCTATTATGCTATTTTAAAGGTTTCTAGGTTTTCATGCATCAAAGGTAAAAAAAAACACTTTGATTTTTCATTATATACATTGCAGCATCATCTCTTTTTTCACAGTGTCTGAATTGGCCTGATAAAGGATTTAGTCTCACTAAACCCCTCCGTCCCAAGAGCATACTCTGCTCTGATTGGTCAGATCTGTTGCTCAGTCTGTTGTGATTGGTCTACTCTGCTCTGATTGGTCAGATCTGTTGCTCAGTCTGTTGTGATTGGTCTACTCTGCTCTGATTGGTCAGATCTGTTGCACAGTCTGTTGAGATTGGTCTACTCTGCTCTGATTGGTCAGATCTGGGCTGCGTTCAGCCCCGACAAAACGTTGCACAACGTTTTTTTAAACAGAAACGGTGATGCGTTGAACACACTGTTCTGATGACGCAAGAGTTGCATCTATGGCAGCTGAGAAGGCCATTCTTTGTGTTCTTTGTGAAGAATTTTCGGAGCCTGATGAAGTCGGTATAAATATGTGTTTAATACTACAAAATATGCCCGATGTTACAGTTACTGCACTTGCCGCCCAGAACACAAGAGAACATCCCAATCGAGGGAATGGATTGCTGAAACTGAAATGGAAGCACACGTCTTACCTAATTCAGACTAAAACATCTATTTATCCTCACATACTGACTTTATTTGTAGTTCATACTGTTTTAATACCCTGTATTTTCTTTCTCATTTTTAGGAAAAGCACTTAATTACCATTGTTTATTTCTATACCAAATGTCATACACTTGCAATGAAGCTAAAAATATAAACAACTACATCATTATGTTCATATCCTATAGTTTTACAATAAAACTTACGACAAACATGTCTTCTAATATCCTCAGTTGTTGCGAATACCGAGCTGCATCGAACACATTTGTAAATTACTTTCCTTGAACCCATTGTTCAACCCGGAAACATGACGTTCAACCCGGAAACCGTAGCAAAACGTTGCGCACCGTTTTGAACTTGAACGTGCGCCTATTGTGATTGGTCAAATCTGCTCTGATTGGTCAGATCTGTTGTGATTGGTCTAATCCGCTCTGATTGGTCAGATCTGTTGCTCAGTCTGTTGTGATTGGTCTAATCCGCTCTGATTGGTCAGATATGTTGCTCAGTCTGTTGTGATTGGTCTAATCCGCTCTGATTGGTCAGATCTGTTGCTCAGTCTGTTGTGATTGGTCTAATCCGCTCTGATTGGTCAGATCTGTTGCTCAGTCTGTTGTGATTGGTCTACTGCTTGCAGCACGTGAGGGATAGGCGTCAATAAGCCTTGAGCTTCAGCCTATACCCTTTGGTTTAATCAAAAGTTATGTATATGTTATTGTATATTTGTTAATGATAAACCAAATAAAAGGAAATGAAATGAAAAAAAAAAAACCATAGTTATATGAACTATTGAACTATAATTATTATATCAGTTTGAACGTGAGTCCTCATCCTTTGGAAGTGCAGCTTAGTGGACTTACTTTTGAAGAAATCAGCGTCTTCTCGACTCTCCCAGGCCTCAGCTACAACTACACTGTTTGAGGGACAAAGTAGGCATTGTTTGCGGGCAGCCAATAAAGACCATATGGTTGACATTATCTTTACAAAACGACATACAGTAGGTTCAAGCAAAAACTGTTTCAGGTAGTTCAGATTCGGTTCTTTCTTTTGGGAGATAATAACTCCATTTATCGTGCAGTTTGATCTTTGAAACTTTGCAGACCTTTTACATTCACAAACAACAGCTACAGTATATTACACAACTACATGAAATGTAATATCTGAAAAAGCATAACAGGGGCACTTAAAAGGAATTAATACTTGTATTCAACAGGGATGCATGAAATCAATGAAAAGTGACACTAAAGACATTTATAAGATTACTAAACATTCTGTTCTTCCTATTAATCGAATCCTGTGGAAAATATGAAGCAGAACAACTGCTTTCAAAATTGGTAATAGTCCGAAATGTTTCTTGAGCATCAAATCCTCATATTAGAATGATTTCTGAAGGATCATGTGACGACTGGAGTAATGATGCTGAAAATTCACCTCTGACATCACCACTTTGCCAGAATCACAGTCCAGATGAAATGACTGAACAGGCTTTTTGCACATTTATAAGAACAGGAAACTGAAGGGTGGTGGTGTACAAGACCCACAATTCTTTGCAAAGACTCAAGTGGTAAGCATTACAGGAAATGCAGAACAGGTGTGCATGTAACCATGGTAATGGAACTTTTGGTGATGGAACTGGGAACTACTGAAGTCCCAATACATTTTAAATTTGAATCAAATGTGTGCGTTAATACAGATTGAGCGGCGCCTGGAAAATATGCGATTGGTCTCCCATAATGCACACAAGAAGATGTCCATGTGTCTGCAGGGTAACGTGGGCACAGATGCGGAGAAGAGACATGTAAGTAACAGCTGCTTTTTTATATTTTCAAATCCCTCCTCCATAGTACACACTTCTGAATCGTTTCTTTTTCCTCTTAGAAAAAGCTTCCTCTCACGGCCCTTTCACAATCCATGCTGGATGGAGGAAATCAGCTCGGAGACGAGTCTTTTATCGGGTGAGTTTACTGACAAAACCCATCCGCCTGATCTGTGATTCAGACTCATAATGATGAGAGAACTTTGAATGTGACCAAACATCCCTGAGTCGTCGTGTTTTTTCAGGCAGGCGGTTCATTTATGGTCATGATCTGTGAAAATACAGAGTGGAAACATCATGATTATCCAACAATATTTGTTATCCCAGTAAAATGCATAATAGTCCGGTGTAAAATGCTAAATTATTATTGTTCATGAGGGAAAATGTGACCTCATGCTGCTTGATTATGATTGGTTCATAGTGTTTTTAGCAAGAGATTATTGTTTGTGAATTATGCTAGATGTGTTTGATATTATTTTAAGGGATGTCTTACAAGCAAGGATTTTTTTCATGGGGGGTGTGATATTTTTGTCCATATCGCCCCGCCCTGTTATTTAGCATCTGTTAATCCAAGCGACCAGGCAGCATGATGTTAAGCATGTTTGTGTCTACAGGAAGATGATGGAAGTCTGTGGAGAAGCTGAAAACAAACTGGCCTTTGAGCAGAGCCAACATGAAGTTCAGCTGGAGAGAGATGTTCTAGACCCTCTCAACCAGCTAGCAGAGGTACGTAACGCCAAAGACCTGCAAATAACATGCTTTTTAAACAGGCAATGTAGGTTATATCTTTATGTTTGTGCTTGAAGGTGGATATTCCTAACATCCTGAAGCAGAGGAAACATTTAGCCAAGCTTGTGTTGGATTTTGATTCTGCGAAAGCCAGGTGTGTATATAAATATACTACTGTGCAAAAGTTTGGGTTCAGTTTTTGTTTTGTTTTGGGGGGTTTTCCGGAAAGAAATTAACACTTTTATTCAGCAAGGTTGCATTAAATTGATCAAAAGTTGATCTATTTAGCCTTCAGCCCGCCTTATTTCAACTTAGTTTTAATCGTGTTTAACAGCGGAATTCGTGGTGAAAAACTACATTACCCATGATGCTCTACAGAAAATTACACCAATCAGAGAGTCGAAAAAAGCAACACATGCCAAAAGGTTTTGTTAGCTCCGCCAACTCTCATGAAGCACTGCACATGATGTAATCAAATCAAGTCAATCTCTCCACACTCTCAAAATACTGAAATATTTGCATATTTTGCAATAAACTTAAAATATATTGTTTTAATATATATAATCAACATTTGTAAATGAGTAGTTTTATATTTCTCCATTGTTTTTAATTTGATTTTGCTGTTCACAATGCTTCATGGGATTGTAGTTCTTTCCCTCAATGAAGCTGTGAAGTACATTTGTCTTTTTATCAGATTTTCAAATATGTTTTTGCTTCAAATCAAAGTTTGTTATTGAAGACTGGAGTAATGATGCTGAAAATACAGCTAAATTACATTTTATAATATATTAGAATAGAAAATTTTGAATTGTAATAATATTACTGTTTTTACTGTAGTTTTTAATGCAAAAGACTCCTTTGAATAACATTAGAAAAAATCTTACAGACCCCAAACTTTTGAATAGTAGTGTAAATGCATGACACTATAACCACACCAGCGTCTGCTGATCATCTTCCGGTGCTTTGAGACATTTGATGACATTGCAATGCAAATTGCTTGGAATACTCCTGTAATACAGGTATCACCAGGCCACAAAGGCATTTCCATCATCTGCAAATGCTCAAGCAATGGCTGCCAAACTTGACACACTTAAGGAGGAGATGGATGAAGCTCAGAACAAAATGGAAATAGGCAAGGTATGGATATAAGTCAGATTTGATTGAGGTTTCTGGGTGACCTTAGGTAGCACATTGAACCTAGTCTGATCTTGTTTTGTCTTTAGGATCAACTAGCAGCTGAAATGTACAACTTTTCCTCCAAGGAAGGAGAATATGCACGCTATTATGTGTTGGTAAGTCATTGAGGCTTGACCGGCACAAGAAAAATGATGTCTGATAAAGTTCGATTTATACTGGAATAATGAATTTAACTTGCAAATTTATCAGTTAGAAACTGGTCAAAGTTCAGTGGTATCAAATACTTTAGATATACAAAGACAGCGAGAGGCGTTTCAAAGATGGACGCCGACTGAAATGACTTGCCTGAAAGGGTTTTTTGTGTTATTCATAGATGATCTTACTGTATGCTAGTAGTTAGCATGTCTAACCAGTAGAGTCAATTTAACTGTACAATATTTTACAGTATATAGCCAGTTAGTAGATTAAAGATCATTTTGTCACAAACTTTTCTTCTCTCAAAACAAAAATAGAAAAGTGAGGCTTGTATTTGTCTTGACAGTTGTTAGAAGCTCAAGCTGAATACCACAGAAGAGCCTTGGCGTCCATCGAGAGCGTCCTGCCCACCATACAGTCACAGCAAGGTGTGATATTTACTCTTCACGTCCTGGACAGAGCATCTGCTGGATAAATGTTTCATATGAATCACTCACAGCACCTATGAAATCATGGGCTTATTAAAGGGTTAGTTCAGCCAAAAATTAAAAATTAAAATTCTGTCATTAATTATTCACCCTCATGAAACACGTAAGACTTTCGTTCAACTTCAGAACACAAATGAAGATCTTTTTAATGAAATTTGAGAGATTTCTGTCTCTCCATTGACAGCCTACGCAACTACCACTTTCAAGCCTCAGAAAGGTTGTAAAGACATCATGGAATTAATCCATGTGACTCCAGTGGTTTAACCTTCATTTTATGAGTGAGTGAGTGCTTTGTTTGCACAAAAAAACATAATTTACAACTTAATTTACAAAATATTACGATAATATATATTACGAAATATTATAATATAATACATGTTGTGTTGACACGAGAGCAGATGTGAACCTGCGTTGGGTGAACTAACCCTTTAATAACAATTAAACAGTGTATTATGGAGTGTTTTGTGTGCTGAAACAGAGTCCTCTGTCACAACTTATAAACTAAAAGAGTGAATCTCACAAAATCTATCAAAAACATGTTCGCTAGTGCATATTTCACCCAAAAATAAGAAATTAAGCTTTTTTTGCATTGTGACATTATTGTCGCAATAATATTAAGCACATTTTCCCCTCCAGATCTTATTAGTGTGATGCAAAATAACCTCACTGTCAATAGACATTTTACTTTTGAGCTTTTTTTTAATTGTCATTAAATATGCTCATAATCAATAACATGAAACGTCAACAGAAATGAAAGGCAGTAACATATATATATATATATATATAAAGAATGCTTAACATTTTGCATAATATATAATTATATTGTGAATTAATATTAATTTATTGTATTTCATATCACAGTAATTGAATAAAAGCCTGATTTTAATTATTTACAATATATAGAATATGTCTGAGTCATTTTCACTCTAAAATAGCCTATATTGCCTAAATAAAGTAAGCTTTTTTGCATTTGTGACATTTATTTTCATGACAACACATTTCCCCCCCCAAATTCTTATTGTCATTTGTTTAGACATTTCACTTTTGATTTAAATTTTTTATAGTTGTAATTTTTCACAATGATTATTGTCATTACAGTATATTCTCATAATGAAAACAAATCTGCTTTAACTGCACTGGCAGTACTTTGTTGAAATACTGTATATTTAATTTATAATTAGAATTATTACTAATTTATTTTTCACATTACAGTAATGAGAAAACAATACAGATAGACAGACAGGCAGACAGACGGATTTTCTTTTGATTTTGGGGTGAAATATGACACAGACATGTTCTTGACTGGTTGTATGATATGCACCCAACGATCTGGCTAGTCATCAAGCTATGAATCATTCTTTCTCTTTCAAAGCTTCCTGTTGGCCGGCACTGTAATGTATCCTGTTTCACTCTGCAAATCATCCTGTCTAACAGAATCTGTGTTACACACACACACCTAGTGATGATTCTTAAATGTATCCTCCTCCCATAACTCAAATCATTCTCACTCCGTCTCGTGATCTGGCATAGATAAATGGACAGAGAAGCCAGCGTTTGGCACAGCTCTGGAGGAACATCTGAAGCGCACTAGCAGAGAGATCGCTCTGCCCATAGAGGCCTGCGTCATGATGCTGCTGGAGACCGGCATGCAGGAAGAGGTATCTCACACTGTCAAACAACACCTGGGAACCGACAGATCAAATGACACGAAGCTCGTCTTCCTGAGGGAAAGTAATGCACACACAGTGGCAGAGAGTGGTCATTTTCAGGGAAGGGCTCAATCTTTCTGCCTTTCATATATTTAGCAAAGGGCTCTTTATACAGAACCAGTTTTAAAAGGATGAATGACATTTATTTGACATGCATTTAAAAAAATTAAGTTGCACAGTCAGATTACAAATGAAGGAGGGTTGCAAGTTAACATTTTATGAGTTTATAAATATTAAACTTTACTTTTTACTCTGATAGATAGACAGACAGACAGACAGAGAGAGACACAGTTAGAGAGAGAGAGAGAGAGATAGCAGTAAATCTGTGTTACAGACGTCTACTTGTTCACTTCTGCTTGTTGGTCAAACCCAGACTAATAATAGCAGTGAAAGGAGACAGTCGTTTCCCTGTGAAACCATCACTAACACATAAGAAAACTGTGTTTTCAGTCATTTTCACTTACAAGCAAATCAGTTTGTTTTCACTGCTCGCTGCAAAGGTCTTGTGCGTTTACAACATTTGCTTTCATGCCAGGGTTTGTTCCGTATCGCTGCTGGAGCCTCTAAACTGAAGAAGTTAAAGGCGGCACTGGACTGTTCCACTTCCCAACTGGAGGAGTTTTACTCTGACCCTCACGCTGTTGCTGGTACATGCTGTTTTTCGTAAATGAAAATGTTGAGGTACAGCTAGCTACAGAGCTAAAATGTCATTTCAGCGTTTAGAAGGACTTCCCAATTTTGAACCATGCTTGGTTGTATTGCTGATTGCAAAAAGAGGATATTAGCTCTGAGCTATTTTGAAACCTGAAACTTTTCAAATCTGTCACCAGTGTTAAGAGTACCACAAGTCATGTTCAAACACAATCGAGGGCTTGCAAATGCATCTGATGTTGTGTTTCTTTTCTCGTGATTATTTAGGAGCCCTCAAATCTTACCTGAGGGAGCTGCCTGAACCTCTGATGTCCTACCAGCTGTATGAAGAGTGGATTCAAGCCTCAAAGTAAAGCACATTCACATACACCAATGTCCATGACTACAGACCAAAGTATAGTTTCTTTTTTTTAAACTGAATCTCAATTCAAATTCAATTCGAGCTCTAAATCCTAAATAAAACGTCTATGAAAAAGTACACCCATGCTAATGTGACACTGATTAAACAGTATGGGGATTTTAGAGTATTAGAAATGATATTGATGAAGGTGTTTCAGATTTTAAACTTAGTTTTTATTGTGTATATTCTCTTGTTTTTCTCTCGTCTGCAGTATTTCTGACTCTGATAAGAGGCTTCAGGCGCTGTGGGTGGTGTGTGACATGCTACCAAAGCCCAACAAAAACAATTTTAGGTCTGCTAGTCACTACATCAAACTAACTTTTAGCATTGACCTTTTACAAACTATTATGATCATCGTAACATGCTGATCCATGTCTGTGAAGGTACCTGGTGAAGTTTCTTGCCAAGCTTGCTCTGGAAAGCGACGTCAACAAGATGACTGCAAGCAACATCTCCATCGTACTGGGCCCCAATTTGTTGTGGGCCAAAACAGAGGGGTGAGATTCGCACACAATGCTTCCCAAATAGCATTGTTTATATACAATTGTTAGGATTAAATGACCTTTTTGATGCTTCTTGTGGAACAGTTTGACATGTTACAGTTTTGTTTTTCTCCTAGAAGCCTCGCTGAAATGGCAGCCACTACTTCCGTCCATGTCGTGTCAATAATAGAACTGATGATCAACCATTCAAGCTGGTTCTTTCCAGAAGGTAAGACTATTATTGACTGTAGCTCTGCTCCAAACCTAGTGAGAGTCTAGATCAGTGGTTCTCAACCAGGGGGGTCGGGGCCCCAACACAGTGTCAAGGGGGCTTAAATTATTTAACTATTTTTTTCTTTACAGCAGAAGGACCAGAAACACAGTATATATTAAAAGTTTGTCTTAGACTATGGGGGCATAGGAGTCAGAAAGGTTTAGAATTGTATGCAGTTATTGAACTGACTTCTTACAACTCCAAAGCAACTTACAAAAGATGAACAAAAGCAATTTGTAAAATAGCCAATATTTGTAATATACAATACCAGGTTTATCAGATAATTTTTTAATAGTTTTTTAAATATTTAATATATCTTTAGTTTTAGCAATTTTAGTACTTCAGCTTAAACTTACTTCATTACATTTCTAATTTCCATTTAAGTTTTTAAGTTTAAGGTCATCTAATATTGTATTTTATGTCTGCTTCATTATTTAAATGAGCAAAAATGTTTTAGTTTGTAGTTCCAGTTAGCTATAACAACGCATTATCCATAAAACCTTCAAGCGATACTGCTTCAGATTGGGTCAAAACAAGGCAGCATATTTTCCCTGGCTAATTTCTGCCTAAAATGTTGCCAAAATAGGCAGCTCACTAGGGTTTGGATCTGAGCTTGTCCTCTTTAAGAACTCCTTACTTTCACTCAGTCATGGCTGTTTATTCATAGCCTTTGCTCTTTTGCTCTTCAGATGTGGACTTCAACGTTTCAGGCATGTTTTCCATGCCTGGGTGCCCGGGTACCCCTGACTCCGAAGCCGGATCCATAGACAGGAGGCGCCCAGGCAGCCAGGGCTCGTTCGATTCTGACCCTCCCCGCAAAGACAGGTACAAGTCTCACCCTCGCGTTTACAGACATGACTCCAGCTCCACAGTAGTGTCCGCGTCATATGTAGTGGCCAGTGAGTCCATCACAGTCCAAGCAGACGGTCTGAGACCAGAGCTGGGGGCTGTTTAGACCTGTTCATTTCATATGACACATACAACTTTTTCTGTGGTTTTTCCTCATTTTTTTGTCTTGCTTTGCTTTTCTTTTGTTTTTGTTTTGTTTTAGTTTTTTTTTTTTTTTAACCGTTGCTTATTGTATGCTTTCTGAAATAAAAAAAAATGTATGCTCATAGCTATGTATAAATGCATTATTGATATATTTCATGATCATGAACTTAAAAAAAAAGTCAAGTTTTTGATGTGCTTTCCAAAACACTAATTCAGCATCTGTCGGAATAAAATGATTAAAAGGAATAAAAGCTTATTATTTGTATTTCAGTAATTCCAATTCTAGTTATCCGGTGAGTGTATAAGCAGAAAGTGTTCAGACCCGCTCTTATAAGCTTGGTATGTTCAGAATGAGTCGAACAGCTCCTGTCTTGTCCCGCAGGCGATCATACCCAAAAATTCAGAGCTTGAAAATGTGAATGTTCTTGTGCCAGCCGCTCTAAAAGAGATTTGACTGCTTCATTAATAAACTAAATTAATGTCAGTGTTATTTAAGTATTATTTATATACTAATATAGCACTTCATATTTTGAATTTAGCTTTTCTGTTTTACTTAGTTTCATTTGTAGTCATTTTGCTATGCGCTTTTGTCATTTTTTTTTATTGTTTTGTTTATTAAATTTATCTTAAAAAAATGTGTTTTTTAAATTGTTCTAGTTAACAATAACAACATTGATTAATGCTTCATTAATGAATGACTGCTTAATTTTTTCACTATGGTATAAATCTTAGCATGCAAAAAAATTAAGCTAGGTTTTGAAATTACATTTCGGGGGAAAATACTTAAATGTGTCAAAGTTTGTGTCATTTACTAATGTAAATATACCTTATTTATACAGTTTTTAGTAACACTTTACAATAAGCTACATTAGTTCATGTATTTACTAACATGACCTAACAATGAGCAATACATTTGTTACAGTATTTATTATTGTTTATTATCTTTGTTAATGTTAGTTAATAAAAATACAGCTGTTCATTGTTTGTTCATGTTAGTTCACAGTACATTAACTAATGTTAACAAATACAACCTTTACATTTTAATGGCGTATTAGTAAATGTTGAAATTAATATTAACTAAGATTAAAAAAATGTATTGTTCATTCTTAGTTCATGTTAACTTGGGTAGTTAACTAATATTAACTACTGAACCTTATTGTAAAGTGTTACCCAGTGTTTTTAATTTTATTTAAGGATACAACATTCCATTTGCATTGTGTGTATTGTACTATATGTTGGCTGTTTTTGCTCTGTCAACAAAAGTAGTTTGACATGAAATCAACCATTGTGGGTCTCCGGGCAACAAAAAGTAGTGGCGATCCTAAATGAATCCCCGTTTTTGAACGAATTGGTTGAGTGAATGATTCAAATGGCCTAGTCATAAAGACTTGTTTTGTTCCTAAATGAATCCATGTTTTTTTTAATAAATTGGTTGAGTGAATGATTCAAGTGACCTACTCATGATCCTACTTAAAACCTACTGACAAAACTATGTAACTTATATGTATAATTAATGAATTTGATATATTTGTGAAAAACGAATATGTTGAAAATGCGCTAAATTTAAAATCTCAACCATTCCCAATATCTCTCTCTGGTTGCTGTCCCAGTGGTCAGGTGGTGGTCCTGTCCTTCTCCTCCTTCCCTTCTGTGGAGACTAATACCCCACTGTCCCTCTCTAGTGTGAGTGTTTCATACTGTCTCCCCTCTTCCCTGTAGCCCTGCTAACAAACAGCCGGAAATCACCCCTCGTAGAGCTGGCACAATAAATAAAAAGCAGCACTCCACGCCTAACTTCCAGCCCCCTCTCCCTCCCATTGACGCCGGGGGGGTTCCCGTGTTTGAGCCCTCCCCTCAGTCGCCCGGTGGCGGGGGTCTGGAGGCTGGGCAGGCGGGAGCTGTGGTGTCTCAGGTGCAGCAGCCTTTAGTTCAGCAGAACCCTGCTGCGGAGAACAGGTAAGGATTGGTGCGACCGTAAAGTCCCTCTACCTCACCATGCCATCCGCTGCCAGATGTCAGGAGCCGCCCGCCGAAATCTGTGTGTTGTGTGCACATCGTTTTGTGCCGCTGACTAGATTATTGCTTCAAAACGCTGCTTTAAAATCAAACGAATTGCCATCAATTGGGTACGATCACAGAGGAAGGTTTGCAAACATTTCAAGATAGCTGGGTTGGCAATAATCAAATGCTGTCATTTGTTTCTGTGTCATGCACATTCACTCTTTGTGAAATTCTCATGTTTCTTTAATCACTGTTACAGCTATACACCATCACACTTGTACCCTTGGTCAAGACATTTTACCCTGGATTTATCCAGACTGTGTCGTCGCGAAAATACGCCCGGGACAACATTTTTATGGGTAGCCCTCAGGCCCAAATAATAAGCTGTATGAAGGGTTTCTAAACTGGGATGAAGAGGTTACAAGAAAACCTCGGTCTGTTCCAAGAAAAATTGTGTTCAATTATTCAATGAAAAGAATTTCAAACTATATAAACAGTATATATATAAACACACACACAATTAAATCAGAGCTAAATGATACTTCTTAAATGACTAAAAATGAAATATATATAAATTATATTATTAATGAAGAATATGTATATGTGTGTGTGCTAACCCTAACTATATACACACACATTGGTTAATAAGGTATTATATCATTTATTTTATTTAATTATTTTTATTCTGCTTTCTAAAGACTTGGTTGGAAATCATGTTATTAATCAGTTATTATTGGTTATAATTTATTATTTCCACCCAATATTTTATCCATAATACTTTTAAAAGAAGAGTTTCCCCAACCTATATCGATTTTCAAATTGGAAGGATTCAAACAAACGCCTCTCAAAATGCAAGTCAAGGATGATTCTTCAAACGATTATTTAATCCTGGTCAGGGCACAACTCCTTCTAGTCTTTCTCTCCATATCTTTTCTGTAGAGTCTTCTCTGTTGCTTGAGTTTGTGTGTCCTGCCTTGTCTTTCTCAATTGCTTTTTCTTTCTATAGTGGAAAAGATGCACTGCATGCAGAAAAAAACACTTCTAATTATGCTAACAGTTTTTCTTTATGGCATCAGTATTAACTTTCCCGTGCAAGTCATTAACTCAACTTGGACCACTACATGTTAATTCCCTGCATGTTAACTGATCTGTGTATACATACTGGAATGTAATCCCATGATATGAGTTCCCTGCTTTTCTTCCCTCCCCAGTAACATGACCCGAGAACCTGCGACCACACCTCCGGCCATGAGGAACGGACCGGGAGGTTTGAGTGGGACACCCGCTCAGCTGAATGTGGGGACCCCTACCTCAGGTCCCAAGGGCCCCAGTCCGTTCATGGTGCGCAGAGGTGAGTCTTAATCGCCCTTATCCCAGATGGAAAACGTTTTGATCACGACATGGTAATGTTGTGAGCGAAACATTTCCCGTTCCTCAGTAAAGCTGTGGTTTTTATCTCACGTTTGCTTTTTTTTTCACCTTAATAGTGTGTGGAAAATAATTCAAATGACCTAAAATGCATGTTGTTATTGTTAACAAATTCAGGTACAAAGAAACAAGCACCTGCACCTCCCAAACAGACCACGTCTGCCACATCTCAGAGCGTAAAGACGGCTCCTAACCAGCCCACACCAGGCCAGCCCTCTGCCCCGAGCATCCCTCAGCCTCTCACCGCACCCCGTCGCAACAACCAGACCCCCATCCAGGCCCCCAGTCACCCTCCTCCTCAACCTCCTCCCCAGCCTTCTCCCCAGAGCACAGAAGAGCCAGACCCGTCCCCTCCCAGAACCCCCACCCCACCCGGTACACCGCCCCACGACAGCTCCCAGACCCCCCTCACTACCTACCCCTCCGGCTCCCTGCCGCGCCCCAGACCCACCCCTCGCACGCGACCCAAACCCAGCGGCCCGCCACCACCCCAACCAACGAGCGGTGCCAATGGTGTCTGTGTTTCTGGATCCAAGATCATCTCGGGTAAGAATAGGCACTTTTATTTGGCACTATATCAAATATCTACTTTTGGATCTGTATTATTATTATTATTATTACTATTATTATTTGTGTTTACTAAGGCAAGGTTTATTATTGCTCATACTTGAAGTTAGTTGAGCAAACGTATTAAAAGCATTAAACTTTGGAGTTTGATGGAAATTAATGAAAAACAACAACATTGTGACATTTTTCTACTGGCTGGCAAATAATAATAATAGTAATAAATAATAATAATAAATAACAATGGAAATACTTAAATTATTGTATAAATAATATTATATAATGTTTATATAATTATAATTAAGAATTTGAATTCATTATATTTAAATATAAACATTTAATAATTTAGTGTTTTATATATTTTTATTTAGTTTTATTTATATTACATATGACAATATGCTGTACATTGTATAGCTAATATAATTATAATAATTAATAATTGAAATATACATTGAAATTGAAAAATACATTTATGAATAAAAATAATAAATTATTTTATTTTTTATTTATAAATGATTATTTCATTTCTAGAAAATAAAAGCCCAGCATATGACCAAAATATTGTACAGAGTGTAGCTAATATAATTATAATAAAAATAGTAATGAAAATAATTAAATAACCTTTTTTTTAAATAAATTAAATAGTTGATTATTTATAAAAGTATTTAACTATTTTCATTACTATTTATTATAATTATATTAGCTATACGATGTACAATATTTTGGTCATATGCTGTGTTTTTATTTTCTAGAAATAAAATTAAATAACCTTTTTTTAAATAAATTAAATAGTTGATTATTTTTATTTATAAAAGTATTTCATTTTATTTCTAGAAAATAAAAACACAGCATATGACCAAAATATTGTACATCGCACAGCTAATATAATTATAATAAATAGTAATGAAAATAATTAAATACTTTTATAACTAAAAATAATACATTATTTTTATAATTTCAATATATATTTTATATTATATATGTACCAGAGATAACTTTATCCTTTTCCTGAGGGCAAATGCACACGACTATATAAAAAAAAATCAACATGTCCGTGCAAGTGTTATGGGAATGTCAAGCGCTCAATGGGTGCCGCTTACTCACTTTATGACATCTCAGTCAACTACAGCTAGAGTCTGTATAAAACCACAGGTGTCCAATGTCCGTATATAATGTACCTCATTAAAAGCTCATTATTGGGCAGGAAGCCCAACACTAGCCCCTGCCAAACAGCTGCCCTGAGGGTTTCCCTCCATTAGGATCGTCTCACATGACCAAAGAACTTCGTCTTCAGATGAGTGTCCATGCCAGGTCATTATAGCCGAGAGCTGTATTTCCACAAGTAGGTCTGTCAGGATGAATGTAGTACAGACTGTTCAACAGCACATACAGCAGTGGCCTGTAATAGAGGCCCGGACATCTTTGTTTTATGCGTTATATACTGTATGGTTGTCTAGTTTATATTTAATATTTACATTTAAATATGCAATGCAAAGGTTGCGGAATTATTTCGTTGTCACATCCTTGAATGTTCCGTGTTAAATAGAAGTTAAACTCTATAGACAGCATCCATGGCATGTAGAAAATAATATAAAAATATGAACAAAATTAAATTTAAAACATTGGTAAAAGCAAGCAAAACTCTTGTTTACGGGAACGCACTTAAAATGGACGTTTCTAAAGTCAGTTATTATAGATATGAACACGATTATTGTTCGTTTCTGCCGATTGAGGAATGTCAAAATGATTTTCTGTGATGATCAACAGAATGTCAGATGTGATCTTCGTATCTGGATTTCACATTTATCCCTCATAACACAAGATGTCATCATTGGCCTCTCTGTAGGATGCGTCGTGTGTAATAATCTTAGTCGTAAGTTTGGGTCAGTGAAACCACATTGGAAGCGTTTCCAGTGGTTGTGGAAACATCAGCAGCTTCCCAGAGTCCTTCACAGTTTGGCGTGAGGTTCAGGATCTCCTGGTTTACTGCATTGCTTCTGCCGCCACGTTCACAGCGGACGCTTCAATGACTTTACGTGAATCACGCATCAGCACTGTTTAAAGAAATCACCACTTCTAGTGTTTAAAGACACACTTTCTGATGGTTCACCGGCATCAGACCTTCATGTTCAAAGTCAACATGAAGTCAAAATTCAGCCTGTTTACTTTCCTAATACATATTCCTGGTCTTCATTAGCACGTTGCACTACAGTACAGGTCAAAAGTTTGGATTTTTAACGTTTTGAAAGAAGTCTCTTCTACTCATCTAGGCTGCATTCATTGGATCAAAAAGAGTAAAAACAGCAATATTGTGAAATATTATTACCATTTAAAATAACTGTTTTCTATTTTAATATACTTTAAAATGTAATTTATTCCTGTGACGGTAAAGCTGTATTTTCAGCATTATTACTCATACAAATATGATTTGATGCTTAAGAAATATATTATCAGTGTTGAAAACAGTTGTGCTGCTTACATTTTTTGCCAAAACAATGACGCTCTGTTCAAAAGTTTGGGGTAAAAAAAAATCAACTTTTTATCTCACAATGAGCAACTCTTGAGCATCAAACCATCATATTAGAATGATTTCTGAAGGATCATGCGACACTGAAGACTGGAGTAATGATGCTGAAAATTCAGCTTTGACATCACAGGAATGAATTATATTTTACAATATATTAAACTGGTTACTGTAAATTTCACAATATTGCTCTTTTTACTGTATTTTAATGGGCATTCTGTGTCAGAATGTCTTTTGCTTTGGTCTGTGTGATCCCCGACACCCCGGGTTGCCAGTTGGTGGAAAACACAGCATACAAAACAAACTGGGACAGAGATCGCAGATTCCACCCGACCTAAAAACTCTCGGCATCCATCTAAAAATCTCTACATACGGAGTGTATTAAACCTCGGATAAAACAACTCCTCAACTTGCCTGCCTTCCATTGTTCGTTGTGCTCGGCGTGCCCTCAATCTGGCAACCCGCGTTGAATCGGAGGATATTCTGAATTTGCACTGCAGTGCCCATTTCAACCGCTAGCTGGCAATATTACACACTGCACCTTTATTTATTCCAAACTTTTGAACTGTACTGTATATTTGCAACTTTACATAATCCACTTATTTTGACACATTATAGAAGTAAAATGGGTTGCAGACCCATTCATGTTGACTTTAAAAGGCCACTAGATTGTGATTGATTGTGTTTATGGAAGTTCACAGCCGTCTGAATGATGATTGGTTGGTCATCATCAGTGATTGATCCTTTGAACATGTTGTGACGTTGTTGCACTGTTACAGATGTGTGATCTTCTGCCTGTGAGGTCTGGTTTGAGTGACAGGCGACGGTAAGAACTGGGCGTATCCGTCGATGTTTTCTGAGCTCAGTGTGTGTGTCTGAACGCTTTCTGCACAGCGGCAGCCGTCCTGGTGCCCGTTTTAACCCGACTAACAGCAAGTTAAACCGCATGACAACCTGCATAACCAGCACATTGCAACTAAACATGTAACCTCGGCTGCTTCTGCAGGGTGAATGTCAGCTGTGCCATAGATACTGTTATTTAACATTATTGAATTTTTTAGTTTGGGGTCAGTTTTATTCATTTTTCTGCTGAAAGAAATCACTTGACTAAACTCTTTGTAATTCAAGAATATAAAATATTTATTTCAAATAAATGCTTATAAATTAGTTTGAACCTTCTATTCATCAAAGAACCCTGAAAAAAATGTGTTACGGTTTACACACACAAATATTAAATATAACTTTTCAACATTGATAATAAAAATAAATCCGCATAGCAGCAGATTGTGACACTGAGGACTGGAGTAATGATGCTGAAAATTCAGCTTTGATCACAGGAATAAATCATATTTTACAATATATTCAAATAAAAAAGTTATTTTAGATAGTAATACCATTTCAGTTTCTACAGTTTTTTTTTTGTTAAAATAAATGCAGCCGTGGTGAGCATGAGACGTTAAAAATCTTACTGACCCCAAACTTGTGAACAGTAGTGTATATTTGATCATGTTTGGATATTAAAGATGTATAATATTAGTATTGTTGGTTAAATATAAATGGCTGTATCAAATCTAAAAACATTCTCATAACGTTATCATTCAATAATATTAATATTGATGTTAGTGATATAACATGCATTTTGATATCCAAAATACATTCAAGTGCTTCTTGGTTTCACAAATATTGCTTATTTTCTCTGAAGGGCAGGTTTTATGAAATTTAGTTTTGGTGGAAAGATGATACTAAAGAAAACTTTAACTATGCATTATGATTGCACAGATGGAGATGGAGAGGAGAGATCTTTTATGGGACCAGGGCTGGATCTTGTCCCGGAGCTTGAGGATGAATCCTTGGAAACACTCTCAGAGGATGAACACCAATCAGAAAACACCACCCTGTGAGGTGGGCGGAGTCAAGTCTTCACACAGCCAATCGAAAGCTATGTTCGTAATGGAATACTAGCATACTGTAACTGCACCGTACATTCCTACCGTTTTTAAGGATGTGAACGTATCCAACATGAGACAAACATTGTCACACGACCTCTTTATATACCGGTTACCTCATGAATAAATAGTTAAGCATTCTTCAAGTAAAACATGTCTCAACTTTTGGAAGCGTGATCAAATAACGAGTCATAACAGTTGTAGTTCAAACGACACTGGAAATGGAAGGTCAAGTTGATGCATTGCATTATGGGATACGGCACCCAGCACAGTGTGCAAATATAGTAGGTCATCTGGGTATATTCTAAGCATACAGAAAGTATACATACAGTAAAAGTAGTATAGTAGTATGCTATTCCGAACATAGCCACTTTAACCTTTAGCCCCTGTAGATACAGTCCCATTTACACAAAATACATGAAACAAAAACAGTCTAGAAGCTTCCTGTCCTCACAATGCTGGCACATTGTAACCATGAGCCGGGAAGAAATCAGTACGCAAATATTAACATGCTCTACCATCTTGATTTCATTCACAAATGGCATAAAGCTGATATGGGTTCAAATATAAAATATGAATGTCTTTGAGTTTTGTGTAACAAGCGACATATATGTGCAAATCACTGAGTTTGTGTGGCTGATCTTCCACACTTCACATTTATGTTGGTTATCATGGTGAATGTCATTTATTCAAATTTATTTTAATTGTTCCTTTTCTCTTTTAATACTTATGTAAAAAAAAAAATAGAACATTTGGATTGAAATGAGGTTGACAATGAAAAATACTGATTATACAGATACAATTCATTTGATACATGTGATTTGTATTTTTAAGTATTTGTCCTGGGGTGCAATACTGACTGTATTATGGCATTAAAGTCAGTTTTCTATTAGTTTATTAGTAAAAAAAAAAAAAAAAAGTAATTGTGTTTCACTAGGTTTAATTTTAGTGGAGGATACCAATATCAATTTATCAGATTCATCTATCCACAGTTTTTGATCCACTAATATAAACCCTGCACATGCTATTATGAAATATCCTGTGTCAGAGCTTTAGGGGTTTGTTTCATCATGTTGTATGCAATGCACTGACAACATTAATGTGAACGAGTGAATGAAAGGATTTATGGATCTGTCAAGCTCAGGAACCGTCAGCTAGAAAGCCAAAAGTCATTCATTCCTTTCAAGAGGGAATATGTATTTTATTTCTGTGGTTATGTTCTCTTTAATGTGCTTTCTTAATTGTACATATTGATTTTTTTTTCCTTCTGTTTATCACCCTTTTCTATATCTGTGTGCACATTTCCTGCCTCTGAATTCTTATTCTTCACATTCTCCAGTGCCTCAGATGAACAAATGTTGTAAAAATTCTTTTTTTTTTTTTTCAACACAAACTTTTTTTCTGATTATATATCTAATAAAATGCTTGATTACAGAAGCAAATTTGATCTCAAAAGTTGTTTTTTAAACACCGTTTAATTTACAGAAACATCAAGGACAAAATAGTTTTCATAGGAGTTAAAAATAGGTTTTCATAAACACTTTTTGTTATACTGGTTGAAGCAATCAATAATAGAAGTCGTCTAAATATTAAATGTACATAATCTTCTGTGGAAGTCTCAGGACCAAAAAATGTACGTCCAATCATTGTGCTTTGAGACATGAGGTCATTTAACGGCGTCTCTTGTGATGCTTTGCAGACATAGTGTCGGCCCACATCTGGTACATGTGGATTCCAGGCGTACCAGATGTGGGCCGGATCTGGGCGAAACTATGGCGCGGCTTTGGAGACGCTCTGAAGGGAGGGTGGGATCTCATGCTTTCAAAGCTAGCCTCTCAGAAATTGCCTACCCTACCTTTAAATTGTCATTTAATGTCTTTATCAAAAAAAGTAAAAACTGATTGATAAATAAATAAGCATACCGGTCAATTAATAATTACATACTCAGTGAAGATTTACTTACACACCAGTCACACTAAACAATCCATGATAAAGGGCAAGTGGCTATGCCCAGTAGGCGATGAGAAACACAGCCAATGACATACAGACGATGAGGTTGGCGTTTACCACGTGTCTCATACAGGGCTCTTCCTCGAGGGAACACATCGGAGTCTCTGGAGGAGGAGACATGGGCTTCTCTTCTTTCTGCTTCTCCATTCCACAGATCCAGAACAGAGCAGATTTGAGTTTAGAGGAACCCGCTTCACTGGACACAGAGCTACAGGAGTCTGGTGAGAAACACAGCGCTCAGAATTACATGTTAACAGATTGAATATACATGATGTATATTAAGTGCATTTTATATTGCCTGCCAAATGCATTTAGACACTTGCATTGCCCAAAAAAAATGGCCATTTGTTTGCAGATGTCACTTTTGTGGTTTCTATGTAAAGCAATGACGTTCAAATATTAATTGTTATGCCAATGTTTTTTTTTGGAGTTAAAAGAATGACAAAAAGTAAAAAATTATGACACAAAAGTCCAAATTATGACATAATTATGTGATAAATTTTATATTATGATACAAATTAGATGTGTCGTGTAATGTCAATTTCTCAAATGTATGACTTAGTATGTCATAATTGTAACATCTCATAATTATTACATAGAGATTATGTAATGAAATAATGTTCAGATATTTAGTCAGTGTGATGTCAATGTTTTTTGGTGTCATGTGCTTATATTTCACATATTACTCAGATTTTTCTCATTTTCTCCACTCATTTAAACACTTTAAAAAATATCAAATGACTTTGTCTCCCTCTTCTGGATAACTGGTCTATTAAAGTCAAAGAATTAAGCATAAAACTAAGAATAAATCAGGATAGACAATTTACAACACCTTGGCAAACCATTGCATGCATTATTTATCCTGAAGCACACTGAGACTTATCTGTCCCTGTTTAATTCAAATCCCAAAATAATGCTACAAATGCATGTGAATTGGAATAGGTACCTTCTTTCATTTGATATGCATCATTTTCCATGTGTTTTGTGTTCTGTGTGGCGCCTTCGATCGTGTAGAGATCTGAAGCCACAACCTCTTCGCTTTCTTTCACAGGATCAAAGCGCGTGTACCACGTCAAACGACTGATCTGCAAAATAACAAGCCCTTTATACCGGACGTGTGTGTATTCTCAAGGTTTGTGAAAAGACATTTCTGAGTACAAAGTATGTTTTTTGTGCAATTGCAAACTGGGTTTGTGTGTGTGTGTTTACCTGCTCTGGTTTGGGCTTCTCTGTAGCCAGACTTACACACACCACCACGATGAGTGTGAGGAGAGTGAGAATGATGGAGAAGTACAGGAAGTGAACATATTTGATGATGTCAGGCCTGGTGTCGCTCTCATAGCACAGCGGTGTAGGATAGACGAAATCCAGGATCATCCTTATACACCCCACCAACATCCCCACTATCAGACCCCAGAATGCACCCTACACCAACAAAAAAAATCAGTTAATGTGTTTATTATTTATTGATAATATATATTAATAAAATACTTCAGAAACTAATTAGGAATGCACTGTATATAAAGTGCAGTATGAGTGAATGTGTGACCTTCTATGTGTGAAGTTCATATACTAGACAGAAGAGTACATTATGGATTATCATAATTATGAGGTTAAAAGGTCAATAATAACAAGTAGAAATTATGAGACACTAAGTGAAAATTATGAGATAAAAAGTTGACATGCTGTCATAATTATAGGATAAAAAGTCATAATTATGAGATAAGTTGACATGACAATTTCAAACAAAGTATAAATTATGAGATTAAAAAGTTGACATTGTGACAATGTTGTAATTATGAGCTAAGTTAATTATGAGATAAAAAGTTGACGACATGCTCGCATAATTATAAGATAAAAGCAGAAATTACGAGATAAAGAGTAAATTGTGACAGTCATAATTATGAGATTAGAAAGTCAACATTGTGACAATGTTGTAATTATGAGACAAGTTAATTATGAGATAAAAAGTTGACGACACGCTGTCATAATTATAAGATAAAAGCAGAAATTATTAAATAAACAGTTTAAATTGTGACATTGTTATAATTGTGAGATTAAAAAGTTGACATTGACACTCATAATTATGAGATACACCGCCGGTTTAACGGACAAGGCTTAAGCTAGTTCCAGACTAAAATGCACGTTCGAGCTGTTTTCACTGAAAGAGACTTGCACTGACAAATCTTAAAATATGTCACTGCCATTGTTTTGTATCAAGATTCACAGCAGTTTTATGTTGTTGGTTTTTTTTTTCTTCAAAAGGTACTTTTGTCTTATTTGAACTAAGGCCTAGTCCTGGCTTAATCTAAACCCTGTCTGTGAAACCAGGCCAAAAAGTCAAAATTATGACAAAGAAAATTCTAAATTATGACAGTCAATTATGAGATGATGAAAATGAAAGTTGACATTATGAGACAAGTCAATTCAAAAAATTAATGTCAGACTTTTTGTCATTTCGCTTTTATAATTATGATTTAGTATGTCATAATTTTAACCATCTCATAATTATAACCTTTAACTATAATTATGATTTTCCAAAGCCATTTTTTTTTGTGGAAGAAATGGGCTTCCATATTACACATTACATAGTGTAAGTTCATAGTGTATAGTAGGTCATTTGAGTACTACCATCTATATGAGTGAGTCATTATATATTCATTCACTCAATCGACTGTTCAAACATTGATTAATTCAGGAACTCGCTCCTGTCTGTTGCACAGAACAACACTTCTGCTGTAGCTTCGCTTTTGAACTATTTTTGTTGGTGGAGCAATAATAGACAAAGCAAACGGCAAAATATTTGTAACACCTCACACTATCAATCTTGGTGTTGGTCTTGATATCCACTGTGAAATTATATGGCAAAATCTCAGCCAACAGTACTTGTGATATTACTTTATTTATAATTTAACCCATGATATGGCTCGAAGCCTACCTAAATAAACGTTTTCATATGTGTCTCTCTCTCACTCTTTTGCAAGTGTAACTCTGTTACTATGGTTACCAATGTTTATAGTAGCGGATTCATTTCGTACTGTACGGTAATCAAACTGACTGGAACTACCTGTGCATTAAACGGTTTTACTGCACACCTTCCAGCCAATCAGAATCGAGTATTTAAACAACCCGTGGTATAAGTGTGAATTTACATAAATTACTAATGAATACTTTTCAAAATCTGATGAAAACATTAAAAAGGAAGAAAAAAACCCCTCTAAATGCTTGATTGGTTTTGTACCTTCTCATTGGTCCGTTTCCAGAAGCATCCAGCGAGGAAGATGACCGTTATGGGGGGCTGCAGGTACATACTGATGGATTGGATGTAGATGAAGAGCTGCCCACCCTGACTGGCCTGAACTAGAGGAATCCACAGCACTGACACCACCACTAACACCAACACAAACACTCTTTGACATGGAAACACACACACACACACATACACAACAGTTGAAACAGCTGACTTTACCAGAGAGCTACATGTTTTAAGTATTTGTAGTTGTAGAATGACAATACTAGATTAATTTGCTAAAAGCAAAAGCTCGACCAAAAGAGAATTTTACAGGTTAACAGCTTCTAACTATCCAGTGGGCCACCAACATAAGACGTTAATATTTGGTTTCATTGAAGTTCTGTTCAATATCAATTTGACAAAGAATACCGACACAGCTGACATTGGTTTTAAGTTGTGTTATTAACTCTTTTCCCGCCGTTGACAGAAACTTCCGGCTTTCCGTGTTTTCACTGTGATTCGGTAGGGGGGCACTATTACCCATCTGTACAGAATCAGAATCTCCTGATAAAAACACAATACGTAAACAGATCCATATGTAAAATAACGCGATCATTAACATTAAACTCCATATAAGGGTGATTCTTCAATTGGGGGCTATTTTGCCATCTTACATTTTGATGAATGAAATCTGGTTGAATTTTGTTGGAATTATGTCAAGGCAATGTTTACATGCTTTGATGTAAAGATATAATAATGGCCACGACTGAGCTTAAATATAATTTGAGTATTTTATATCTATTTGCCAACTGGCACTGAAAAACGTCATTCCCATCACAACATCAAAAAGTCTCATAATGCAAAGAATGTATCAAGGAGATCATTTAAACTCATTCATCTTGCAAACATTGTTAACCTTCAACAATACATATAAAAAACAAAATGTTTCCATTCTGGGAATTCCATATATTTTCTTGTTCTTACCATCAAAATGTGTTTTCCTGTATTCATCAAAGCACACTTTTGTTTAATTTCTGTAAAATTAATTTTAGATGTTTTTTCTTTGAATAGGTGGATGAGTATTTCATTAGGCTTTTCATGTAGCACCTCAAGATTGAACATAAAACAGATTTAAAGGTATGTTTGCTGTAAATTAAGCAACGTGGTGGTAATGACATACTGTTCTGGTAATGACATAGTGTTTTGGTAATGACAAATGAAAAGTGTACTGATACATAAATCAAATTTAAAGGCTTAAATAATGACTTCTGGTGAGTGTTGTTGAAAGAAATGGACAGATGTAAGGAGATTGACAGGGTTGTGCAACCACAGAAACCGAAAATTCTCGGGACAGCAGCATGTGTCCAAATTGTAATCTTGTTCTATTTCATCAGAAATGATCTTGAAACGGGGCTTGTGTAAAATACCGAACTTGTCCTTTAACTTTCTTACGACCTCTTCTGCAAGGAGTTTCACGATTTTCATTTTCACTGTTCTGACCCTGTTGCACTGGAGATGTTGGGGGGTGTTTGAAGCTACATAGTGTTGTACTTCCTGTCGAATTTTGTCATTGGCTCTTTGATTGTTTTGGTTAACTCTCCATTGTTTGCGTTTCTGTTAGAGATGCACCGATTGATCGGCTGGTGACTGGAATTGGCCGATTTTCGATTGGCCATGATCGGCGATGACATTTTATGCCGGTCAAATACACTCGGGCGCCGCATGATTAATATCGAGCAACATCAGCATCACACGTGCACACGGAACGCACATGTTGGAAACCTCGTGAATTACGGCCGTTTCACACCGCAAACGTGAGCAGCGCGTATTATTTCAAGCGTGCATGTTAATCAATGAGTGCATTCACACCGGGAGCGGGAGCCGCGCGTGAGCAGCGGTGAAGCACGGGTTTCGGTGCAGAGTCTATTTTTGCTGCACTGCTCACGCTCAATTAAAGTGAAAGCACACTTTTGATGGACAAAATAAATATGATTTCACACAAAAGTGCCCAAAATGCACAGAATTTGCACGTCTGGTGTGTTTTAACAAGAACTGGAGTATTTGTCAGAAAAGAAAATGAATTTTCTTTTTGAAATTAACACTTTTTTTGTTGGATATTGGATGTGAAAAGAAGGAAATGGTTCTTCCATAACACTGCACTTTAGATTCACTGCACATTTTTAGAGGAGTAATTTATATAGTCCTATTTTATAGTGATTACTGTTCAAAAATATTCTATGCAAAATGTAAAATGTTCTACTAAAGAAAAGAGAGAAAATAAATATTTGTGTGTGCTGTAAAGTGATTAGAAAAAATGAAATCGTAATCGGCTAAAAATTGGTATCGGCAGGTCAAACTCTGAAAAATCGGAATCGGCCTAGAAAATTGTAATCGGCCCATCTCTAGTTTCTGCCTTTGCTCCCGTTTTGAAAGTTGTGAGATTAGCTTTCCTGTTTCTTTTCTTCTTTTGTATCTTTCCTTTTCTCTGTCAATGTACTGCTGATATTTTACAGGATCTTCCTTCAATTTTTTTCTATAATCTCTAGACCTTTCAGTTGATTTCTTGGGAGCCATTCTGGTTAAAAAATAAGACAAAAAATAGTTTTAGGAAGTAAGGCATCTCACTTAAGTTTCATTGTAAAATCACACTATTATGCTTCTTTAACTTAATTTATAAACACATAATATGATATAGATAGTGACACAGAACATGTCATTACCACCATCACTTGTCATTACCATCACAACAAGTTGTGTGTTGGTAATGATGTGTTGCGGTAATGACATTTTTCATTTTTTTCAGGAAAAAAGATGCTAGGTCATGGTTTTGCTAACATTACTCAACAGCTAGTACAAAAAGACCTTTAAATACACATAAATCATTGTGAATATATATATATATTTATCAAAATATTGCTGCTACAGCATTTATGGTAATGACGCTGAATAAGTCTACTCCATGATCAGAAGGAATTCATGATTAAATTACTTACTTTTTCAGACATCAAATTTCACTGTTCTTTCATGGCTGACATGTGCTCCCCTGCTAGTCTTCATTTCCATGGTTATGGCATAAACAAGTCTTACCCTCAAAAATATCCTTGTTGTAATCATAGACTGTCGCGGTAATGACAGTATTGTTGTGGACAATACTAAATTGTTAAAAATATTCACAAATTGCACAGATATGAACCCAAATTATGCATCAAGTGCCTTTTTAAGTTACTGTTTAAACATATATTGTGATTTTTTAATTAACTGATAACATTTGATCACATTTTCAGAGCAGATAAGTTTTAAAGTCTGGGTTGGGGACAAGGCCTAAGTAGGCAAATATTAGTGATGAAAGCATTTTTAAAAATGGAAATCATACTGATTTTAGTGTATAACATTTTTTGGTGGTGCAATAAATATTATTTGAAATAACTAAACTATTTATTTTATAAAATAGTATTTTTAACATGAATGTATAACCTGGGGACATAAAAGTTCCCGTAATTGAAGAATCACCCATAAATCAAAACCACCTAGTGCTACTGAATGAAATGTCATTGTCGACCCAGGTCTTGGTAGGCCTACTGTGAAGTTTTGGGGGTGTTGATGGACTCGATCTACTCCATCTATGTTTTGATCATCCTTCTGAATCCGATCCAGACGTAGTCTTTGACAAAAATGCAATTTCTCAGCTTTTTGCTCAAAATGTTGCTTTCTTTATGAAACAAACCCACATTTAAGTGTTGATAAAAAAGAATGCATTAAGCTAGAATAAAACGTTTTTTGTTTGTATGTTTAAAAGCAGAGGCACTATTCTTTTGATAAATTGCATGTTCAGATATTCATACAAAAAATATTCTGGGGGCCATGTAACTTGTGAAGATAATCAAAAAATGCTGGCGGAGGCTGGCAACTTTAAAAAATAAATGCTGGCAGGGAAATAGTTAAGGAACTAAAATTCAATGACTGATGTCAAACAGAGACAGTCATGAGGTATGTTAATCAAAACCCAACGTCTGCTAAATATAATGTTAACGTCCACACAACATGAAATTATAACATCAGTAGATGCTGATATTTTATTGTCGTCAAGCCAACGTTGGGTTTTGGCCTCAACCCAATTTTCAATTTCAACCAAATTTTAATGACGGTCTAATGTTGGAGTCTTTCTGACGGCCAATTACAAATAGGCTCTTTACAGGCTGAAGAAATGGGTGAATTTGCCTTTAAAATCTAATGTGTGTATAACAGCTTGTTGATGTCACACCTCCCCACAATCATGAGCTCCCACTCGGAGGCAGTGCGGCGGATGTTTCTCCAAAGGTCCATGGTGAAAATGGTGCTGGAACTGTTGAATATGGAGGTCAAAGAGGACATGAGAGCAGCCAACATCACAGCCATCATTAAACCCCTCAGACCTGGACAAACACACACAAGAAAAATTAGTTAGCTCAGCCAGCTGATCTAAAAACTAAAAAACAACCAACATGTACGTAAACAATCAAAGAATCTCACTAATACCTGCGGGAAGGAGCTCCATCACCAGTTTGGCATAAGCAATGTCCGAGCAGCCCACAGGATTCCCACAAACCTGTTTACACACATCTGGGTCTCCACAGCCCACCTCGTCTACAGTTCTCACACACACACACACGTTCATATGCATTTCAATAGAACAAACTGTACATTTAGAGGCCTTAAACTTTGGTGTTTGTTTCAGTAGTTCACCTGGGTAAAGTATCCTGCTGATCATGCCTGGAATCACCATCATGAAGAAGGGCAGAACTTTGAGGTAAGCGGCGAGCAGAGATCCTCCCTTAGCATGCAGAATGTTCTTGGAAGCAAGCGAACGCTGCACTATCACCTGCACACAGGAACAACAACAAAATATAATCAACAATCTAAATATAAGCAACAGCAATAATAAATCTACGACAACAACAATAATCAACAGCAGCAGCAGCAATAATCTACAACAGCAATAATCAACAACAGCAGCAATAATCTACAACAGCAATTATCAACAGCAGCAGCAATAATCTACAAGAGCAATAATCAACAACAGCAGCAATAATCTACAACAGCAATTATCAACAGCAGCAGCAATAATCTACAACAGCAATAATCAACAACAGCAGCAATAATCAACAGCAACAGCAATAATCAACAACAGCAGCAATAATCAACAACAACAGCAATAATCAACAACAACAGCAATAATCAACAACAGCAGCAATAATCAACAGCAGCAGCAATAATCAACAACAGCAATAATCAACAACAGCAGTAATAATCAACAGCAGCAATAATCAACAACAGCAGCAATAATCAACAACAGCAGTAATAATCAACAGCAACAGCAATAATCAACAACAGCAGCAATAATCAACAGCAGCAATAATCAACAACAGCAATAATCAACAACAGCAGCAATAATCAGCAGCAATAATCAACAACAGCAATAATCAACAGCAGCAATAATCAACAACAGCAGCAATAATCAACAACAGCAGCAATAATCAACAACAGCAGCAATAATCAACAGCAGCAGCAATAATCAACAACAACAGCAATAATCAACAGCAGCAGCAATAATCAACAGCAGCAGCAATAATCAACAGCAGCAATAATCAACAGCAGCAGCAATAATCAACAGCAGCAATAATCAACAACAACAGCAATAATCAACAGCAGCAGCAATTATCTACAACAGCAATAATCAACAACAGCAGCAGCAATAATCAACAACAGCAGCAATAATCAACAGCAGCAGCAATTATCTACAACAGCAATAATCAACAACAGCAGCAATAATCAACAACAGCAGCAATAATCAACAGCAGCAGCAATAATCAACAACAGCAGCAATAATCAACAACAGCAGCAATAATCAACAACAGCAGCAATAATCAACAGCAGCAGCAATAATCAACAACAGCAGCAATAATCAACAGCAGCAGCAATAATCAACAGCAGCAATAATCAACAACCGCAGCAATAATCATCAGCAACAGCAATTATCTACAACAGCAATAATCAACAACAGCAGCAATAATCAACAACAGCAGCAATAATCAACAACAGCAGCAATAATCAACAGCAGCAGCAATAATCAACAACAGCAGCAATAATCAACAACAGCAGCAATAATCAACAACAGCAATAATCAACAGCAGCAGCAATAATCAACAGCAGCAGCAATAATCAACAACAGCAGCAATAATCAACAACAGCAATAATCAACAACAGCAGCAATAATCAACAGCAGCAGCAATAATCAACAGCAGCAGCAATAATCAACAACAGCAGCAATAATCAACAACAGCAATAATCAACAACAGCAGCAATAATCAACAGCAGCAGCAATAATCAACAACAGCAGCAATAATCAACAACAGCAGCAATAATCAACAACAGCAATAATCAACAGCAGCAGCAATAATCAACAGCAGCAGCAATAATCAACAACAGCAGCAATTATCTACAACAGCAATAATCAACAACAGCAGCAATAATCAACAACAGCAGCAATAATCAACAGCAGCAGCAATTATCTACAACAGCAATAATCAACAACAGCAATAATCAACAGCAGCAGCAATAATCAACAACAGCAGCAATAATCAACAGCAACAGCAATAATCAACAGCAGCAGCAATAATCAACAGCAGCAGCAATAATCAACAACAGCAGCAATAATCAACAGCAACAGCAATAATCAGCAACAGCAATAATCAACAGCAGCAATAATCAACAACAGCAGCAATTATCTACAACAGCAATAATCAACAACAGCAATAATCAACAGCAGCAGCAATAATCAACAGCAGCAATAGATCACCAACAGCGCAATAATCAACAACAACAGCAATAATCAACAGCAGCAGCAATAATCAACAACAGCAGCAATAATCAACAACAGCAGCAATAATCAACAACAGCAATAATCAACAACAGCAGCAATAATCAACAACAGCAGCAATAATCAACAACAGCAGCAATAATCAACAACAGCAATAATCAACAACAACAGCAATAATCAACAACAGCAGCAATAATCAACAACAGCAGCAATAATCAACAACAGCAATAATCAACAACAACAGCAATAATCAACAACAGCAATAATCAACAACAGCAGCAATAATCAACAACAGCAATAATCAACAACAGCAGCAATAATCAACAACAGCAGCAATAATCAACAACAGCAATAATCAACAACAGCAGCAATAATCAACAACAGCAGCAATAATCAACAACAGCAGCAATAATCAACAACAGCAATAATCAACAACAACAGCAATAATCAACAACAGCAGCAATAATCAACAACAGCAGCAATAATCAACAACAGCAATAATCAACAACAACAGCAATAATCAACAACAGCAATAATCAACAACAGCAGCAATAATCAACAACAGCAATAATCAACAGCAGCAGCAATAATCAACAACAGCAATAATCAACAACAGCAATAATCAACAGCAGCAGCAATAATCAACAACAGCAATAATCAACAGCAGCAGCAATAATCAACAACAGCAATAATCAACAACAGCAGCAATAATCAACAACAGCAATAATCAACAACAGCAATAATCAACAGCAGCAGCAATAATCAACAACAGCAGCAATAAATCACCAACAGCGCAATAATCAACAACAACAGCAATAATCTACAACAGCAATAATCAACAACAGCAGCAATAATCTACAACAGCAATAAACAACAACAGCAGCAATAATCTACAACAGCAATAATCATCAGCAGCAGCAATAATCAACAGCAGCAGCAGAGTTGTCATGATAAAAATATTATGTTTGGAAGGTATGTTGTTGTTAGGCGGCTGCTAAGATCTTATGGGTGATTATTACAATGTGGTTGCTGAAGAAGAGTTCTAAAGAGTTGTTCTAAACTAGATAGAAACTAGTTTAGAACTAGTCTAAAACTACCCCACTGTGAAAAAGAAGTGTGCTTTAGCTACATTTAAGAATATGTGCACATTCAATATGATTAAGTGCACTATATTTTCACAAGAGTAGCTAGATAGAAAGAAAGAACTACAACTTCTACAGATCAAGACCTTCAGTCTAGCAACCTAGAACTTCAACTCTAGCTGGATCTAGACCTTCTAAAGCAAGAACTTAGAGATAGATCAATATAAATATATAGAAGCCATCATACCCATCATGGGTAATGTGTCTTAAATAAGTTCAATCAACACTGCTGGTCGTTCACCTGGTCAGAACACCAGTACCACATGGAGGGCATGGACATGCCCAGGATTACTCCCGGCCACGGCAGGTCAGAGGTCACAGGGTGACGGAATATGTGAAAGGCATCATCACGAGGGATTCCGCAGGTGGTGTTGGGCACTCGGATGGAGGGAATAGCTTGAGGATACTTGTCCAGGACAGCCTGAAATCCCCCAACCTCTGCAAAACCTGACATCGAGAAAAAAAGTAAAAGAAAAAATAGAGTATATTATTAGTGCATAGAAGCTTCAGAATTTCAGTGAACATTATTGTCGTAGTCACTCACTGAAGCCCATGAGGATCAAGGCTCCGACCACCATGATGACAGTCTGAACCGCATCGGTGTAGATCACTGCTGCCAGACCACCTGTAAACAATCAGTCAAGATATGCTTTAGAAGATTACAAGACTTAAAGGGCCGTTCACAACAAGATAGATAACCAGAACTAGTGATGGCCACTTTCGAAACACTGCTTCATGAACCTTCGAAACTGCCAAAGCCACATGATTTCAGTATATGAGGCTTTGTTAAGTTTCGAAACCTTTTGAGATGTAGCTAGATAGACAGAACTAGAACTTCTAGACAGATCAAGAACATCATTCGATGTAGTTAGAACTTGAACTCTAGGCATACATAGACCTTCTAAAGCGAGAAGTTAGAGATAGATCTAAAACTTAAACCTACTTAGACAGACCTATAATTTCTTAATAGATGGATTGATCTATAGATACTAGAAAATCAATATCTAGATAGATAGTCCATATGCAGTAATATAAATAGGAGGATAGTTTTGAAATGTCGAACTCTGTGAACCCATGAACCAGTGTTTATAGTTTTTATCTGATTTCGGATCAGTTTTATAAATGTGCCAACATTTAATGACACATTTGTACAATAAAAACGAAATGTTTTGATTTACCAAACCCTCCATAAACCAAACAAAACAAGTCCTACAATTGAATAAAATAGCATATTATACACTACAGACACTTCCTATTCCATGGTATAAGACGATTTGAGACTACACTTTCAATAAAACATTTGCAATTGGTTTGTAAAAGGTGTTTTTATGCATGTTTGGGCTGAGTTTTCATCGCAATGCATCTATACCTTTCTGGGGTGCGTTTCCCAAAGTAAACTATGGTCGCAAATTCCTCGTTACCAACACAATTCAACAGAACTTGCCACCATAGTTGACTGGGAAACGCACCCCTATCACTAACTATAAATAATCATTCTAATTCTATTAGAATAGAGATATCTAAACCATATCGATAACTACACGAGGGAACGATATCATTGGTATCACTTTCAGAACTGATGAGCGATAAAAATACTGACAGCCAATCAGAATCCAACTAATTTAAAGAGATTAAAAGAGATAGTTCACCCAAAAACGAAGATCATCCCATAATTTCCTCCCCCTCAAGCCATCCTAGGTGTATATGACTTCTTTTGAAGCCCAAAAAAGCACATCCATCCATCATAAAAGTAATCCATACGGCTCCAGGGGGTTAATAAAGGCCTTCTGAAGTGAAACGGTGCGTTTGTATAAGAAAAATATCCATATTTGTAACTTTATAAACTACAATCACTGGCTTCTGGTAACGGCCGTATGCGAGTCGAGTTCTGGCGGAAAAGTGACCTCTGACCTTTCAGAAGGCCTTTATTAACACCCTTTAAAGCGGGAGATGGCGTCTTTATGTTGTCGTGCTTTGGTGTGGACGCTAACATGGTTATGGTTCTTAGTGTGAACAGCCTAGCCTGGGAAAACCCAGACAACTTCCGGCAAATTTAGATTTGCTCTGAAAGTTAGTCTGGCAAAGAGCTCATTCAAGCCCATTTCCAATCCGTCGAAATCGAGGCACCAATCAGAAACGTTGGGGCGGGCTTTACACGATGACGACAGCGCTGGGATTTTGAAGCGGATTTTGTAGCCTACATTACAAAGATGGATGCCGCCGTCGAACATCACTCGTTCGAATCAGCTATCGCGTCTGTTTTAAGCGATTTGAACGTTTCCTTTTTGTTAAAAACCGAGCAAAGAACAACACTCGGAGATGTTTCTCCGCCGCTCTGCATACGTCATCTCCTTCATCGCTCTGATTGGGTTTAGGTCTATCCGCGACGTCCGTTGGTGACGCCCCTCTGGAAATGATTTGTCTATGACGCTTTGCCAGACCATAACTCAGTTACAACTGAGAATGGTCTGGTTTTAACCAGGCTATGAACAGCCCTTAAGAGTAACAAAATATCTGACCTGCGATGGTGTACAGAGCCGTAATGCCGAGAAGCAGAACCACAGCGAGGTAGATGTTCCACTGCAGAGCCTGCTGGATGAACACAGCTCCTGCATACATGTCCACCTGCACACAGACACTCAGACAGGTCAATTCAAAGCTGATTACCAAGTCAGAGAATTTTTTTATTTATCATACTTACTGATATTTTGGTGAAGATGTAGATGAATAGATATAAAACACAAAGAAATAACTGTATTCTTATGCCACCAAATCTTTTCTGTAAATACTCAGGCATTGTTGTGACCTGAAAAGAAATGGAAAATAATTTGTATTTAATTCACACTAATTGCAAAAACAACTAGATAAAGACAGTTGCGTATGTGTGTGTGTGTGTGTGTGTGTGTGTGTGTGTGTGTGTGTGTGTACACTTCAGTCCAAAAGTTTGGGGTAAGTAAATAAAATGTTTAAACACATTATTCAGTAAGGATGCATTAAATTTGGTCAAAATTGTCAATAAAGGCATTAACAATTAATGTTACAAAAGATTTCTGTTTTAAATACATTAACTTTCTTTTCATCAAAGAATCATCATAGTTTCCACAAAAAATATGAAGCGGCACCGCTGTTTTTAACATTGATAATGATCAATTGATAATCTGTTAAAGGGACCCTAAATGTATGTAATACTACTGTCTCAAATCTGTTGTTTTCTCACCCTTGATGCAATATAGATGGGTAAAAACAGCCAGCCCAAGAGCAGCACCATCAGCATGCCCTGCAAATGAACATGAGCCATTCACTTTTTCCATAATCCACTATATAATGTGGTATATTCAGCAAATCAATGTACTCTCTATCTCTTAAATAAATTGTATATTGTGTGCTCACGTTCCATTCATAAGCAGCTGCACCGATACCAGCTGCCGCCCCAGAGCCTGCGAGCCCAATGAAGTGCCCACTGCCCACATTACTGGCAAACAGAGAGGCGCCCACCTGCACATCATAGAAGATGGAAAAGATGTGAGCTGGAAATTACATTTGATCCGTGAGGGGCCGTTTACACCACAACTAAACCGAAAACGTTTGATGCGTTTTTTGGCCGTTCATTTATACGACAGTGGCGTTTTGAAAACCTGAAAGCCAAAAAACACAAACTTCTGAAAATGGGTTTCAAAGTGCAAGTTTTTGAAAAGGATACAGTTATCGTCACCGCGTAAACTTTGAATTTGTGAAAACGGTGACGTCATGTGCATGTTACATATTACATTACCGGTACGTGTAAATGAACCCCTACAGGCTCAAATTCAATTTCAATACTACATTTATTTTTTATCTAACAAAGAAGTATTTTATAACATGAATCTCCTCAGATCCCCAGAAAAAAAATAAAGAAATTAAAATTTGCACATAGAAAGCTATAACAGAACTGTTTTGGGGACCTAATATTTGTTTCATTGTGACATTTTCATGACAATTTTAAGATATTTCTCTCTGAAAAAGTCTTCTTATCATAATGCCAGGGTTATTATCGTTAACTAACACTAAAACCATACAAATATTTTAAGCTAGTTGACAATGCAACATTTCTAATTTTAGTTTTGTTTCACTAAAATAACTAAAACTAAAACAAATAAATATTTTATAAAAACTAATACAAAATAACAAAAATACAATAATTTTACTTATATTATTTTTATTTAAGTGAAATATTTCTAAACAGAATATATACAAACAAAATTTCATTCAAAATATTACCAAATTATAATAGTAAATGATTAATATATTTTTGTATTACAGTAATGAGAACTGATGGGAAAATCATGCCTAATTTTCATGAATATAATGTTCCTAAAAATAGGCTTAATTTTTTTAATGCAAAATGTAATTGCTTGTTATTTTGTTTGTTTGTTGATGTTTTCTTTTGGAGACACCATCACTATTTTACTCACCGGCCACCAAGTCATGGTTTTCCCGGCAAGAAAATATCCATCCACTGTGCTCCTCTTGGTCTTCCACATGGACTGTTGGGTGAGCAAAGGTTATAAATATGCCATATACAAGATGTTACGCCATAAATGTGATAAGTAACACATTTACTGGAGTAACATTTTGTCACTGTGAAATGACATAGCAGTGCATTTTGTCGTTTCAGTAAACTTACCCACAAGCCCACAGCCAGAACCAAGAGGAAGTAGATAACAAGCACCACTATATCTGTGGTGGCCAGGGTGGTCGACGGCGATGTGACCTCCGCGGTGGGGGAAGGGGACACATTGGGATGCTCGGTGGCAGCCATGAGGTCAAAGGTCAAGGAGTTTCTCAGGTGTGTCACTTTAAAACAACAGATGGTGGGTAATCTCCCTCACATTCACACATTCAATGGAATGGCATCCATACGTGACTTTATGTCTTTACTGATTATACATTATCTAGCCTGTATTCGCATGCTAATGCTTTTTCTGTCGTTTAATAAGATACCGGGTGTGTTACAACAGAGGAATGGCAATTTTTTTCCTACAGAATGTAAAACTGAAAAATTAACTTATAAGAAAGGACCACAAGGCAAATATTTCATAAAACTCATTTCATAAAGCACAAATAGAGACAGCATTATACTGCAGAACTCACACTTTCTGATTTCACTTCAGATCCAAATTTGATAAAGAACCCATACAAAAATAGCCTGGGAAAACCCAGACAACTTCCGGGAAATTTAGATTTGCTCTGAAAGTTAGTCTGGCAAAGAGCTCATTCAAGCCCATTTCCAATCCGTCGAAATCAAGGCACCAATCAGAAACGTTGGGGCGGGCTTTACACGATGACGACAGCGCTGGGATTTTGGAGCAGATTTTGTAGCCTACATTACAAAGATGGATACCGCCGTCGAAGATCACTCGTTCGAATCAGCTATCGCATCTGTTTTAAGCGATTTGAACGTTTCCTTTTTGTTAAAAATCGAGCAAAGAACAACACTCGGAGATGTTTCTCCGCCGCTCTGCATACGTCATCTCCTTCATCGCTATGATTGTTTTTAGGTCTATCCACGACGTCCGTTGGTGACGCCCCTCTGGAAATGATTTGTCTATGACGCTTTGCCAGACCATAACTCAGTTAAAAGTTACAACTGAGAATGGTCTGGTTTTAACCAGGCTAATACAAAAGACCATGTTTCCTAACAGATGTGATTTAATGCGTGGATTTAATTGGTTTTAATCTCAAAAGAAGAGAGAAATACGGTAAATGCAAATATGCGTACATCAGTCAGCAATACACACATTTTCCAAGTTTCATTAAGGTGTAAAATTTGGTGGTATTAATGTTTGTATTAAAAGAGTTTTGACCAATACATTTTTATGAACATTACAGTACATTACTGTCTTCAAGTTTTATCATTTACGCCTGTGTTATGGAAATCATCATTATGAACAGCAGCTACGCTAATATCATCTGCTTTTAAACCGACAAACCTTTAGTGCAACTCATTTACATTTACATTTATGCATTTGGCAGACGCTTTTATCCAAAGCGACTTACATTGCATTTCAAGGTACACATTTACATTCTTATCAGTTCTGCTTTCCCTGGGAATCGAACCCATGACCTTGGCGTTGCAAGCACCAACGCTCTGAGCTACAGGAAAGCAACTCCAGCAGCAGGTTCACTCTGTTCAGAGCCCAGGTTATATCAGCTTTTGCACTGTGTTGAGAGCACCTTAGGACCATAACCTTTTCTTGGTTTGAGAGGAACTCTACAGTAACCTCGGGCCAAAAAACATGCAGGACTCGCTGACTGAAAGAGCACATTTTCACGAACACGCTTAACTCATGCGAGTGCAAGCAAAAGCGCTGTCTTGAAAGAGAGCACTTTCAGCAATGCCGACTGGAGTGGCTCGAATGGAGAACATGTAAAGGCTTTCAGAACTAAAGCCAAATCCCAAAATGGGCTAGATGGGTGAGGAGGGTTTAGCTGACGTGATATGCTGGGTGGCAGAATCCTGTGATAGTTCAACACACTCCCTGAATGAACCATGATCAGTCAACCATCCAGATCATTCAGCAGGCAAACTCTACTATTTTTAGAGGGTAGAGAGGTGCTTTCACACATTCCATGAATGTACACACTCATTGTAGGGACTGCGAAGTGGTACGCTGTGCCCATGAAGCAATCTCAGAAACACTCGTGATGAGGGCTATCTGAATTTAGAAGTACTGTAGGCGCTCAAGAGATGTACTGAGATAAGAAGACCTCCGGCCAACCTGCGAGAGGATCTGTTTCAGCGCGAACAGTTTGAGGGAGCGTTCTGATAATACGCTCTAATGCTAGGGGATTGATTTTAGAGCTAGCACAGCAGACAGCGTTACACCTTTGAAAACAGGGCAACCTATGGGGCTCGCCGCTTTAGGGCAAGAGCCGAGGGAAAATTATTCTGATACAGAAGCACCTACTTATGTCTTCCAGCTTTGTCACACAGCACAGTGGAACAATCATAGCACAAAGACAACTAGGGATCTCAGCTTATATTGTGTGAATGAGTGACTGGAGCATTTTGCGCTTATACAACCTGTTTGTTTTCAAGGCCTGAGGTGGTTGGAGGGGGCTGCGTATATCTGTAGTGAGCTCTGAACACGGCAGACCACTGCTCTGAGACGGGGACTTCTTATATCGTGTGAATGAGCAAACAAACAGGGTATTTTTTGCTTTACACAGTGCAGATAGCCTCTTCGAGGTGGGTGTATATGGACTCCTAAGGTTCACCACAGGTCATACTCATCATCTTCTGACATGCCACAAGACACCAGGCCGTGGGCTCCATAAGCCCTCGGTCCCAGGATGCGGAGACTGTCCCTGGTGAAAATCACAAGTAGGTCAGGTGGAAGCAAGGCACACGGATACTGACTTGGCGTGAGCTCGTCCCCTGACTGTCCTGCCTCAGCTGCTGCTGCGTCTTGCTCCGTGGCTCTTGAGTGGCTGAGGGCGGAAGCAGGACGCCAGTTTATCATCAAAGATGATGTCGATACAGAGATGAAGGATCCTGACACTCATCACTTCACAGCCGTGTCCTTCCAAAGCTGAAACAAAATGTCATACTCACCGGAACGCATGCAGGGGAGCAGCAATCCAGGTGCCGTCCGCTGGTTGGAGTAAATCTCATTGGCAAGTAGTAATTGGCTTCTTAAAGACAGAACAGCTGTCTGAAGGAGAGAGATTCTGAGGAAATGCTGTTCACCGCCGCCTTACATAGCCCCTATTGCACGCGCTTGAATGTTATTGGCCATTGTGTTACAATGCTGTTATTCCAATGAGGCTTCAGTATTTCTAGGAGGAAGGTGTTTCCCCATAGGGTCGGCTCTGACACAACGTTGAGACCGAATTGAAAGGGAATTGTATTGAGAAGTGTAAAGTTGCAAAAAAAGTCATAGTCAAGTCAAACAGCATTAGTAGTAGCCCATTACTAATTCTTCTTACTGGCACTAATATCCATTAATGCTCATGTATTTCACATTAAATATAATGAACCCTCACTAAAAATAAAACAAACAAGCATACTAACAATCAAAAGTGCTTTTTCAGCCTGAAGATTTAAACAAAGCTGAATCAAAGACTTCAAACACTTTTTCACAAGGAGTACAATTACTTGTACACATATGGCCATTACTACATAAATAAATGAACAAAACTAACCTGAATAACGGGTCAGAAACAGTCAGATGTCTCTATCCTAGTCAAGGGTCCATTCAAACAGGGCTTTACAGGGTCTCCAGTGAACGGACCCAAAGTTTCTCTCAGTACCGTAGAGATGATCCCTCTCCGATCAAAGGGGTCAAACTCCACTTGCCTTCATGTAACACTACACACTGGTTAAAATGTAAGGGTGTTTTATTACCAAAACAGTAATGACAACAGAACGATGTTGCAACATCACTTATACAGAGTTACTTAGTAGAGGGAGGCGCCAACATTTATTATACATGATACATTACAAAAGAAAGGAAAACAAACTCTGAAATAGCCATCATGTCATTTCTCAAATGAATAAACAATAGTAAAAGTGCTGTACTGCCCAGTAAATGATCATAACTCTAGAAGTTTGTATATTTCTTGGATTTATCGCCACCAACAATTCATTCGTCTTCTATGGACTTTAAAGACGAAGGGCCCTATCATACACCCAGTGCAATGCAGCGCAAAGCGGGACGCAAGTGTTTTTTGCTAGTTTCGCCCGACGCAGTTGTCATTTTCTTATCCTGCGCCATGTTGTTTAAATGGCAAATGCATTTGCGCCCATGGGTTGGTCTGAAAACGAGGTGTGTTCAGGCACACCTAATAGCGTTGCTATTCTGAGGCAACTGAAATAGACTGCGCCATTGACCAAACCAACTGAAACCTGGTCTTAAGTCAATGGCGCAGTATTTATTTTATTATTTAAAGAGTAATGTAGTTAGTAATGCGCGCCTATAGGCGGGTCCACAACGCGCGTACACTCGGCTTATTACACACACAGGGATGCGCAGCAGCACATAAACTAGCCAAATATTAAAAATAAAAGGATTACAATGTAAAAGATTAATGTTGTGTACATAAAGATATGGTGGAATCCGGCTTGTCCCGTAGATGGTCTGCTCACACGCTTTAACCTCGCGCACGAGCAGATCCGTTTGCGCTCTGGAGACGCGTTTGAGCTTTCCGCTTGCAAATTCCGCCATGTAAATAGCGAATCCGCCATGGCGCGAACGCAACTGGCTTTTAAAGGGAATGGGAGGTGAGAATCTGATTGGTTTATTGCACGTTACGCCCAAAACACACCCATTACTCATTAAGAGAATAGGGACAAACCTTTTGGACCATTTTTCCCGTCGTTAAACTAGCAAAAGTGGCCCTGCGCTTTAGACCATGCGCTTAGATCGTTAAAATAGGGCCCAAAGTCGATCAAACCTAAAATTCTTCTTTGGGCCGTCCTATCCATGATGAGAGCATGAAAATTAGCTATTAACACTGTGAAACAAGCCCTAAAAGAAAAATTCAAAGCATGTAGGAAACTTTACATTACTGACATTACAATAAATAACAGTAATAAACGAAAGCTATGAAATGTGCTTTGATCATATGGTAAAAATATTTTCCTTACATTTAGTTTCATTTCAACCATGATGCAATTAAAATGAATTCACATGATAGATATTATATAAATATTTGTACATCTTGGAGACCAGTCAACACTTAGATAAAGGCTCAACCACGTGTGATATTTTCACAATTCTTTTTTTTTTTTTTTTACAATCGGACAGTTTAATACAAATAAAAAGTCCAGCTTAATGTTTTTGAACATTCAGAATAGCAATTAAAAGAACGATACAAGAATAATATGATTCACTATGGTAATAAGGAATTAAAGCAGATATAAAGCAGCACAAAGGTTAATTTTTAATAAAAAGTTAATATTTAAAAATAGCAAATGCATATAGTGAAATCATAATCTAGCTCAGCATTGTTTCTGTAACTAGTAAAGCAATATATCAACTACAGTAACTGCCTCTCTCGTAAAATAATATCTCTCAATCAATGCAGTTTTTTGTCTGAAAGAAATCATCATCAATAATTCATAATATATTGCACTTAAACATTCTGCATACCAGGAATTACTTTTTATTAGTTAAGACATTAGTTTAACAAAACACCTGCTTTACAGTACAATGACCAAGAAACAACTCCGAACCAAGTTGTTTAAATACATTTAAGCAGAATTAAGACACATTGTTAAAGCACTTTTCTCCTAATTTATTCATTAATTTATCAAGTCAGACAAATCTGACGCTCACAGTCCTAATTAAACTTTACATTAAATATATCTTATCTAACTGCACTTATTAATGTTTACAAATCCACTGCAAAAAGTTTGGCGGCAATTCTTGCCCCAACTTTTGGCTTGTCCATTTACAAGAGGCAAAACGTCCTGGTGTTTGAGTACCAAGAACAATCGAACAGTCCATCCTGTAAAATAACATCCTAGAGCAAATGTTTTTTAAGCCATTTATGATCTTTCCCTGCACTATTTGCTCTACAACCGAAGCTTTTCTGTCCGATCTGTGCCCGAGTGTTCACCTGTACAACTCACCAGGACTCATTATATTGTTACTGTACACGTGTCCTTGAATTACCGTAAGGCTATCACTAAATCAGACTGGACATGTATAGGAGTGTATGTAAGTGAGCGTTGATGTACTGTAAGTCTGTGTGCCTCATGTTGGGTGGTTTCGTCACCAGGCTACAGGAGAGGCTGTGCGAGGGCTCCTTGGGCTGCGAGGAGGGTTTTCTGTGGTCTGGATATCACTCAAGGCCCGCTAAAAACAACAACAAACTTATTGAAATACACAAATAATACCGATAAAACTCCTCATCCAGACTCATGGGACATAAGAAATATCATAAAATCTAATCATTTTCACGATTAAGTCAAGACACTGCAGGCAAAAAGATTGTTTTCTCAAGCATTGGTCAATTTTGAGATTTTGGGCTATTTGGCTTTTCATAAAGTGTTGTTTCAGACTAGTGGAAATAAAACATTCAAAATCCACTTTTAAGTGTTCATTTTTATTGCACTTTATTTGCATGTGTAGATCTTAATTAAAGTACATATCTTTTATTATATTGTATCAGGCTGTTTTCTCAAAATGAGTTTTTTTCTCCAGAGCAGTGTCAGACATTTCTATTTCAGTGCATTAATGTACATTGTAGATGCACCTAACTTTACCGTTTTATTCCTATCTATATTCTGAAGGTTTTTACAGAGGGGTCTGTTCATATTTCATTTACCTGATTTTATGCAAAAAAAAAAAAAAAGTATTACAACATTTACACCTTAACATTCACGTTGAGTGTATTTTCTAACCTTTAAAACCTTTAACTAATATGTTGACAAAATAAAACATGAATTTTAAACCTGGCTTTATCCAATTTTCAGATTATTTTAATTTTTTGGGAAATGTATGCAAATTAGTGTTTATTTATGACTCATTTGTATATTTAAACATAACATTTTAGAAAATTTGTAATACAATTTTTTTTTTGTGCAATTCTTAATCTGTCAACCGGGGAAGTATGGTGATATCTTTAAGTAACATTTTTACGCGATTCATCTTGGGTATCTTAATAAATATCAGTTGTTAATGTATTTGTATTTCTTTATTGTGAATATTGCAACTTTTAATTCTTTGGCAATAACCGTGCATCCATGACGTTCTTTGTGTTAGTCTTAACAGACATTGTTAATGTTTGGTAAAACATTAGCGAGTAGAGCATGTCTAAAAACAGCTCTCGAGTGAGCTCAGATGAGGGAAGGATAAGTGACCTATTTTTCCACCTGTCTGTGCTAAAAGCCTTAATGCATTTCTTTGCTAGCATTCACCTCATTTACTAGATTGACATGCAAATTGAAAAATAAATATGCATCAGGTTGTCTAATACAAAGCTTACCTCAAATTTGGCAATGAACTCAGCGAAGATACCAAAGAAACTCTCAGTGGCGGTGGTCTTTCCATCCTCCCCGAAGAATGAAGCGACTTTGCAGAACTCTTCCATCGCCAGCTGCTGCAGAGACTCCAGAGACTGCACTGCAGGGTGACTGTTTTCCAGAAATCCCTACATGCAAGTAGTTAAGGTGGTTTGTGATGAATTTGGCAAATATCAAGCATATTCCATGGTCAAATGTTCATATCATCTTGTCCTGCTTGGTATCTGACCTGGATCTGCTTGGAAAATTGTTATACAAAGTGTCACTATTCCATTTTTGCAACTATAAGACATGCTAAAAGTGCATTCAAGTAATGTCGGAAAGTTCGTGTTTATGAGTTGAACACACGCAAGTCACCATAAAGTCGTAATTACGAGTGGGGAAACTCTGGATTTTCCTTAAACCTAGAGTTTCCACGTGTCAGAGAGAAAACATGTTGCATCTAATAGATGCCGCAGCTGATTTTTTTTAAAAAATTGACATCAAAGTATGCATGTACAATACCATAAAATACCATAGTATTGTACAATTTACATTCAAATTTATAACAATTCTATATACATTCACCTTCATATATTGAATAATAACACACCCAATGCACATTATCATCATTTTGTGGATGTGGTATAAAAATCTTGCTAAATTCTAGTTGAAAAAGGTACATCACTATTTCCGACCAAAGTTCTATTTGAACGCAGCTGACGTCATAATTATGACTTCCCAACTGGTAAAAATTAACTTCCCATGTGGACTTGAATGCACCATAAGATCATATCTAGCCATTTTAGATATTTTGATGGAGGATACACTCATAACAACAGCAAATCGATCCTCAGCAGCGGCTGGCATCTGCTGGCAGGCTAACCGAATGTCCTGGATTGTGGCATGTAGGTCGTTAAAGTCAGAGGTCATGTTTCTCTGATTCACTGTGGAGAACAAATCAATGACAAATATTAAAGAGATCTGCAGCACAACATTAAATGGGAATGATGATCCATGTCTTAGACATAACATGATGAGGAGCACCATGGATTGTGTAATCAGTCTTTAGCCTTTATCACAGTCTTTATCAGTCTTTTACACAGTCTTTAGTCTTTATCACAGTCTTCATCCATGAAACATGACTAAAAAACCGAATGAATTCGGACTGCATAAGAGAAACGTCCTGAGGAACTGGACTCCAGTAGATGTTCACCTTTGGCTGCTTGTGGCACCGTCATAAGCTCCTTCCTAAAGTCCAGAACCTCGGGAAAGTGCTGACACAATGATTTCACCAGGATATGAAGAAATGTTGACTTTCCATCCACTGTTTTGGTGGTACTGAGCTTTAAGCAGAAAAATGGAGAATTGTAGTTATATAATGCTAAAAATTAATGCTTTAAAATAAACTTTTACGAAACCTAATGATGAACCTCATGAATTCATCTGCAAAAGATGCCTATACAGCGACAAGGCTTACTTCAGAGAGAAAATTGATCTTAAATCCAGTCGTTTTATTGGTCTTTGGTTGTCCGTTATTCAGATAATTCCCCATAGCCAGCACAAACTGGGAAAAAAACAAACAAATAAGTTAATCTACATGGCATGATAAGAAGATCAGTATTCAGGGTGTATTATGAACAGCCTGCTTTAAGAATATGTCAACAGTCTTTTATCTGTGAATGATTTTCTTTGTTTGATTGCGTGACTGTATGATCATGCATGCCTGGGGAGAAACTAAACCACAGAAGGAATTATACCTCCAGAATCTTGGCCAGTTTTTTGCTGTTCTTGAGCTCCATTGAAGCTTGGAAAACACAGTCGTAGGCCCCTCTCATCTCCTCTGTTTTCTCTTGCAATGTAGTCTTAAAATGCAGGCTTTTCAAGCGGGTCTTATACTCGGGCACCGAAAGCATCTGAATACATACAAAAGCACAAATTGTTAAAATTATACACACAAAAAAATACAATAAAACATATACTTTAACATATAATCATAGTATTTGGCGCAACAAAAAAATAATGATAAATATCCTGCCAAATCCTGATAAATATCCTCTTATTCATCATGTACCTGTAGGACAAACTGATCAGGCTCGCTGAGTTTGCTTGGGTCATCACTGTACTGCTCGTACTGTCTGACCTCATCATCGTCCGGTGCATACAGGAGCAGTTGTTTAATATGCGGGGACTCCAAGCGTTCGCTTGACATCGTCATCAGCACCTGGTGTAGCTCGCCTGGCGACAGCTTCAAATGGGCAATCAAGATTGCTATAAAAATGATAGAAGAGACGATAAAGTGTACAAGGAACATGTGCTTGCATGCTAATGGCTAAAAGCTAAGATGCACATCGTCTAACAGTTGGGATAGTAAGCGAAAAGAGCATGCTGTTATCAAGTCTAATTTAAAACCAAAAACACTGATGAAGCAAGACAAAAAAAGGACACGGTCATATATAAGTAAATACTTGACTGGGAAGCACACAAGAACATCATCTAAACATTTACAAGTAAACTCTGCAGTCCATTACAGCCCAATAAAGGAAACCGAGAAAAATTCCCTGACTTCAATCATTGTTTGTTACTCACAAGCGTTGTAGGCTTTCTTACGGGAGAGAATCTCCACCACATCTTTCTTCTTGAAAGTCTCCACCTGAGGTGAGAACTCTGGAAGAGAAACTGAGACATGAATCGTATCGTGAGTGAAAAGAACTTATGAGGGTAAACACTGATTCAACTGGTAAAAAAGAATAGTCATGTCCTATAGTGCCTTCAAGTCTTCTCGGGGAGTTCCTACATATGAGATTGTTAGTGATATTGGTTAAAAAAATGATAGGAAAACATAGTTTTGTCACACAAGCCTGCCTCCTCATTGACTGGAGAAGAGCTTTCTGGCAAGCTTTACCACCATTCTTCATCCACAATAAACAAAAAATAATTTGTACAGCCAACATTTACAATTAAAACTTAATTATGACCAATACTGTATATTTCACACTGCAAGGCGGAAAGTCTGGGCGTAAAGACATTTAACACTGGCACCACAATGTTGTGGTGGTGTCCATCTTTCTGACATAACTTGAGATGCTCAAAAGATTAAAGGAATAATTTCCCCTGCATATTTCTTTATTGGGTTTTATATATAAAAAAAAAAAAAAAAAAAAAAAAAAAAAGCCACTTTTCCATTGGCGGGCCGAGAATTCCAGGCTGAAAATGGTTGGTAATCCTGCTGTGCCGAACCAAGCTCAAGTGGAAATATAACTGGAACTGTTCCTTACCGTTCTTAGAACCATTTGGCTCAGCGGTGGGAAAGCGGCTAAATGTTTTATGGATTTATATTAAAGGTCAATGACAGCTCATTGGCCCAGAAGTTCAATTTCCATCAGATAAGACCTTAGAATCTCCCTCTATGTCTTTTTGTCTTCCACAAGATGTGCTATAAAGAGGTTTTCTCAAGGTGAGATTTCTTTTTTGCAACCCCTCAGTTCGAGCTAGATTCATGATATTTGCAAGCTATTGTTGTCTCAGTCAAGGAAGACAGTAGCTCCTTAAGAGCTGCCGTAGGCATTTTAGTGTCCTCTTTTACTATGGCTCTTGAAAACACTCGGTTTTCAAGGACAGCCAGTTCTGGGCAGAATCACAGGTGTTCCTCATTTTCTCACTTTAAATGATGGACTTTACTGTGCTTTTAAGTATTAAAAGACAGAAATATTCCATTATCCTTGTTAATTCAAAATGGAGTTCAGTACTAGCCTGGCTAACGTCAGACCACGTCTCATTGACATTGAGACGTGGTCTGGGAACCACATGTTCATTTTCTCGTATTTGAGGCGTGGTTAACGAATGCCCAGAGCCGTTTATTGGGTGCTACGAATGTCTATCAAATGTGCCTGTACGTAGCTCATAGCCAATCGTTTCAATTATACCAGATGACGTATGTAGAGCGAAAGAAATTAGACGAGGAAGAAGACGATGGGTCAGAGATTTATTTGCGTTCTAGAACAATATCTAAGGCTGCATCGAAAGGTAACTTCGCGTCTGCTGCCATGTTTGATCCATAGGTATAAACAAACTGCTTCGGTGTGTCGCATAGACGTCGTCATCGTCTTGCTGCTCCCTCCCCGTTCTGTGATTGGTCCCCTCGCTGAGGCGAAAATATGGTCCATGGTATCCAGACTGCCTAGCAGCGTGAATAAAATCGCGCTGCGCAAAGGCAGTATGGGGAAACCCAGGCTAGCTCAGTACACTCTACAAACAACAAATGTTGCCTGCTACTACCTATTCACTGCACTGTATCTTTCTCTTTTAAAGCAATTGGTGATTGCTGGTCAGCAGCTTGTTTACATCAGCTTGGAAATGAGTAATACATATAACTTTACTCACCAGGGCTCTTTTGTGTTCCAAAATGAAGCTCCAAGTCTAGGTATTTCACCATGTCACTCAGCTTGTCATAATCAGAGTCTTCTTCCAACTGCAGTGAGAAAACACATCTGTCCTTACACACTTCATTCTAATGAAATGAGACAAACACATGACAATGGACTTCATGAAATGATCCCCATTACTACAGACCTCAATATATGTCTCAAATGGTGTACTACATCCTTTCAAGGTCTCCTCCGAATATTAGAGAATTGTCAGTTGTGAGTGGTTTTTGCTCTTTTACTGGTTTGAAACCGCAAATATAATAAACAACCACTAGAATCAGATATCCTTAAAGCTTACCAGAACTGCTGCCAGAACTGATGCAGAACATTGTCTAAATTTATTGTAAATGCTGTAAATCTCTAATAACAGCTATTTGAGAAATAAGCAGTTCTTAACCACACAAACACTCGGCTTTTCAGGCTTGTTTCAAGGCAAACTACTTTACCTGTCCCCAAATGGTTCCCTCAGAATTTTCCACCTGTTCCCAGCGTAGCCTCTTTACACTCATATGACTGGAATCCGATTTTTGCGGTGAGGCCTTTGGTAGAGGAGGAGGCACGCAAGGTGGGGGTAAAGGTGGTGGAGGAGGTGGCTCCACAGTGGACCCTTCAGTGCAGTGGTGAGTTTGAGATTGGGGTGTACTTGGTGGTTGTGTTGGGGACTGGGCTTCATGGTGGCTATGATGGTGGTGGTGATGACGATATTCGTGATACATGGGTTGAGGGCTCTGCCTGGCCTGTGCAATGGAGGGAATCTGAGGGGTTGAGCGATGCTGTTGCTGTTGCTGAATCTGTTGCTGTTGCTGAATCTGTTGTTGCTGCTGAATTTGCTGTTGCTGACGCTGTTGCTGCTGCTGAAGCTGTTGTTGCTGTTGAATCTGCTGCTGCTGTTGAATCTGCTGCTGCTGTTGAATCTGCTGCTGTTGTTGAATTTGCTGCTGCTGTTGAATCTGCTGCTGCTGAAGTTGTTGTTGCTGCTGCATCTGTTGCTGCTGAAGCTGCTGTGGCTGTTCCGGCTGTTGTGAAGGATGAGGTTGGAAGGTCGACAGAATCTGTTGGTTCTGGTGAGTTTGGTGGGGCTGGTGGATCTGGTGGTACTGAGGAGCTGACTGGATGGGCTGAACCTGGTGTATGTGTTCAATCTGGTGAATGTGGCGGCTTGGCGGAGGAGGCTGGGTGGGTGGGTAGGCTTGATGAGCTTGATTCATCTGTTGAAGGTACTGTTGCTGAGTCTGCTGAGATGGTTGAATAGTTTGAGAAACGGCTTGAGCCATATGTGCCCTGTGCATTTGTCTATCAGCCCTTTCCAATCTCTCAATTCGCTCCAAATTCTCCAAGCGTTCCATGCGCTGGATGTGCTCTAATTGGTCAAGTCTATCCATAGAGCTTGAGAGGTGGGCCTGATGACTCTGATGCATCTGATAAGCATGTTGTATTTGTTGATCTGAATGCAAGGTTTGGGGCTGCATCTCATAGATATGTCTATCTGAGCGGTCTTTTCTTTCAATCCTATCAAGCCTATCCATAGAACTAGAGAGTTGAGTCTGAACAGTCTGGTGTGAGTGACGGTTTTGATGCATTTTGATAGACTGAGATTGGCGACTTGGTTTATTTTGATACATTGGATGCATCTGGTGATCCTGTTCCATCTGGTGGTGTTGATGAACCTGGTGAGCTGGATTAACCTGATGGTGCATATCGTACATTGCATGACTGGGGATGGATGACTGGTTTATTTCTGGAGAAAGCATAGGGGGCAGAGATTGGTGCATCTGCTGCTGAAATTGCTGAGGGTGGCCAGCTGTTGGTTGAACTGGAAGTGAGTGGTGCTCCTGAAGGACTTGGTGCTGAGTCATCTGCTCATCACGTGTGGGCAGCACCTTGTGAATGGACTGTCGTTTTGGAGGGGGGTTAGCCCTTGGCGGAGGTGGAGGAGGTGGTCCAGGGTGGCGACGGATGGTCAACTGTCGAGGTGTGTGGTCAGGGGTGAATCTAGCAGGTGTAGGGGGGTCGTTGAATTGGACAGGGGGAGGGGGAGGAGGAGTCAGAGGGGGTGGAGGAATGTGCTCAGAGCTGGAGGAGTAGGTGAGAGAGCTGGCATCCTCACTGCTACTATGCACTTCGCTTGGACTGCTTAACTCGGGAGGCATGTACTCTTCCTCCTCTTCTTCCTCCTCCTCCTCTTCCTCTTCCTCTACCTCCTCTTCCTCATCCTGGAAAGTCATCTGGACAACATCCTGGTTTTATTTTTGAAGCAAAACATACAAATGGATTAGCCATTTAAGATTAGTCACTGTACTTGTCAAGCAAATGAAGTATTGTCACAACAATATAAAGCAAATATCAAAGCAATTAACCATTCTAATATGCAAACCTCTTCATAGTCATTCTCTGGTGACAGGAAGTCATCCACAGATAACTGCTGTCCCAGCTGTTCACTCAGAGCCTCCATGAACAGATCTGTGTCTGGGGTACGGGGTGGACGCGAGAAGGTATAGCGCTTTTTGCGAATGGGTGGACTAGGAGGGTAGTCGGGAGGAGAGGGTGGAGAGAGAGGTGGGCTGTCTAAACTGATGTAGGGGTTGGACTCAGCACTTGTTTGAGAGGGAAGACCTGGAGGGTAACAGGGACACTGAGGACTCAGGGGAGGCTCCTCCATCCAAGAGTCAGGCTGTGGAGGAGGTGGAGGTGGCGGAGGAGGAGGCACAGGCTGTGCTGATGCAGATTTGCGGCTTCCTGAGAGATGAAGATGAAAAACCAATGGTTAGGAAGATAAAATGTCTCTGACATTAGACTGAGCCTCAGATGAAATTTCCACCTATTACACAGAGAAATGACAAGGACAATCAGAAGCTACAATGCCAATCAAAAACCTGTCATGTACCTGAAGTGGCCCGAACAGATGGAGAGGAAGAGTGTGCCCTGACAGACTTTGAGGAAGCGTGCGGGAAGATATCCACGTTAACCAGAGAGTCAGGAGCAGGAGAAGCTCGAGTCTTCAGGGATTTGGATCTCTTCCCGGCATAGACATTCTCCAGCTCGGCATACACAGCTGACAGCTAGATAGAGCACAGGGACTGGGTTGTTAATATAAAGACAGTACATTTGTGTAATTTCTCAACCGTTTAAATGTTTGCAAACCTGTACAAATCAAAGAAGAGAGCTCACATTAGTCAGATTGTTGGGTGTCTCTGGTAAGGATGTTCCATCCCCTGATTGTCTCTCTCCAGGAGTTAGTCTCATAGGTGCCATTTCCACTGGCTCAGTGCAAATTCCTTGTGACAAAAGAAAATAGCCCATCAACTATTTTGGTTTGCTAAGAAAGCTGATGAGAAATGAGCTCCAGGTTTCTACAATAATGTCTACAGTGCTGTTTTCATGATCTTTAATGCTAATTTCACTATATATATATATATATATATATAGGCTGTGTTTCATTTGTAAACGTGGTTCATTTGAACTCATGCCAGCATGCCAGACCTCCAGGTCCTAGGGGGTCAGTGGAAAAATTATAGAGAATTTTGTTAAAAGTATTTCTTTAGGGCTGTCAAAGGTAAATAAAACGTTTATCAGCCATTTTTCAAACATACTTACCAATTTTCTTTTTTAAAGGTTAGACGGAAATCACGGGATTAAACCACTATTTTGACTATAGACGGTCCTAGTTTTTAACAGTAAGATATATCATATTTGGGGGGAATTGGCATACTTTTTTTTTTTGAAAACCACTGTCCTATGCTACACTCACCGGCCACTTTATTAGGTACCCCATGCTAGTAACGGGTTGGACCCCCTTTTGCCTTCAGAACTGCCTCAATTCTTCGTGGCATAGATTCAACAAGGTGCTGGAAGCATTTCTCAGGGAGTTTGGTCCATATTGACATGATGGCATCACACAGTTGCCGCAGATTTGTCGGCTGCACATCCATGATGCGAATCTCCCGTTCCACCACATCCCAAAGATGCTCTATTGGGTTGAGATCTGGTGACTGTGGAGGCCATTTTAGTACAGTGAACTCATTGTCATGTTCAAGAAACCAATTTGAAATGATTAGAGCTTTGTGACATGGTGAGGTAGCCATCAGAGGATGGGTACATGGTGGCCATAAAGGGATGGACATGGTCAGAAACAATGCTCAGGTAGGCCGTGGCATTTAAACGATGCCCAATTGGCACTAAGGGGCCTAAAGTGTGCCAGGAAAACATCCCCCACACCATTACACCACCACCACCAGCCTGCACAGTGGTAACAAGGCATGATGGTTCTATGTTCTCATTCTGTTTACGCCAAATTCTGACTCTAACATCTGAATGTCTCAACAGAAATCGAGACTCATCAGACCAGGCAACATTTTTCCAGTCTTCAACTGTTCAATTTTGGTGAGCTCTTGCAAATTGTAGCCTCTTTTTCCTATTTGTAGTGGAGATGAGTGGTACCCGGTGGAGTCTTCTGCTGTTGTAGCCCATCCGCCTCAAGGTTGTGCGTGTTGTGGCTTCACAAATGCTTTGCTGCATACCTCGGTTGTAACGAGTGGTTATTTCAGTCACTGTTGCCCTTCTATCAGCTCGAACCAGTCTGGCCATTCTCCTCTGACCTCTGGCATCAACAAGGCATTTCCGCCCACAGAACTGCCGCTCACTGGATGTTTTTTCTTTTTCGGACCATTCTCTGTAAACCCTAGAGATGGTTGTGCGTGAAAATCCCAGTAGATTAGCAGTTTCTGAAATACTCAGACCAGCCCTTCTGGCACCAACAATCATGCCACGTTCAAAGTCACTCAAATCAACTTTCTTCCCCATACTGATGCTCGGTTTGAACTGCAGGAGATTGTCTTGACCATGTCTACATGCCTAAATGCACTGAGTTGCCGCCATGTGATTGGCTGCTTAGAAATTAAGTGTTAACGAGCAGTTGGACAGGTGTACCTAATAAAGTGGCCGGTGAGTGTATATGATCCAGTGTAATACAACATAGTGTTTGAAGACAGCCTACCCATGCCCAGGTGAGTGCCGATAACCAGATCATCTGAGCTGCGTCCCCTCACACTGCTCCTGTAGGTGGTTCCTGTCACCTTCATAGAGCTGCTGCGACGGTGAGGCTCATGGGCTGGAGGTTCGGGATCTGCTGTTGGCACTATCAATAATAGGTACATGCAAGCATACATGCATATATACAAATATTCTGTACAGACTGAAGAGGAATGACCAGAAAGTAGTGCTCACGTGTAACTTTATAGCCAAGGAAGCGGGAGATCTTGTTCTGGCAGTGTTCCTGCTCCTCATAGGTCAGCAACTGGTAAACGAACTGCCAGATCACCTGTTTTGCTGGAGTATCCAACACAGGGAAGACGTCCACAATCAAAGTGTCTACATTTCTGATGGCACACAAGAAAAAGTGAATCAAATCAGGTTTCACACAAATGTTCTTAGAGAAGGAAAGTAACATTTCCATCTAAGTATACACTTTCTTTCAATTAATATTATGGGCATGTCCTTCACCTGTGCTGGAAGAAGGCCTCCAGGGCCTTGCAAATGGTATATCTCTCCTGAAGCGTGAGAAGGTGATCGAGCTGCTGGCTGAAGGTGCGGCCCTGTACGCGGATACTGGGAGGCAGGATCTCAGCGACCCACTGCAGGGAGCTGAGCACAGGAGCACGGGAGCGGGGAGAAATCTCCACCTGCTCTGGTTCAGTCATGGTGAAGGCTGGCGGGCCATCTTCAACCACCAGGCTTGGCATTGCCCCACTCCCCTGAAGCATAGACACCACCTTCTCATGTGAACAGCTCCTGAGAAGATGCACAAATACACGACACATATACAGTGTTAACTTACAGGATTATATACATGCAAAGAAGATTCAATGTGAGCACAAAGGGTATTTATATATTAGTGGAACTTGACCAGATCTATTCTAACCAATGTATCAAAGAGAACTGACTCAAGTACTGCGATGATACAGTGGTGTCCATTGCTGCCATGGCACTGCTAGGTGGATGCTAAGGAGTTCTGATTGTTAGTTATTGTGCTCCTATGGGGTTGGTAGGATGTTCTGGGTGTCACTAGGGGGTTGTAAATGGATACTAACCGACCCCATATTCTGGTCTCTATGGGACTATTTTGCCTGTTTTATCATCCACCAGGTGAAAATCACAAGTCTGATGGCTTTGAGAAGTACCAGCACACCTTTATTTAACAAGGCAGATGATTTGAGTATATATATATTTATTTTCAAAATGATGTGGAAAGTTTAATACTTATGTTTAGGAGTTTGTTCAAATCTCTAACCCACCCTATGCATAAAAATAATAGTGATGCTTGCTTTAAACTCTATTGCAGTTCCACATAAGGATAAAAGCAATCTATTCCAACGCAACCCAACCACAAGCCTCACCTCATGTCCAACCCATTGAGAAACAGGATGCGATCTCCAGGTTTGAGACCCGCCTTCTCAGCAGGGCTGCCTGGAGAAGGAATGGCAACAGACCAAGCAGAAAGTAACTACTGACAGCAGATCATATGGGCTCCAACTGAGATTAAGCTGTTCTCATTAGATTCCCATTGAAATGACTTAAGACACTGCAGCTTGAGTGTTTGTCACATCCTGCCCAAGAATGGATGCCTCTTTTTGGCTTTTGAGTGCTCGTTGTGGGAAAAGTGTGACTAAAAGAATTTGTGCTAGATAAAAACAGAGCTTCTACCACCTGTGCCCTTCTGAATCAGCCTATGGAGAGTCTGCTGTTGTGTCTTCTCATCTCTCTCTCGTCTCCTGCTGTTCTTGCACACTGCCAGCTTTTGCCGCCTAACTTTTTAATGGCTGCCATGAGTCAGAAATGACAGAACTTTCATGATTTCGGCATTCATGTCATCTGCTTCGATAATATGTCTAATAATCGACTCCCCTTCACTTGTTTCATGTCCAAAATATATTTTTTATATTGCTAAAATAGCCTTGTTTTGTTGTCGGATGTCAACTAAAATAAATGCACCAGAAGACACAAGCCCTTCCCTTATGAAGACGGCAGTTCAACGTTTGAAAATACTACTCTGTATTAATAATAAAATAAAATAATATTACTGTCATACAACAAATGTAAAAAGGAAGCTTTTTTTTATTTAAAAAATCCAAGTTGTTTACATTTACATGTATTCATTTAGCGGACGCTTTTATCCAAAGCGACTTACAAATGAGAACAAAGGAAGCAGTAAACTAACAATAGAACAACAATATGCAAGTGCTAGGACTCTTCCCAGTTTAATCTAACGCAGTACGTGTACTTAAAAAAAATTTATAAAGATAATAGATATAGAATAGAAGATGTTAGTATTAATGGATCAAGTGTTGCCGTTTAGAGAAAAACAATAGGCACATATATATATAACAGTGAAACCTTTAAATATTAAGGTTTAATCAAATGTTTTAACATTGTCACAAGACACTTTACTTATAACCATTTTTGTTCATTTCATACCTGGTATTACAGAGTCAATCCAGACTGGAGCATGGCCACGCAGAGTAAACCCGAAACTCTGGTTCCCTTTGTACACGCGTACTGTCCTAATGAAACACAATGGGGAGAAGAAATAGAAACTATCTTTAAAAAACAAGATGTCCAAGTAGAATATCTTGATTATTTATGTAATGCAGGCTGACTTGTTTATTAAAATAATATGAGTTTTATATTTATGGAAAATATTATATAGATATTACACACACACAAACACAGTGTACACACATATATATATATATATATATATATATATTTATTATTATTATTATTATTTTTTTTTAAAGGCCAGTTATCCTGATAAAGTTCTCTTGGCCTTTGGAGTTAAAATAGCCCCACATCATCATACACCCTTCATCATACCTAGAGATTGGCATGGTTTTATTTCAGGTAGCCTAATAGCTGGTTTGATTTGCATTGAGAGATGATCTTATGGAAAGTACCCCATGCCTATCTCTGGGTATGGTGAAGGGTATGTAATGATGTGGGACTATTTAAACTCCAAAGGCCAAGGGAACTTTATCAGGATGCATAGTATCCTGGATCCATGAAATAACTGGCCTTTAAAAATAAAAATCTGCCTGCCTCTATGGGAATTTAACATTGGAGTAATGACTTATGCCTCCTGTATTTTAAGGAAGAACATTTATTTATTCACGATACGTTATTCATTCTCAAAAAAAATTGGTTTTGTGTTTGTGTGAGTCTTGAGCCACACAGAGAAAGCAAATGAATACGGATACAATCGGCTCATATGCCACATATATTATTCTGATTGTTGTTTTCTTTAAAGGTAGTGCTATTAATAGATATAGTCAAATAATCTCTTTGAATTGCTTCCACTACAGTCATATACTCAGACTACTGCTGCATATAAAGAGCTCTTCATCTACAGACTTCATTTGCTTTCCCTGTGTGGCTCAAGGAATCTCCATTATGTATCACAGTTTCCATTATGTATCTCCATTATGTATCACAGTCATTATGTAAATACGTAGCTAGCAATTCTCCAGTCCAATGAAACCACACATTCAGTCTTACCCACGTTATTAAAGAGAAACTACACCTGCATTCCCGTGGCATATCGTTAAGTGTGTATTGTACTAGTGACTGACAGGATTTCACATCCTCCCACCTTTTCCTATTTATGCACCAGACACAAAATTAAGAGATAATTAATTCATACTTAAAAAAGTTTAAAGCATAATATTGAGGACGAATCTTAGTGATGTGTCATATTTACTCTCACACATACGCAGGCGTCAAATAATATGACTAAAAATAACATGAATTATAAGAGTGAAATATTGCAGTGACATAAAATCTACAGCATTTACAGGCTACAACAGTTGTGAAAATTGGAAATCCAACAAGAAGGGATCTATCTATCTATCTATCCATCTTTTGATCTGTCCATCCATCCATCTATCTGTCCATCGACCTGTCCATCCATCCATCCATCTATTTGTCCATCCATCCATCCATCCATCCATCCATCCATCCATCCATCCATCCATCTATCAGTCCATCCATCCACCCATCTATCTGTCTATCCATCCATCCTTTTATCTATCCATCCTTTCATTTATCCATCCATCCATGCTTCCATCACTCAGCATAATATTCACATGAACCTAATAATGTAACTATTTTCTAACAAAAACAAATGAAAAATAAAACAAATAGTAAAATAAAAGCATACAAAAATCAAATGAAAGCATAAATAAAAATAATAAGAATAAATAAAATTAAAAAGCATAAAAGTAAAATAATTTTTAAAGGAAATCTAACTGATTTATTGGAATATGAAACATTGCAAAATACAAAAGCAAATGCCAATTAAAATTTCTACCACATCAACAATAAGCCACAGGAGAAAAAGAAAAGTGTGTAACTCTTCTGAGAGTGTCAGTTTCACTGACCTGCGGGTAGAGAAGGAGCTGGAATGGCCTGCGATGAGAGAGGTGGTCTTGCGGAGGCCGCGGGCAGGAGGCATGACCGCATCCTCATTTGAGGTCCGGGGCACAGAACTGGCTCTAGTGGACAGACACAGTCGGTCGGGGTGGTCTTCGCTCCGGCTGCGCCGTAGGCGGTTGTTCCTGTGCTCGCTGAAGCTTCGGCCCCTCAACCGACTGATCAAACTCTGAGAGACCATCTCATCAAAGCGCTGCCTGTGCTTCTTAGGGATGAAGATCCTGACAAACATGACACACACACACCAGACGGAGTCACAGAGGAGAAACTGTTCAGGCGTGTGAACACTTCCATGCCTACTGAGACAGACACTGGATAGAGACACACAGGCAAAGATGGAGGAGGAGGGACAGCTATGAGAAAGAGTCTGCTATAATTACACCAGATTATGGAGATGTTTGTGACCTGCTATGAAAAAAAAGAGGGCTCATGTGATGCAATGAAGCGTTTTGTTTTTTTTACTCTCCTGTGAAGAGGTGCAGGCAAAAATATCCTGTTTGATCAACTTCAAAAGCTAAGCAGGTGACTTCTGAAAGATGTCTGATGGGTGTTTTGAAGTTCTGGGAGGATAAATGATTAAAGTGAATGATTGTATCCCTCTGTGATACAAGCCGTCTCTCAATTTGTAATTCTCACCATCCTTTAAAACCAAGTCCAAAGTTATAAACATCCTCATTAGCTTCTACCAACCCTAGATACACAAAAATAAAGCTGTGCCTTGAGATGTATATATATATATATATATATATATATATATATATGTGTGTGTGTGTGTGTGTATACCCATCAGACATCTTTCAGAAGTCACCTGCTTAGCTTTTGTGTATTGTGTACCAAGTAAATGTATATATATATATATATATATATATATATATATGCCTGGGTCATATTTTTCATCTCAAAATGAATAAAACATATGAATGATTTAGCCTATAAAGAAAACTAAGCCTATAGGCTATTAACATTTTTGCATTATTTTATTTTGTAATTCTCATTATTCTCAATGATTATTGTCATTTCATTCTCATTTTTGTAATAATCATTTTAATCATTAATTGTATTTACTTTCTGCAATATATCATTTCTCTTTTTATCATTTATTAATTTAATTATTCCTCATTTGAAAAATATGATCTAGCAATTGTGAGTTTGACTTAATTATAACAATTCAACCACAAATAATACATATTTTGCGTGCTGCCTGTCAACGTGTCATCAGCAATACATATATATATAAACCCACACTGATGAAAATGATTCTGTGATGAAGTAAATTCTGAAAAAACAAATGTAAATTCTACCTGAATAAGTTAGTTCAGGCAAGAATTAAAAAAAAACAAAGTAAATTCTATATTAGTACTCAATTTAAGCTTGTAGAAATTATTGTGTATAAATGTTGTAAAATTAAGTAAAACTTTCTGATACTGGTGTTCCCATCATGCACTGAGGAATAATTAATAAGGTTGCAATTTTCACTGTTTTACAGCTGTATATGCGCTGTTTTATCATTGCTTTTGTTAGGTTTAGTTACTTGCTGTTTTGTGACATTTGGAGTTCATTTTCTACTCAAAATGATACATTCATACTCAAAAATGATCCATTGAATGTTACCGTTATTGTGTATTGTGTACCAAGTATTGAGATCTCAGTGTTTGGATGTGTACCACATTTCATGTTGACTACAAGACAATGTATTATTTAAGTTCTAAGTAAAGCATGGCTTAATACAGTGTTATATTGTTTGAGAATTTGTGCTTTACACAGTTATCTTTAACTAAGAAGATATTACTCAACAAACTTTAACTTTAAACTTAAAGTTACTTTTACTTAGTTAAGTAGATTTTACATATACGAAATTTACTTTAAAAATATGCGTGCAAAAACTTGCGAAAGACAAATTAAGAACATTTTACTACTTATTGTTTTTTTCAGTGCACTAAATGTGCATTACCCACTGGACTATTTTGACTCATCAGAAAGCCGAAGATATCGCATAAAACTGAACGAACCCATGCATCATCAGGGACACTATCACAACTCACAGCCCAGAACCAGCTCAAGAGCTTCAGTCTGGGTTAATCCTCCAGATGCACTCATCTCAAACACTGCTTCAAAACTAGTTTAGCTGCAGGACACAGATTCTTCTTTGGGCAACAAGTGGAGAAACAACACAATACCAAAACTGTGTACAGTGAAAAAGTAAACATAAGGTCCTTAAAATAAAATAAAACTATGCGATTGATTAATATTATCATGAACAGCATAGACCAAACAATGAGAAAACAAAGCTTCGGACGTCACAGTTCATGTGGTTATGGCATAACGAATCAAACTCCGATACAGTGCTTCATTGTGAGATGTTTCGTTTTTTGGATTCAAGCTTAGAAGCCTCTGTGCCGAACGTCACATCACTAAACGACGCCACATTGAAGACCTGCTTTTGGAGTGTGCTGGAAAACTACCTCCTCTACCTGATGCCTACCGGAGATACACTTTACTTTAGTACATTGAATATGCGTTGTGGATGACTGGATCTCCCCTTACAGTTGAGGAGGCTAAGGAGGACGCCCACTCTACACACGCCATGCTCATCCCAGCCACGACGGTCCATTGTTAATCCCACCCAGACTCCCTGCCGCCTCCTCTACTCAAGCAGGCCAGTCCTTCGGCCCCACCTCTGCTGGCTCCTGTATTGACGCCGTCCTGCAACTCGGATCCGCCTCGAGTCTTCCAGTCTCCAGCTCTGCCTTTGTAAGTGGATCTCCTTGGCTTTACCTTGGTCTGTCGACCATTTGGCTCCACCTTGGCTCCTCGTCCCCTTTGCTCCGAAACCGTCGTCCTTACCGCTACAACGAGCTACCTCGTCCCTCCGGCTCCGCCTTGGTCAGTCGTTGCTCTGCCTCCACCACGGATTTCACCTGCGCTTCGTCTCTGTCTCAGTCCTCCAAGACCCTGGCTCCACCTCGGCAGCTCATCGCTGCAGCTCCGGCTTGGCCTCCAGGACCTACACTGTCGTCTTGTGTCGTCATCTCCTCTGCTACGCCTGGGTCTCCAGATCTCCTGGCTCCATCACTGGTGGTTGTACCGCTGACTCCACCCTGGCTCCTCCTAGCATCCTCTTGGTTATTCTCTGGGAATTTTATCAGGTTATCCTCCTCCGTCCTGGGTTGTCCTGTCTGCCAGTTCTGCGTCCACTTCCCAATCCCTGTCCACCGTCCTCTGTTGGACAGTTGGTTTGGTTACAGCGTGAAAACGCACATTCCCGGGGATATGTAATGTCAGGGATAATGTTTACTTTGTCTTTGTTTCTGTAGTACTTTGAGTTGGTTTGTCTCTGACGTTGTTCATTGTTATCCAGTTAGTTGATCTGCACTGTTTCTAGATCCGTTTCCTTTATCTGTGTTTATTAGTTAACATGGTTTTTGATTTCCTATCAGTGTAAATAACAAATACTATTAAGTGATTTTAATAATAACAATAATGCACAGACCTCAACAATAAAGGATATTAGAAGAATTTTGTCTTCTATAAAAGTTGATAAGCCTGTTTATTTATTTATTTGATTAGTTGCATTTTATTATTTTGGATTTAGCATAATTTGTAGCATCATCTGATCAGAACAGATCTGCAACCTGTATTTGTAAAAACTGAATCATTCCTTGTGTATCTAATCACGATAGTACTGAGGTGAAGATTAGATTATAAACTGCAATTGCCGCAATTGTAACTGCAATTGTACATATAACTAATAGCCTCATATACTGTACATGCATGCTTTCACTCTACATTACATTATCCCTGTTTGTATAAAGTTGTTGTATTCCACATACAACATATGCTGCTGTTCTAGCCTCTGAAGACCTCAGAGCCCAGCAATTGTGAGACATTATGTTCCAAGCAAAAACAAAACTAATACTAACTTAAAACTAATATTTTTTTAAGATTCATGTCATTCATTCACAATTACTGTACCCAAGTACAACTGTGCAACAGAACTCTCATCAGTGTATTCGTTCTTAAAAGTTTCCCCAAAAACTCTTAATGCAACTTAAATCCACATTTCTCTCAAAGTTAACTTTTATTTAGTTCAAGATGCCCTCAATTAGAAAGAGGTCACACTAAATCTAAAATTAACCCAGAGTCAGAGAGGGAACGCATATCAAGGACACACTTTTCAAAATGAATGAAGATGGGAATGAAGAACGTATTAAAGAGTTTCAATTATAAAAGACATCTATTAACACATGTGAACCTTTAAACCCATTTCAAACTGTTTTAATTCCTCTTTGTATAGTTATAATCGACAAAGCATGCCATGCACTTTACAAACTGATGAACATCCCATTAACAAGTCCTCAATCACAAAAAATGATGAAAAATGCATTATTAAAGAAAGCAAGCTCAAAGCTTTGATTTTTTTCTACTTGCTCTCTAGATCTAGGAGTCCAATAATGCTTGAAATGGCATAATTGATTAAAGATGAACAATTTCTCTAGAAAATGAATCAAACCCCAACTTCTGAAACTAGTTTCTCTGAGCATGAGAAGGTTCTCCTTACCGAAAACGCCTGAGTCCCATCTCTCCTTTACATTACGTCTCAAAAAAACAAAGAGATGTTCTTGATCTCAGTGCAGGATTCTTCATAGAGCTGAAATAATCATTCACTGAATAAAACAGGATAGATGGAAAAGCCATTATGTCCAGTAGCCAGATGAGGAGATGCTTATTGGCGCCAACTTGAGGAGCGATGACGTTGCATGTATGAAGAAGGAAACTTCAGTTCACGTCATCATCGATTCAGCTTTGGCAAGATCGCCCACACTGCCATGCTGGGTTGCCTTGGGGAGTTTAACGTTAGAAAGGAGTCTACATCCAGAACTGTAGACCAGATGCCTTCAACTGCAGACGAGAGGCAAAGTTGCAGCTGCTTCAAAGGTGAAGAGAGAGAATAGAATAAAAGAGTGCAGCAAGAAAAGAGAGAGAGAGAGAGAGAGAGAGAGACAGAGAGAGAGAGAGAGAGAGAGAGAGAGAGAGAGAGAGAGAGAGAGAGAGAGAGAGAGAGAGAGAGAGAGAGAGAGAGAGAGAGAGAGAGAGAGAGAGAGAGAGAGAGAGAGAGAGAGAGAGAATAGATCCTGTCCCACTGGATATCCAAGGCAGGTCATCATGTAGGAGAGAGTTATTCAATCTGATCCACGTAATGCATGAGTTAAGATCCTTGAAGTATCCAGATTCACAAGGACAAAAGCAGAACACTCTTGAGTTTGCACAACCGACACCAACCAGATAAAAAGTCGTAGTTGAATGCAAAACATGAAGCCACAAAGAACTGATTCTTTTAACATTTAAGGTAAAGGTCCCAGAATTTAGTTCGCCGGTTATTTGTACCTTAGCTGTAGTTTAAATCAAGAAAGTTGTTATGTGGATTTTGTTCAAACTTCTGGTGCGTCACCGACCTAAGAGAGATTTATTACAAGAAGTAGGCTGCTTAAAAATAGGGAGGTTCCATGGGGAGAACTGGGCAAATTTTTGCAGGGACACAAAATGGTCAGCGCTCGAGTCCACTGAAGGACAGTGAAAATGCAGTGATATCAATGAGGAAAATATAGCTAAAAATGGCATGCTTTCACTAAGATGTTTATGTGCCTTCAAACTACGTTTCTGAACTATCTTTTCATTCAATTGAAAGTCAAATGTGATCAATATTCAAAACGAACACCATCAACAATAGTCTTCTGGTACCAAAATTTATCATAAAGAAGTATAAAGACATGCAACAATATCCCATAAAAGAGTAACTTGCCTCTGAACAATGGAAAATGTCAGCAAATTGAAGCTTGTGCAAATACAAAAATGTTCCTTACTTGCTAAAAAAGGCTTTCATGGTTCCTGAAAATACAAGGACAGACTTATCAAGAGTTTAATCAGAACAAGCTGACGAAACGTGTGAATCCAGGTATCCGGAGCATGCTGTCCTTTCTTCATAAAAGACTTCCCATTTCTGAGAGTTTAACTTTAAATCATAACATCTTTATATGATAAATACTTGATGAAACAGTATTCACCGGTAGCCAGAGGCAGTTGCTGTTAAAACTGCTCCGTTAGTGAAACTGAAAACCTTTCAGCTGTGAGACGAGTCAAATTCTCCTGACAAAAACCCTCATCAGCGAGTTATTACTGCAAGAGACAGAACCGACAAACCTAAGAGAAAGAGACATTTCTTATAGGCCTAGAGTATATTTATTTTCACAAAATATAATAATATTAAATCTAATTATAATAAATAAATTATAATACATTTCTCTATAATATCAAATAATTAATAATAAATCTAATAATAAATCTCATCGTCATTATGGCCATAGGCTTGTTTAAAAACAGCTGATGATCAGCGCCGATTATATCCTGTCAATCAAAAGGGGTCGGAAAATCAGACTGCAAAATGTCTCGTGTTGGGTTGAATTAAGGGCTTTCGAAATTAACGCGACAACGGCGCATTGATGCTTAACATCACCGTTAAAGCGGGATCTATTCGACCCTATGAATCACTGTAGTTCAAGCCAGGGTTGCCAGGTCCATGGTTTTTCCCTACCTCAAACATTATTTGTAGCGCACTTCCTATCCAATAGTCGCAAAGAGCTTTGTGCTTTGTTACTTCTGATAAAAAATAAAGTCTCAGCTTTGTCGATTATATCACGAAATTCAAACAATAAATGGCGTTTTGACGCTCTTAAATGTGACGTGACAGATCTTTGTAGCGCCTTAGTTCGAGCGGCAGCGCGAGTCTATATCAATACACTTCAAAGCACGAAAAAACATGCATGAACATCAGAAGGTATGTTGAAAGATACAGTACAACTTACCAATGTAGTTGCTCAATCACTATTTCAACTGCGGAAAAAGGTATTTATTGGTCTTATAGAAGAGTGTATTATGTTTTGTGTACTGTAAAGCAATTTGGTTCAACTCGTGTTGTTTTTAAAATGTCCTCTATAAATAATAGAGAAAAGTTGAGAACCGCAGAAAGACGTCAAAAAACAGCTTGTGCACAGTGCCACTTAACTTTGCATTTAGACAATGTTCACATTTTGTTAGTTAGCTATAAAACACTGAAGAATACTGTTAATTAAATATGTATGATTGAATACATTTGTCATGAAGACAAGTGTTTATGAAAACCAGAGCCGGCCCGAGCCTTTTGGGGGCCCTAAGCAGAATTTGATTTGGGGGCCCCCTCCCACTACGCGGAGTCACCTGTGCTTGACGATTATTGACACAAATATCCCGCAATAATGATACATTATAAATTACTGCAGTGAGGTTATGTATTAATACAAAATAAATACTTAATAAAAAATAGATAGCCTACTTAAAAAAGTTTTAACTTTTACTTTACTCTTTTACTAACTCTTTGAAACTTCTTAAAACAAACTCAAAACATATCAAATAAATTATTTGCTAAAATAATGACAAAACTGAGAAATCGGAAACATAATAAGAGCAAGGGTTCAACAATGACAATTATTGTTGAAAACTGTAAAAATATTATTATTTCTCAACTGTCTTAATACAGTGTAACTTTTTTTGATTATTATTGTAACAGACCTTGTTGGATTGTACATGACAGAATCCAACAAAGTCTGTTACTATACTACCGGTAATGATGTACTGTCTGGCGCTCGTTGTATATGTGTATGCAATGTATTTTTCCCCTCGGGGCTTGCCGTAGATAGGAATGGGTCAATTGCTGCACAAAACATACCGTAAATAATCAGGCAAATATAGTTTTATCTTGCTCTTTTTATCCTCCTCTGTCCTTTTCTTCTTTCTATTTTCGGCACCAGAGGGATACGTCCTTTTTTGTGACATGCCTTAACATTACCGCGAGTCCGCGACTATGCGCAGTTGCGCACGAATTGTCTATGCACGCGCGAGGTGTCTAGATTATGCGCATGACTTAAACGCTGGCAGACACAGCAGCAGTTGTAGGCAGATATATTGATCATGAAATCAGAATTTTCTTGTCTCGAATTATTCATTCATTCATTCATATTCATTCATTCATTAATGTATGTCACTTGTTTAAGTTTAAGTTAATTAAATATATTTTTTGATTTTTCGACTCGATTGGGGGGCCCCCTGGTGGCAAGGGGGCCCCAAGCAGCCGCTTAGTTCGCTTATGCCTCGGGCCGGCCCTGATGAAAACTACCTTAAGTGCAACGGAGATGTCTACAAACATTTCAGTTTTTATTTGAGTGTAATTATTATACCTGAAAATAAATACCAGTTAAATATAATAGTTTGGGCTCTGTTATGGCGCTTTTCCATTACCAGTACCAGCTCGACTCGACTCGACTCGCCTTGGCTCGCCTCGACTCGGCTCGCCTTGGCTCGCCTCGACTCGGCTCGCCTTGGCTCGCCTCGACTCGGCTCGCTTTTCGCTCCGTTTTCCATTGCAGAAAGTACCGCCACAAATAGTACCCGGTCGTCATAGCGACGCCTTTCGTTCCTCGTTGCCCCATCAAGCTCTCGCTGAATCCTCTCTTCGGCAACCAAACAAAGGAATGTCTGCACCTCCTCGTTTGACCACGGCGTATTCTTCCGAGTGGCCATAATAATAGTAGTAAGTTTAGTAACTATCTCTGGCCAAACTATTTAAAAATGGCGGGGTTATTCTGGATACTCCATCTGGCGCGTGCAATGATGACGCAGATTCTCTGTGACCAATCAGCAGTCGGCATTGTTTTCACATCACATTTTAGTATCGCCTTAGCTCGCTTAACCTCGCCGGAGGTGGTACGAAAAAAGTACCCGAAAGCTGGTACAGGTACAACTTTTACACAGTGGAAAACCAAACAAAGGCGAGTCGAGTCGAGCCGAGCCGAGGCGAGCTGGTACTGTGTAGTGGAAAAGCGCCATCAGATCTGTTGTTGAGAGAGTTCCCTGTATAGATTACACCATTAGTAGGGAGAGATTTTTTTTCCTTAAGAAAAACAAAGTATCGGTATCGGCAGATATTCTGAATAATCGGCTATTGGTATCGGCGGAGACAGTATTGGCGCATCTCTAATTAAAATCGAATAATATTTTAATTAAATTTGTGATCTAATTGTTTATGGTTATAAAAATGTTAAGGAATGATGAAATAATTAACCGATGATCAAAGGTTTTATAAAATTGATTGATAAAAAATATGCAAACTATTTTTGCGTTTTAAGCCATAAGCATGTTGAAACAAACTAAAAGATCAGATAAAGCTAAACTTAGATAGCTGATATGTTATTGTCGCCCCACAAAGAGAGAATAGCCAGCTCATTGGAGTTAGCCGTCCATAATGACATGGCAAACTATAACTGAATGTTACATAAAGCTGCTCTCTCACTATTTCACTGTACAACAAAATGGTCTGAAATATTTCACTCCACTTCGAACTACATCCAGTTAAAAATTTCTTAGCTTCATTCATTTCCACTACAGGTGGGACAATTCAGATTCACAATATAAAACAAAAACAGCCAGTTCATGACTGTCCCGTCTTAAGGCAAGCTCACACTACACAACTTTGGCTGGATTCTGCTGCTACAGACAGATTTCCAAGGTCAGCAACAAAACCCCTGGAAAGCGTCCAAATCGGTGCTCTCTGCAGTCGCCGATGTTTGCTAAGTATGAGCAGGTCAGCAACGCGATCTATTTTCAAACCTGTTTGAGACACGTGATCTTGTAGTGTGTGCAATGCAACGACAAAGTGGAACTAATCCAGCCAATAAAATAAAATTTAGCATCGTCACCAATCCAAACACAAAGAGGACACTTAAAATGTACTAAGTTGGAATAGGTAAAAAAAAGAAAAGGAAAAAGGAGGCGGGTCATATAACAGGATTCATGAAAGCTCATTGGTACCTGATGCTGTCAATCAGTTGCTGATGCTCCTCGGTGAGCAGTATTTCTGGAAGTGTGGACGCCAGCCCTTCAACATCCCTCTCGTTTGCATACTGCTTCAGCAAATCAAACAGCCTCTCTTTCACCTCAGGATCCTCCCCTAAAACTTCCTCAACCTATAAAAATTCAGAACAGACCATTTTACACACACTTTTTATACTGGGGTTTGAAACGCTGTTGAAAATATAACTAACTTTTGTTACAGTTTAACCATTTTTACATGCCTTCAGGACTGACCTTCTTGTTGAACTCCAGAGCTTTGTGCTTTCGGTCATGCCTCACGATGTCTCCGCTCTGGTAGGTCTCCTTCATGCTGTTGCTGGTGCGTTTCTGCCAGCGGTTAATGCGGAGCACGCCGAGACGCAGCGTACGTCCCTGAGAGGCCTTGATCATGGCCGCCGCCGCCTCGTGCTGTTTCACTGGAATCCCATTCACCTCCATCACATAGTCTCCAGCTCGCAGTCCACTCCGGCCCGCTGGAGAGTTGGGCATGCAGTTCTCCACCAGCAGGGGACTGTCGCCCACTATGGTGAAGCCAAAACGACCATCAGGCCCCGGGGCAATGTCCAGCTGTGGCGGTAAGTTTTTGCAAAGGAAAAAGAAGAGAGATCTGAATTCTCTTTTAGACAACAAGGGCATCTATCCATATCTATCTATCTATCTATCTATCTATCTATCTATCTATCTATCTATCTATCTATCTATCTATCTATCTATCTATCTATCTATCTATCTATCTATCCATCCATCCATCCATCCATCCATCCATCCATCCATCCATCCATCCATCCATCCATCCATCCGTCCAACCGTCCATCTATCTATCTTACATCTATCTATCTGTCCATTTGTCCGTCCATTCATCCATCCGTCCATCCATCTGTCCGTCCGTCCGTCCATCCATCTATCTATCCGTCCAACTGTCCATCTATCTATCTATCTATCTATCTATCTATCTATCTATCTATCTATCTATCTATCTTACATCTGTCCATCATCCATCCTTCCATCCAATCAATCTATCAATCTCTATCTATCTATCCGTCCATCTGTCCATCCGTCCGTCCGTCCATCCATCCATCCATCTATCCGTCCAACCGTCCATCTATCTATCTATCTATCTATCTATCTATCTATCTATCTATCTATCTATCTTACATCTGTCTGTCCATCCATCCATCCATCCTTCCATCCAATCAATCTATCAATCTCTATCTATCCGTCCATCCGTCCATCCATCCATCCATCCAACGTCCATCTATCTATCTTACATCTGTCCATCATCCATCCTTCCATCCAATCAATCTATCAATCTCTATCTATCTATCCGTCCATCCGTCCATCCATCCATCCATCCATCCATCCGTCCGTCCATCTATCCGTCCATCCATCCATCCATCCATCCATCCATCCATCCATCCATCCATCCATCTATCCATCCGTCCAACCGTCCATCTATCTATCTATCTATCTATCTATCTATCTATCTATCTATCTATCTATCTATCTATCTATCTATCTTACATCTGTCTGTCCATCCATCCATCCATCCTTCCATCCAATCAATCTATCAATCTCTATCTATCTATCCGTCCATCTGTCCATCTGTCCATCCGTCCATCCATCCATCCATCCATCCATCCATCCGTCCGTCCATCCATCCATCCATCCTTCCATCTGTCCATCCCTCCATCCATTTACTTATTAACAGTAAAATATAACATATAAAAAAACAAACTGACCTGTTCAATTCTAGACACGACTCCGATGCTGGGCGGCACAGTCTTAAGGGTCTGAGCCAGAGCGACGAGAGCTTTGGTGCTGAGAGAGGAGACGTTCTGCCCATCGATCTCCAGAACCTGGTCACCTGGCTGCAGCCCGGCCATGTAAGCGCTGCTGCCCTCCACCACAGAGAGGATGTAACTGGGTCCATCTCCACCCAGCTTAAAGCCAAAGTCCTCTGGCCAACCCTGGTTATTCGCTGGAAGGCCCAGTTCTGGAAAAAGTCAATAAATCATGTATATGAATAGAAATAGAATAATGACCCCCTGAACAAAGGGGGGAGGGGGGTCAATATCAAAAGTAGCCATCAGTATGTGGTGTGTCCACCAGCTGCTTTAAGTCCTACAGTGCATCTCATCCTCATGGACCATAGAAGATCTGCCAGTTCTTGTAGTGAGATGTTACTACACTCTTCCACCAAGACATCTGCAAGTTCTCATACTCATGGTTACATGTGGATCAGCTGTCCTTTCTGTCTCCCTGTAGCACCGCCTCACTGTCTTACATTATGAAGGTCCCTGGTAGAAGAGATATTGTATCTCAACAGGACCTTCCTGATTAAATAAATAAATAAATAAATAAATAAAAATGAACATTGCAGTTTATTGCTCTGTTCACATCTTCAGCAGGACTATGGCATGTTCATGCAGGTGAGCAGTGACTCTGGGCATCTTTCTTCTGGTGTTTTTCAGTCAGTAGAAAGATCTCTTTAGTGTCCTACATTGTAACTGAGTTAAACTGTCTTCCGCCTGTTAACTGTTAGTGTCTAATGGACTGTTCTACTGGGGCATGAGCAATAATTGTTTTTGCTTCATTGTACAAGCATGTAAAAAACATAATTTAAACCCTTTCAAATAAAGAGATGTAAAGCTCAATATTACCTTTAAAATACAGTATCTTGAAAAAGGGACACACACACAAACAAATACTATAAAGTAACACAATATATCTAAAGTAAAATCTAAAAATATAGAATTCTAACTTTAAAAATGTTCACACCAAAAGACATCTGCCTAAACCCCATACATTCATCTATCCAGATTTAAGTAAATGAATAAAATAAAATGTTGGAAGACTGTCAAAATCCACACATCTATTCAAATCAAATCTATACACCCTTGCATCTAAAATATCAGAACTTTTCAGTTCATTTGATTTGTGTGACCTAATAACAGATGAAAAAAAAAAAAAGGTCAAGCAATTACGCACCAATATTCAGGGGGAATTCTCTCAGCACGTTAGGGGTTGGGTCTGTGGAAGTGAAGAAACACATTAGTTGTGTATGTATATATGCATTATATATTACCATATTATAGAAGGTAAAATGGCATAAGTATTATCTACACTCTGGAGAAAACAATGGACTATATATTTATTTATAAATATACATAATATAGTATATATAGTGCATCTAAACTATTTAATTAACACATATGATCTTTAATATAATATCTGCAATACAAGAATATTTTTCTCAGGTAATGACTCAAAGCCATATGACTATGGCACTGCAGTCACCGCCTTACAGAGCTCCATGTTTTACTTTAGGAACTTACAGAAATCTTTGGAGGCACTGCGGGATCCCGATCGGCTTTGGCGAAGAGAGAAACGGCCCTTCTGGCTCTTCAAAAATCTTCTCATCATGGTTTCTGGGTCTTCTGAATGGTATTGAAGTCAAGCTCTACGAGGTCACCTCAGGTCAGGTCATCACCTTCCTCAACAAGTCACTGCTCCATTTTTACCAAAAAAGCCTTCAGTGAAGGAACTGATCCAGCCGGTTTAGCCTCCATCGAGGATCCTTCGATGAAGATATCAGTCCAGTGTAGATCAAGAGAGCGCTGTCAAGCTCTCTGCAGCCGTGGCTCTACATCTCCACTAAGTTGGTCCAGTCCTAACCCTCATGCAGAGCACCGAGCAGAAATCTGGGACAAGCTAGCTGGGTCTTTTAATGATTCTTTTGCAAGAAAAAGGTACAGTGAAGCCCCATTTTTCTATAAATACCTCCCTCCCTCTCTCTCTCTGTGTGTGTGAGATGCTGGTTTGGGCCGTCTCTCAGGGCTGAGGACTGACCCAGAAACTGCCTGTCAGAGCAGCAAAGGATGGCGCTCCGATTAGAGATCCTCAGAGATGCTGTGGTACAGTTAGATATAGTCTGGTACATGTAACTCCCATTCCCCATATAAGAATCTGATCCATTCCTCCAACTGTTCCTAATGCAGTACGAAAAAAAACAGTCTCAGAACAGCAGGTTTGGTTAACCTCCAACACGGCAATGAGAGGCATGATTTAATATGATATTAATAGCATTTACAGCATGACGCAATGAGGAGATCTGTGGAACTTAGGGCTGGTAACCAGAAGGTTGCTGGTTTGACCTCAGCTAAGAAAAAGCAACAGCACATCACAATTGTGCCCTTAACCTCAGGTTGCAGGGAAGTAATTCAAGTGCAGTGAAGTACTTTGTTTATTTTCATGTAAATAAATGTACTCCAATTAACTTTGAATAAAAGGGTGAATCTTCCAAAACATTTCAACAAAACAACACATATTTAACATATATTTTAAATAAATAAACCTAAAATAAAAAACAAAAAGAACAATATAATATTATATAAAAATAAATAAAATAAACGTATATCAAATTTAAACAAAACAAAAAATAAATAAAAGTAAAATAAACAAAACAAAAGCAAAGTAAATTCAAAACAAAACAATTAAATGTATACATTTTAAACAAAGAATAATATATAAAACGAAATAAAACAAAAAATACAATTTAAACAAAATAAATAAATAAACAAAAGCCAAGTAAAATACCTAAATATATACATTTTAAATAAAACAAAAATAGTTTACAAAACAAAACAAAAAGAAACAAATATATTAAATGTAAACAAAACAAAAATTAATAAAACTAAACTAAAATTAGCAAAAGTCAAGTAAAAATCAAACCAAATAAATATATAGCCTACATTTTAAACGAAACAAAAAGAAAATTTAATTTAAACAAAACTAAAAATAAATAAATAAAACTAAAATAAACAAAACAAAAGTCAAGTAAAATCAAAACAACCAAATATATACATTTACAACAAAACTAAAATGATATATAAAACTAAAAGAAAAATAAATCTATCAAATGTAAACTAAAACAACTTAATTAAATCAAAAAAAATTTTTTTAAAAGTAAAATAAAAAATAAAATGAAAATATCGTATTACAAAAACGAGAATTGTGCTTAATTGTCTAAATAATATTAACAGCCCTTTTTTATACATATATAAAATACAATCTTATTTGTATGATTTGATTATGGGGTGAAATGTAACCTGGACATCTATAAACGTCCAGTGAGATCATTTAACAAAAGGAATACTTGCTGGCTATAATGGAGAGATTACAGTAATATAATGTGTGTTAAAAGGCATTTGATGTTAAAAGATGACCCTCGATAACCCTATTTAATATCATGAAACGTGTCAAACCAGAGGGCTTTTCAACGGATCAGTAGCAAGTCAGGTCAGGGATTCAATTATAGCTATAAATAAAAGACAGATGTCATTATATATGGGCATATGTGAAGGCCTGGAGGGGTAAAGCACTGCGCATGTGCAATGATGAGCTGATGAGGAGGAGGACAAGTCGAGTCAAGGTGACCAAAGCTTCATCATGCCCCCAATCTGCCAGAATGAAGCGTCTACTGCTCTATCGCTTAATGAAAGAACAGAGTGGACGTGAAAAATACACCAACCTCATACTGTACTTGCCTTGCCAAATCTCAAGACGACAGAAGCCATGCGGGCTTGTAGACTGAAACACGCAGTGTATACCAATCAATCAGTCAGTCACAAGTTCAATGTTTTGAGCTTTCTATTCATAAAAGGTGCAATGTATCCACAAAAATATGATGCAGCATAACTGCTTTTATTTGGATCAAATAAATGCAGCCTTGCCTTGGTGAGCATAAGAGACCTCTTTCAAAAACATTAAAATCTTTGAATGGTGGTGTACTAAGTTTGTAAAAATGTAGTTCACAATATTGGGTATTAGGACTGGACAGATGTATGTTCATAGCCGAATTGCGTCAAACATATAGTCCCATCCCAAACTCACGTCATTGCCAATGTTGCTGTGTCCAGCTGGTCAGACAAATAAAGTGATGTTTCGTAAGCATCACAGAGCCAGTCTTTACTCACACATCTCTCTCTGCATCTGACCTGGAAAAGAAGGAAGTATTTTAACAATGACACACTTTGCGATTGGGCATTCCTTATTCTTGAGCCCTGCCCTCTGCTGAATTAAAAGAGGAAACTTTCCTCTGGCTTGGCTATAAGCAAGGACTAAAATAAGGCAATGTAATATGAATTAATATTGATTCTGGAATGTATAAAAGAAAATCGATTTTAAAATCATAAAAAAAAAAGGTGAATCAATTTTTCCCCAGCGGCCCTAATGGACACCACTGTCCAAATAGTCCATCAGTTTGTTTAAATAAGCAAAAATTACAGTAATGCACTTATTATGAGCATAAACATTCAAATATACCTTCAACCACTTATTATACAACTTATTAAACAGTGAATTATACATGTTAACATTACCAGTGTGATTTAAAAAAAGCTTACTAACCTTGACTGGCCAAAATCATATCCAATTTTTCAACTCCTGTCTGGATTATGAAGTTTGAAAAAGCAGAAAGGCACTGTCTCCATGTGCAGGTATTAAGTCAGAAAACCCAAAGTTTATTGAAAATTCCTATTGAAAAAGAACATATTTAGCTCTTTGCTGACGTTAAACACTCCAGAAAGCCTTGTCCCATAGGCATTTTATAATGTTTTTAATCAAGTGCCAGAGATGCTGTCAATAAAGCTTAACATGCCTTTTTGTGCACAGAATATTTCTTTTAGGAGACGACTGTGCAAATTGTGCATAACTAAATATGCAAAAATGAGAACTGATCAATGACTGAAAAAATACAGAGGTGCATAAAAATATATTTCATATTTTGTACTTTCACTCCCTGCCAGTTGTTGTATTGGTGGAAACATGTTATGTTACACATTCATGATGAGTAGATGATAGTCATATATGATTATATCCCATTCAGCAGGAGAGAAATGTTGGTATGGCGACATCACTGCCATGAAAGCTGTCCAATAAATCTTGGGGTGTAATATCTGTTATCAAATGAGTAGAACAAAAACATGGTTTTACAGTCCATTGAAAATGCCATAGTTCATTAGTAGAACCTGCAGCTCGAAAAGTGATCCGTTTAAAACCCGAACACAAGGTTTTTGAATCTATCAGGCCTTCCACATGCAGTGCAAAACATGTGGAATAAAGTCTCACAGAGAACGGAAATCCAACACCACCGCTGTTAAAAGATATTAACTTAACGGAATCTGCGTCTTAGACCACTACCACAGTCTGGATTTCCATTTCGTCAGGTGAAGCAATGACATACTGCTCCCCTTGCTCGATTGGCTCAATGTTCTCAGTGGTTACCATTGTAACTGTGGTGTGGGGCGTCTCGATGGCGCTCTCTGTTGTCGCCGTAAGGATGGTGCCATCGCTAATGGCATTTGCAAGTGTCATTGCCACCTGTTCGGTCAAACTCTCTGGTGTGGCGATCGTGATGGTGTCTCCGCAGTCCGAGATGCCGGGCGTTTCGTCGGCGGCCACGTTACGCACGATGATCTGGTGGCCTCCGTGTGATTGGCTCACGATTTGCTGCACCACCTTCATGATGTGACTGTCCATCTGAAGTCAGACACATTGAGCAATGTGGTTAACTCTATTTGGTTCATAAAGTCCTAACATTTGACATTGACAAAAGTGAAAAATGACCTGCTGCTGACTGTCTTGAATTATTGCCAGTTCCTGCCCTTGATCTGCTTCCTCAACTGGTGCCTACAGAAACATGATCCGTATTGTTAACAAAAAAAAAATCCGTATTGTTAACAAAATTATAGTGGTTATATTGCAACAACTAATGTCTCAATGGATACGTTTTTAGATAAATATTTGGCCATCGATTTTATTGGTTATAAAATTATTACCGTATTACAGTCCCCATGAATTCAAAATTGACCATACTTACTTTGTTTGCCTAAATTGATCGTTTTGTGGTGAACAATTCATCCATGCAAGTCAATCCACACAAAAAAATTTTTGGCTTCGTAATCTTTAATCAAAATCTGAAATGTCCCCTCCCCTCTGCATTGGAGGACCTTGCCTGATGACGTAGGTTTGACGGTTTGGGTGTCTCTGCTTAACATCCGTAATCACGCCCCTCCAACTGACAGTAGACAGGCTGAATGAAAACACCTACTTTTCTAGATCCAATCAGGTGCTAGTTGGGAAAAAAAGCCACGCCCACTATTTTGCCTCATTTAGTATTCCGTTTCTCTCGGAAATACGTCACAACACTGACTGGAGAAAAGTCGTTTGCAACTTCTCTTTCACGGGGACTTTAAACATACACTACCGTTTGAAGGTTTGAGGCCAGAATGATTTAAAAAAAAAAAAAAAATTTAATTAATAGTTTTATTCAGTAAGGACACATTAAACTGAAAATGTATCAAAGGTGACAGTAATGTGATAAATAATTTCTATTTCAGATAAATGCTGTTCTTCTGAACTCAATTCATCAAAGAATACTTTAAAAAATGAATCATGGTTTCCATAAAAATATGAAGCAGCACAACTGTTTTCAACATTGATAATAATAATAATAATAAATGTTTCTTGAGCATCAAATCATCCTATTAGAATGATTTCTAAAGGATCATGTGACACTGAAGACTGGAGTAATGTTGCTGAAAATTCAACTTTGCCATCACAGAAATAAATTATATTTTAAAACATATTTACATAGAAAACAGTTGTTTTAAATGTAATAATATTTCACAATATTACTGTTTCTACTGTATTTCTGATCAAACAAATGTAGTCTTAGTGAGCATAAGAG